GTTTCAAAAATGTTTTTGCTTTATGTGTGCTAATAATTTATGCATTTATGTACATACATGCATTGTGGAGTGTGTCTGAAAATTTTGCCATTTCAGAACATTATTTAAATGTCTGCTAAAGTCAAGTATTTAGTGTCGATCATTTACAGCGCTTTTGCGTTGAGAACTTTAGTCCATTTTTGAGGCCAAATGGTTTAGTCATACAGCGGTCTATACAGAAATGCAAAAAACAAACAGTTGTGGCATAGTTGGTTGCAAATTCTAATATAAACGCTTAACTTTTCAATGGGATATTTTATTAAATTATAACAATTGTGAAACAATAAACACACAAGCTATTTCTTTTATTTAACAATACTATAGAGACTATACTTTAACATACGAAAAATAATGATTATTTGAAAGACATTTGTACAACAATTTAATTATGAAACCTGCTGTTTATTGTTAACATGGAAAAAGCATTATAAATGCTAAAAAATTTAATTAAAATCAATAAAACTATGCATGATATAATAATTTATTATTAGGCGAGAATTACGAAATTCATTTAAGGTAAAATATTGAGTTCAAAATATGAAGTTAGGTAATGTTATTGATTGTTCCAAAACAAAATTGTATGCTTAATTTAAATCATAGTGTAGCTAAAAGCTAAAACTAATAATGAATATTTAACTGCGTAGGTTTTCCAAATTAAAATAATAAATGGGAATCTGCATCGATTAATAATATTAAAGGTTTTTAACATACGTTTATAAATCATTTAACCAAAAACATTAAAGAAACTTAAGTCAGTGTTGTAGATATGAAAAGCTCCCCTAAAATATAACGGATAAAGATCAATATTAATCCAAAATTGACGATTTCTTCCCCATATGTTATTCAATAATAAGCCCATTTTTATGAAATAAATATTTGTTTCTAATAATGCATACAACATATAGAACTATGCTATTCAATATTGAATACAATTTTCTATACCTTTAATAAAAGGAAATTAATTTTTTTCAATTGACAAAGAAAAGCAATTACACAATTAAACTTAAACTAACTAATTCGACCGAGAGAAATATTTGTATCTTACGATGGGTCCTTTTTCTAATTTAGCTACAATGTTTATAATTTAGCAATTATGCAACTAAACTGATTATAAGTGCAACTACTATATATTATAAAATATTTTAAAATATTATAAAACATTAAAAAATACCTTGTTAAAAGCAAATGTGTTGTCCACAAAAATTACTCTTCATTGACTTTTATGAAAACCTATCTGGAAGTATTTTAATTCATAAAATTTTAAGGCACCAGGCAGAGAAATCTCAAGTCCCTACTCAATCGACAAATGAAGCACTTTAAACAGCATGTCCGTTGTCTCAAATAAAATCCATTTAGCTGATATGTTTCAAAATCTTTACCCTACACCCACTTGGGTGTTCAGTTCAGCGTTATTTACATTTCAAAATCAATTCAACCATAGGTCCACCCCACACTCACAACCAAAACATATGGCAAACTTTCAATATCAGAACACATAAATACAGACAGATAGAGAGACAGACGGACATGGCCATTTACATAACAAGGCAGGGGGAGGAAAAAATACGTACAAAGCTTAACATTAAATATTTATAAATATTACGTATACGTAATCGAATTGATTGATTTTGCAATTTCACGCAAGCCGAAACAATGCCAAATCGAACAAACTGCCAAGAAAGCACCACGAGGCACCCCAAGAGCCAACGGAGCGACTAAGCAGAACGCTGTGCATGTAACTTGAAACTAAAGGCAAGTAGGGAATCGCAGGAAGGCTGTTTAGGGGAGCAGTAACTTGGGATTACGGGCGTAACGGAACGCAAAAAAAAAAATGTATGAGCATCTTAAGTGATTTCTAACGGTTGGACTTGAGTGACGGTTCGACAGACTGGTCGATTGGACAGTCAGATAAAATACATTATGGTAATGTGCACACAGTAACAAGTTGTACACACACACACACACACACACACACACACACACACACACACAAACACATACGCACACATGCTGACATTAAGACATACGTTACATGCCAAATGAGGTTGCGGCTGGCGTAATCCTTTTGCTTCTTTTCACACAACACGCCCCCACACACACACTCACACACACTCAGACAGTCAGTGGGACATGACGGCTGGCGAAGCCAATGACCAGCACACATTGAACTCTTGCTGCATTCAGTTGCTGATTAGAGATGAGCGCGTGATAGCGCCGGATATTCCATTTCTATTCCATTTGCCTGCATGCAAGCGCTGAATCCTTTTTATTTCATGATTAAAAATATGAAGTGCCATATAAAGCAATAAGTAAAAGATACTTTAGTCCAAAATTTAATGAGTTTTGTAAACTGTCTCAACTCATCCACTGTCATAAATAATTTTATAGTAGAACCTATGCTTCTTTAACCTTCTTTTAACCATTTTCTTAGCATGGAAAACAAATGGAGATAAATCAAAACATTTGACTTAGCCTTTAGCTTTGTGGGGCGTTTAAGTAAATTTCGCAGCATTAATGCTTGCTTTCTAACACTTGAGTGCTGCTATTTGTTGTTGGATTAGAGTAACAAATAGTTTTAGTACCTTGGGAAATCATAAAAAAATTTGTGATAGTGTTTCATTATGGATGACGTAGTATAAGCTATAATTGTGTCTTACAAAGTATATTCCCAATATGTTCTGATATGACTTTGTAGATTTTCAGTTTCGAATTATTAATTTTCGTTTTGCACGCAAAGCGATCATTTACAAATTTCAAAAGGCTAGAAAATAAAACAAGTGTTGATAATATTCAGCAACCTTGGTAAACTGATTATCAAATTTTTCGAAAAACAAAATAAATGCTTAAAGTTCTTTAATAAGGAAATCTCAGCCCAATCATCATGTTCCCTGAAATGCTAGTTTATGAAGTTTTTATAAAACTTAGTACACCAATGAGATAATTATAAGAAATATATGATTTCTTTAAAAGATCTAATAATGTTGAACACTGTGGAGCATTATGGGTTCAGTTATCTCTTAAAAGATTAGTAAAATTGCATTATTATAACAATAAATGTAATAAAATGTCCTCTTCTTCTTTTGATAGCAATACCCTTCTCTGGAAAAAAATTCATTATAAAGTATGTATGATCAATATACATAATTACGGTTTCTTTAATTATTTATAATTGAATTTGTTATAATAATTTCTGGAAATTGTTGCTTCACAAAGTCGACAAATGTAATTGTCCGTTTTATTTCTTTTCATTTGAGTCACGTATGGAGTCCATCGCTCCCACAAAGTCCTCTGCTTTGATTTGAGTTTGGTGCTCGACCTCTTGATATCCTCCCTATACATAGGGTTTGCGTTCTAAATACTCAGCTTGTTGCTGCTTGCCGTTGAAAAGTATCCGCAATCTTTTACTGCTGTTAGCCAAAGAAAAGCAGTCAAGCGCAGTGTAAGGCCAAGAACCAGTAGCAAAAAGCAAGGGTTAACACTTTGCTTTAGTAGCCAAATTATTGGTAATTTGATGTTTTATTACATTAAGGGTAATTTCGTGTGCAGCCCTTTGTTGCTCCCGTTTGCCGCGTGCCTGCCTGCCTGTCTGCCTGTCTGCTTTAAAATTTATGAATGCTACGCTTTTGACGACCCAATCTGTGGCTTTTAATTGTCGAATTTTGATGGGAGTACTCCTTTTATGCTTTGCCGTGCATATTTCAGTTGACATTAAAACAGAAGGCAATTTATTGCGGGTGTGAAGGATTTAAAGTGAATGCTTAAAATGAATTCCGGTTGTTAAGCCCTGACAAAAATAATTGATATTAAATCTTAATGGGTAAAGGAAATTAAGGTTAATAAGTGTATATGAATAGAATTATTTAAAAATATGCAATTCTGTTCCATCAACAATGGGATAGCGTTGATAACAACATGCCACCTAAAATAATCAAGGAATAAGGATAAGACCTATTAGATCACTTAAAAAGCCATCCGAATACCATGAGCCATAAAAAGTTTTTTAAATTGTTAATATCATAAGATAAGAGTGACTTCGTCAACACACATTTTATTTTTTATTTATTTTATTTATTTATATTTGTTCCCTATATTTTAATGAAACTTAATCATTGTCGAATTCTATCATCGTCAACAAATTCAACTTATGGTACAATGGAAAATTAATTCTATATTGAAATATGTTTAGTAATCGCATTCCAATTGTGTCAAAACCAGCAACAGAATTGTTTCCTGAATTGTGGATATTTACCAATTTCATTTTGTCGCACAATTCAATTGAATTTGGAAACAGGCTCAATTTATATACTTGTATTTTATAATAGTAATAATTATCACCAAGATTTAAATATTATAAATCTTTTCATTACTATAGGTGTAGAGGAAAACATTAGAATTGTAGCAAAAGCTTTTTAATGTCTGGAAATATTACCACACAGAGAGATTAAAATGTAGCTCTTGGTTCGAAATATGACTGCGATTAAATATTTCGCGTAAAAAGCGAGGAGTGCTGTGTTTTGAATTTATTCGAAAAATTTGTTAAAAATAATAAATCAACTGTAGGAGCCTTATGTGTCTTCGATGAGGTAAAGTGTGAGAGACGAGGAAAAAAGATCATAAAATTGTTTTTCAAACGTTTTGTAAAAATTTCAAAACAATCGGTAAAAACTTTTGAAACAACAACATGCATTCATATTTTTGTTTGAAAATATTTCAAACTTTACAGCTTTATTGTTATCTTAAGAATAAGAAAGAATGTTGTTTGACATTTAAACTTTTATTTGAAAAGAAAAATTTGGTAAATGCATTTCAGATTATTGATTAATTTTAAGGAAATCTGACACAACATGTGCTAAAACTCCGTTCTATTTCAAACCCATACACAGAGTATGTACTTGTATATATGTCTGCATTATTATATTATTCTTATTGTGTTTATTTTAAAATGATTTTGATTGACTTACCACGAGCAAAATTGCCCAAATTTGTTTTATCTTCCAATTAATGTGCGTTGGCATTTTTATCTGCATTTTCTGGGAATCATGATTTTCACTGCAATGAAATAAAAAAAGAACAACGTCGATTAATTTAAATCAAAATGCGAAGGTAAATGTTAACAAATTTTCCTGTTCATTAGAGTTGAGTTGTGAACAATGAAAATTAATTGCTTGCCAAACAATCAGAAATTTCCCGACTTGTGCAAACCTCACCTTGCACCAGCCCTTCCAACACAAACACACAATTAAGTTTTAAGCAAATAAGCAGACACAGCCACGAGGGCAACAGCGTCACCCTCTCGGAGAAGTTAAATCAATAAGCCGTCAACATTTGTTTGTCTTCTCAAGCCGCAGGGCCGCTCTGCCGTTTTGGGCAACCCTTTTTCTGATGCTGACATAAGAATTTTACATAATTAAGCAAAATATTGTCCGATTAACTGTTCGTAACCGTAACGGTAAAGATATACGACAAGCAAAATATCAACAGCACAACAGAAACGTCGACTCTAATAAATACGTTTATGGCATTACTAAACATTTGTCATGACATTATTCATTTCCCCAAATTCGAAGGACTTTCAAGAATATTCAAGCAACAAAATTGTCTTGTACATCCTGCATTTGTTTGGAACAAAATTGAACAAAGTATGCCGATTTTCCAAATTGAGCGAGAAAATTATAATCTAGATTTATGTGTTGTCTGCAATGTTCGCCAAAAGTTTTGTTATTATTTTGTATTGTTAATGATTCTCTGGTCTTTGACTAAGATAGATAACAAAGAAGATCTCCTACAACAAACGGTTACTTTAATTGGAAATAATGTTACCTATTTTATAAAAACAAGTACTTCAAATACTTATTTTTCTGCTATAATTTAAATTTGTAATCCTCTAAAAAAAATTTCAAACTTCCTTATTAATAAAAAATGTCATTTGAAACAATTGTAAACTTTATTTGAAATTAATTCTGCTTTTTGTAATATATTAATCTGAAAAGTTAAAAGAACATTTTTTCAACCAATTTTGGAAACAAATTGGATTAAATTTATGTTTTTGCTTTTTAAACCGAAAAGTTAAAAGAATCTTTTTTGACCAATGCTGAAATTTTTTTTATCTTCTTTTACCTTGAATTGTAAATGTTTCATTGTTTCGTATGCGTATTTATTTTCATACTCAAAGTTGAATTATTCAACGCGCCAAAACCCTTAGGGAATTAATACGTTAGTTCGCAAACCAGAAGCCACAAACATAAGGCACATAAATATTTTCACGCATCGACACCCATTCATTAAAAGCAACAAATAGTACTCGTTTCGGTTTTTATTAATGAACCCCACTTATGAAGTCGAAAAAAATGTAATATATATTTGTGATATAACAACATCCATGCCAGTCAGAACGAATTTATGCCACAATGGTGGGCGCCCAGGCAGGTGGGCATGGTGTTTACAAACTCAAATACTCATTGAATGACACACTAAAAAAGATGTGAGGATATGGAATATAATTATTAATGCTTTACAATTTTCCAAAAAATCATTTGCCATCAAGTTTTGTGCTAATTGGGTTTGCCATACAATGTATTCTGTTATCGCTGTATTTTTAGCATGTTCCACATTTTCCCAACTTGTGTTACGTGCTCGGGGACTTTAAGTGCTCCCTAGTGTGTATTTAAATTGGTTGCCAGCGTTTAAGTTTGCTTGCATTTGCTTGTATTAGGGTACATAAATTATGGCGATTAATTGATTTGTTGGCATGGGAAAACGCTCGAAGACACAGAAGAGATATCGAGTGGGTAGTGCTGGAAACACTGTTGCTGTATAATGCAATTATAATCTCAAAATGATTTTTTAAATCAATAATACAAATGAAGGTCACATGAAATAAATGATAAAGAGTTTATAAATATAAGATAAGGGGTCGAAGATAATGTTTTATACATTAAGAATAAAATGTTGTAAAAACTGTCTAGCTAAAGCGAATCTCTAATTTAATTTTTAATCACTGCTTCATATAAGAATAAACCTTGAGGCAAATTAATCAAAAATAACTAATAAATACAAATAAATCGTGCTAAAATTTTGTTCACCTAGGGATTAATCTCTGCTAAAATAATTGAGTATTATGGTCTTCAACATCCACCTTTTGAAGCTTCTTTGCATTGGATTTCCAACTAAATTTTTACTTTGCAATTCGAATATCCAGTATCTAAACAACTCAATGATTTTTTCACAGATTGAATATACATACTCCTATATAATATCTCTGGTCATAGTGCCTCTTTATTATTCATTCTATTTATACAAGTAAATGACCTCCCCTCAATCTTATATGTATTCCCGCATATTCATACACGTAGTCGTTTTCAGTCTAATTTTAAAAGGCACTCCAAGATTGAGCTTTCCAGAAAGGAATCTATAATTTTATGTTCTGTAGAAGAAGAAATGGTTGGATTTTAGACACTACAAGTTGTTTCTGAAACAGATTTTTCAATTCCCTTAACACTGAATGAATTAAAACAAAAACATATTCTGTAGAGCGTGTTGCTTCGTTAAAGTTAAGTACATAATTAGGGGATTTGAAACACGGGAATTTTCTTGGGCTCCGATATGTCAGATTTACGTATTACGGCTCATTGCAGCGATATTCATATTACAGTAAAAAGTCTTCAAATACTTAACTATAAAAACGCAGTGTAATATGCATCAGGATTGGACTTAATCAGTTCAGCAAAAATTCCCTCTTTTTGTCTTCGTGTCCTAAACTAATAATGATTTACCACCAATTTCTCTTTATAAGAATGAACTAAATGATAATAAGATCTTTATAGACCATTAATAACTTATAATGTAATAGGAACTTATATTTTTTTCATTTTGTTTATAAATTTTACTACTTCTTTTATATTCCTTATGGGGAGCAAATAATCTGTTATTTTGTTATTTAATTTTACAACTTCTTTCATATGCTTTATGGGAAGCAATTAGTTCATCTGATCCTGTATTATTAATAAATGAGTTGTTATAAAGGAAATGCATTTCTGTACGCGTAAATTTATTCTGTTATTAAATTTACGATTGAATTGTAAACCATTTCTGCAATATTTGGTATACAGCCCGTGGGTATTTTGCATATCGTTGTGCAATTGATTAAATAATTAAAAACTGATTTCGCATGCCATTTTAAAACAAAGGCCAAAATCAGCGTTGTAACAGCCAAAAGCAGATACAGAGAACAGAATAAAAGGAGGAAAACGACACACAGAGGCCGATCGAAATAAATTAACTATGTGTGCTCTTTTTTATGCATTTTATTTGCCACCCCAGACAACAATCGCTTGTTAACATTGTGCGCCTTGTTGTCATTGTCAATGCTGTTGTTGCTGTTGTTGTTGTTGTTGTTGCTGCTGCTGCTCTTGTTTTCGCAGTTGTTGTTGCTGTTGGTATGAATGTTGCTCATTGAACTTTTAATTAGCAAATGCGCCGGCAAACAAGCTGGCAGGCGGTATTAAAGAGTAGGCGAGAGGGAGATAGACAGTCGTCTACGCTTAACCCCATGCTGCCAACTGACAATCAGGTGACATGCCCGATTGGTGGGGGGTGGACAACAAGAACAACAAGAACAACAAAAGCAAAGTTAAATTCATTTCTATGCACAGATTGTTTGCCGGCTTGTGTGTTTGTTTGGGGGTGTTTATGAGTACTGCTCGCATATGTAGGGTTATGAAGCCGCTGGCAGTGTACAACCGGGCTGCTTATAGTATTACTCGTGTGTATTCTGTTTTCCCGTTCATAAATAATGAACAATTAAAAAGTATGTTTGGTGAAAAAGGTGAAGGCGCATAGCCGACGGGGCAGGGTCATGACTTTGGAACAAGCAACAATAATTAAAATTGTTGGAAATTGTACTTTCCTCATAAAAATTTAATGTAGGCATACAGCTTGTTATGGTTTTTCTTCTCAAATAAAGGAAACTCAATTTGCAAATGGAAATATTAATATATTCACTGCTAAGACAAAACATTAGACCCGTTTTTTACGCTAGCTTAAGCTCAACCTGAATTAATTATGAATAGTCGGGTTGAAGACTTCAAACATGAATGTCCCTCTACGATCTCTTATTAGGGTACAATTTTATATGAGCCTTCTCTATAAATGATACAAAGACTCATACATCTTTAATAAAGGGAAGTCAATTTTTCAGTCCTTTCTGAGATTGCCAATTCTTTGAAACAAAATTTATTTTCAACAATATTTAGGCTGATATGTCGCCTAACTATTGCCAAATACAAACTTCTAAGGTACTTCAAACAAAATGGACTTCTCTCCAGCTCTTTCCGAGGTGAACGGTTTTGTTTGTAAAAGAAATCATTTTTTTATATTGCTTTCCATCTTCAAACAACATCTGTGCAATCAATCTTTATTCATAGTCAAAGACTTAAATCCCCGATAACTTTTTGCATAAAAAATACATAATAAAAAATATCTTAAATATCCATTGTTGTAATGTCCGTTTGATTATACATTTAAAAGCCTGCTATATTTGACTTTCCTGCTTTAATTATAAATATGCTTAAAACAAAATTAAGAAAAGATTATTCGGCAGAATATCAAAGCCACAAATAAGCTAAGAAAATATGATCTGCAATTAAAGAAATACATTCCTGTTTTTCTGAACATATTCTTTATAAAAATTCAATGTGAAAAGAAACGACTTTTGCTCATTTCCGTAAAAATATTCAGATATGAACACTTTCGAATCGGAAATATCATCGAAAATATCAGCCTAGTTCATCTTCATCGTCTGCTGTAAAAATGTACATAAGTTCCGTTATATGACTTAAAAGTTCGACCCCAGGCATAATTTTTGTGCTCCCGATATGAAAAATAATTAATACGGCTTATACAGAAATGGATTTCTAAACACTCTTTAAACTCCTAATATTTCAATTGTATTTTTTGTCGTCTTAATCCAAATTGTATGATATCGAAAATAGTAATAAAATAGTTATTATTATTTACAGAAATTGTCACAATATTTTATTTATTTTTATGCAACAATTTATTATTAACTTAATAATATAACGTTTTTTAAATAGAAATTTATAAAAGAATATTTAAATAAAGCACAGTTTCTTTTTTATTTTGTATTTTGAGATGTTTTTGTGAGTTTTCTTCGCAAAACTTAGCATCTAGTCAACAGTTGTTATTTAAGTAATTTGAATGGAAATAAATTCGTCATAGTTTGTACATCTAAGAAGCCTATGTCCAAAACGCAAAACAACCGCGTTCAGCCTCGACTTGCTGGGGGATTATGAGAGGCAACAGTGCCCACCAGGAGGCAACGTCGTCTAAAGACAATGAGCTGCAATATGCAACGAAACCGCAGCATGTCTGCCTTTCGCATGATGGATTCAACGCGGGGAAATAGACAGCATTCCCTGAATCTGAATCATGCCAATAGCAAGCATTCGTGTAAATTGTGCGCCTACCAGAAACCCTCAACCAAGGTGCCCTACAAGCAGCACAAAAATGTAATGGGAGTAAGTATATTTCCACTTTCCCCCAAGAGCACATTTCCCATTCTCATGAAACCTTCCCTGCAACGATCAGACGAGTAAGGGCTGGAACTATTCGGTTCCCACGTGGCCGAACAACTACAATGTGATGCCGATGTACGATCAGTCACCGATGATGTCTCAATACCATCCCCAGCACATGCAGCAGTCCTACTACATGCCACAGCAACAGCAGCAGCCATATTACTATGCCCAGCCCCAGAGCTGGGGCATGGGCATGCCACAACAGTCCTGGTACAGCTATGCGCCGCAGCAGCAGTCAATGGGCTATCCCCACTATGGCTGCTGGTACGGCGAGCAGGCCAAGCAGGCCATGTCGCAGAAGAATGTGGATCTGAATGCTGGCCTAATACCGAAATCCTTTTGCCAAAACAAAAACGTGCCCCAACAGCAGCAACAAGTCAATCAGCAGGCACAGCCGCAGCAGCAGGGGCAGCAACAGCAGGTGAGTAATATCGGATTCTCTATACTAAGTATATAAAGAAAATATAAATTGGGCACACAAGATTTTGTTGATATCAAATTTCTAAAAGGTCCAATTAACTATCCTTAGAATCAATTGCATTTATTGCACAAATTACTCAAATATATAGTACAACTGTTATTATACTAGGAAATCGGAAATAATGTAAAAATTCCAGTTGTTTGGTTCATTTGGTTTTGATTTTAATTAGATTGGATGTCTAAATGTTTATTATTTTTCAATAAAAATAGGTTTCTAAAATACATTTTTAACAATTTCTCATCTCCTAGTAAATAATAATTAATAATTTAGCAAAAATATAAATTGCTTAATTTATAAAATGTTGTCTGCTCAAGCAAATAGTAATGTTGTTGTTTTTAGTTCAAGAGTTTTGAAAAGTATGAAACGATTTCTATGAAGCACATAAGAAAGGTTTTTTTTTAACAAATATCATCTCAAATTTTATTTATTCTTAGTTGATCCGGACTGGTCCATTTCAACTCATTTAAACCAAATTCGCAAATTGGTACCACGATCTTTTACATCCGTGTACGGTTTGAAAAGCTTCTCATCGGGTAATTTTTATAATGGAGCAAATAAACAAGTTTGCTTGAAATCTTTGTTTTGAAAATGTTGTAGAAATGTTTTGGGGAGTCTTTAATTAGGGTCGTGAGGTCGTCGAAAACTTGACACTTTTATTAACGGTAAAGTGAAGGAAATTGTGCTGGAAAATAGTCTTAACATATCTCAACATTTCTTATAGAGCGAGTAAACAGATTATGATTTATTTTTTGTGTATGAACACCAGAAGTTTTTCCAAAAAAATCAGCGGGTAGATGTCGAAACTTATGACCCATGCCAATGAGCCCTATTAACCAAGCTCCAAATGCCACCGTATTGGCCAATTCTGGCTCGCTGTGACTTCTTTCGGTTTCTGAAGCTCGTCGACCCTGATACCAAAAAAAGTCATTCCCTGAACGAACTTAGAGATATCCGGACTGAGGCCTATAACAAGTGGTATGCAAAATGGAAAAAGTGTTGGCTTACAGAGACAATATTTTGAAGGTCATACTAAAGATTTATATTCAAATATATAATCAAAATTCTTTAATCAGTCCGGGTCGATTAATGTAATGTTAATTTAACCAAAGGCATTCAAAGTTAGTGTTCTGCTACAAAGAAAAACATTTTAAGACCTACTTTTGAGGGACTATTTAGTAGGAATATTTACACGCCATCTAAAAGTTTCGATTTATTTTAATTCTAAATAGATCAAAAAGGTCACCCAACAATTAATAAGCCACTCAACCTATCCACACAGATTGCCGAGAACACTAGTCAGTGCTCGCAGAATCCGTCCTGTAGTGCAGAGAGCGATGCCAACAAACACCGTCCCACTGGTGGAGGCCGTCAAATGCGTTGTCGATCGGGTTACTATGCACCATGTGGCATGCTGCAGCCCCGTCGACAGTTTGTGGAACAGCAGCAAGCGCCCAGCAACATCTCATTGAGTCGCATCGATAGCGTGAATAGCTTCAAGGATAAATGCGGCTCACGCAGACGTGACTCCCAGCAGGATATGATCCAATACCAGCGTGTAGCTGCGCGCACTCTGCGCTCGGACGATCAGGTGAATGATACGTACTCGGAGCAGACTATTGTGGACACCATTTCCATGGCCAGCGACGTCTCTGCCAGGCCGAAGAAGCGGCACAAGTTGAAGTGTAAGTGTAAGAAGTCTTCGCATGGCGATGACGCCATTTCGGCGGCCATTGGCTCGCGTGCGAGCAGCTTCTTCCGGCGTCTGGGCATTAAGCTGAAATCGGAGAAGAGCAGCACCATCTCGATACGCAAGCAGCCGCGTGCCAAGCCGAAGCCACAGCTGGTCAGTTGCTTTGGCGAAAGACCCAGTGTGGCTGGCATGGCACGAAGAACCCAAGGTCTGCTCACGATAAACAGTCACGAGTACTATCAGCAGTGCCAGGCAGCACACGATGGCTCTCGTATGCTGGAGCGTCGATATGGTAAGGCCATGCAGTCCTATGGTAATGAGGACCCGCCATCAGGCGCACAAATCCCCAAAAACCGCACCAGAAATCCATTCGTGCGTATGCGAGATAAAAGCAATGCGGCGTTTGCTTTGCAAACCCATCGGATGACGTTGTCTGGATGTGAGCGAGGATGAAGGCAACGGCATAGGCTTTGTAAAAATCATAAATAGTCCGAAATGTTGTACCCTTATATTGTTTCTGAGCTCACCCAACCAATAGCCCAATAAATTTTTCTCACACACCACCAGTTGAAAACCTCGAACCGACCTACCGCACTCACAAAAGAATGCTGATGATGATGTAAGCAATTGCTCGTTAAATACCCATCAATGATTATTAATTTTGACATTTTAACTGACCACACATATCATTATCGAGCCATCAACAACTCGTCAGCATAATGAAGCAGACAAATTCCGAAAAGTTGCGCTGCCAACAGACTAATCAGCTCGTTACCAAAATTATCAAATCGTGGCTCTTTTTTTGAAAACCAAACAACAGCACGCCAACCAGGCATAGGTTGAGTTGTTGAGACAAGAGGGGCGATTGATGAGTTTCGCTAAAAGAAGTGGCATGTTACGTTTAAGCGTTTAAGATTTTCCAAATAACTAATATATACATAGAGATATAGTAGTTGTTAGAGATAGTTAAAAATATAATTGATTGCATTTTATACATAATAATTAGTTTTGCTAAAGCGTTTAAGACCATTTCTTATTACGGATCAATTGGTTGAATTTTAAGAAATTTTGTTTCCACGTTCTAAAGGGCAACAAATTTTTTTGAAATAGCCATAAATATAAGCAAACATGGGTGGTTTTTAACGAACTTCTTAATTAAACATTATAAACAATTCTAATTAGCATTTCAAAAGTTCCAATGCTATGACCAGACTGGCAAATAGTTTACACACAAATTTGAAGAATTTCACAAGTCAAGAATGTAATATTCAATTAAAAGTAATAAGAATTCTCCAGTAAAACACAAGTAGTTATCTCCTCTAAAACTTCACAGGAAATTTTGTGTGCAAATTATTGGCAAGCCTGACCTTAGCTTAAGTTTTTTACAAATTAAAAAACGTGGCGACCAATTTTTAAAGGAGAGAAATCACACAGCTTTGACATTTATTTGTGAACTTTATTTACATAAGTTTTTGAAATTTCCATTAGAATTTATTTGTATGGATCATTAGAAACTCTACCAATAATATAATAATAAGTGCCATCACCAAAAAAGATATTCTTAATAAAATGTAGCCTTATTTAAGCAATAACACTGCAAAAACAAAAAATATTCTACTGCAATATTTTGTTCCCCCCTTATAATATATCTTTATTTAAGAACTGTCCTAGGTAGGACAATTATTAAATTATATGGTAACCTTTAAATTTATTTGGAAATAACATTCTTCAAAAATAAGACTGTATTTGATTGCAAATTGTTTGCACGACTGACCAAATCACCTTAGACCAAGCAGACTCGTATCGCTTTTCAATAATTTCCAAGCAACCCATTAAGGTTTTTTATGATGCTTGCCACACTCTTTGTGCAACCCATTTACACGCTGGGAGTGGCGGGCGATCTTGTCTTTGGCTATCATTAGTAACGCCTGAGAGCAGAAGGTGCGACACGGCCACAGAAAATTCAATGCTCGATTGGAGCGCACGCACAGGTAACTGAACGGAAAACCGAAATTGTATTGCAGTTGCAGCTGCTGTTCGATTTCAATTGTCGGAGCTCAGTGGCAGTCGTTAAATGACGTTAAATCTCTGTAGCTGAAATAAATACTCGACTCGTATGCAAAACAGCAGCCAAAAAAAAAAAGCATTGAAATGGGGCCAACACGAAACTCGTTGGCCCCTTATGACTTCCCACAAATAAAATGTTTGCTGCAAACTCAAGCGGATAAAATACCAGAAATGTATGGAATCAACGCGACTTGACGACGCGTCGTCGCGACTTGGCCATTGACAGGCGAACAAGCAATAAGTTTCAAATAGTGCCGCCAACTTCGCGTCATCGCTTCTCAAGTCAACGAGAACCGGCACAGAGGATGCTGCACGTGCTGGAGAAGGATGAGGATGAGGACGAGGATGATGCTGACATGGAGATGGAGATGGAGACTGAGACCCAGACCGAGACTGAAGCGCAATCGAAGCGTCATCGTGTTGTCGACTTCGATGTTGATGTCAGGTCATTGCGATTTCGATTTCAATGAGTTCCGTTGAAGAAGCACTGTGAGAAATTCTTGTGACTAACTATGGGGCATCACAGCAATACATTGATATTATTTTTATCAATGCATTATGATATTCAAATGAGTTTCAACAGATTTTAAATTTAACACACAGAAATGTTCTGAAATTAAATTCAATAGATGAGCAAAATTTTTAAATGAATATAAGAATTTAGATTCATTTAAAATTTAGATGAGGTCTTATACTGAAATTAATTTCGATAGTAGATAGATTTTAGAAAAAATTTGAAAATTTACTTAAAAATTGGGAGAATAGCTTTAATAAAAAGATGTTTCACTAAAATAAATCATCTAATGTATTAGCTTATTTATAAAAACTTGAATATAAATGAAATGTTTTGTCCTTTAAATTACTTTAAACCTTAAATAATTACATTTATTACTTCTTTTTCATACATAATTTGCAGCTTTAACTTGCGAATATAAACTGTTCTTACTACCCGTTTTATCTTATAAATGTTTATATTATTGTTTTATTCAATTTCTCAAAAGGAAATTGGCACGTCTGTTAGTGGTAAAAATTCCGGTCTTTTACTAAAAAAGCCTATCGATATCTTATGATATTAAAGGATATGCCAAATTGTTTTAGCTTATGCATTTGAATAATTTCACAACATAAACTATAAAATAATTGATTTGAGGCATCCACAATTATTAATGAAAATAGAGGTATGTATCTGAATCATTTAATCAGAAAAAAATCCAGAAAATTTGTAAAAATCCCATCGAAGTTGAATTCGGATTGAAATGAAAATAAAAGCTGTTTCATCTCGCAGCTATTTGCGAGTCTTGAACAAGAATCGTATGAATTTCATCAAGAATTTACATTTGAGAATGATTGTTGTTGAATGTAATTGTTACAGCATATGCATTTTTCTTTAAATCTTTCTTTAAAACTTAAATCTTCTTTTAAATTGTATAAATTAATTTAATTCACAAAATACTGTATTCATATAAAATATCCTGAAACCAAAGACAATGTACAGAATGGGAACTTCAATCGCTATTGAAGCTTAACTTTCTCAAATAATATTAAAAATATAATAAGATGCCAATTAAAGGCATTTATAAGCCCATTGTTATAAGTTACAGTTACAAAAGTTATTTAACACAATAACTTATAACAGGCCTTAACATATGAAAGGACATTTCGATCAATTCATTTATAAATCAAAGGAAGTTATACATTGTTGGTGGAACACCTTTATTGTAAAGAGATCTGCAACCTGTTAATAGAAATGATTGAAAAGCTGTAAGTGATGGACAATTGAAAATCTTCTGCGCACGTGCATAACCCTCTCATATCTATATATTTGTAATCACTCTATTATTATTTCCTTAAGGCAGTTTTCTCTATCCCTGTTAGTTTAGTAAATTATTTCCATACAAAATATATACATAAAAATTCAAAAATTTTGCCTACAGTTTTACATTTTAAGCACAAATCTATTAATACTCAAAAAAAAGGATTAAATTAGTTTTTAAATAGAGCCTCCCCAATTCCAGCATGTTATTATTATTTATTTTATTTCCTTCCATGTAAAAAGTATAAAACAAATTGTTTTCTATTTTGAGAATCTTTACATAAGTATGTATTTCTAGTATACGGTCTTCTTTTCGTAATAAGTATTTACAACATTTTTGCCGCCTACGAGTTGCTACGTTGCATAAATAATTTTGATTAAAAATACCAAATTAATCTGAATAGTCGCTTCATGCAGCTTAGGGTAAATTCCTTGCCAACATTTTTCGTCCCGAGCACCAGCTAAAGAAGCACTTGGCCTGGCAGGACGAACAGGACCAGCAGGCAGCAGGCAATAAAGAATCTATTGCCGCCAGCAGCCACTTAAAAATGGTCGGTCGTCTGGCAACCGAACAACCGCGAGCCAGAGACTGCCTGGCAGACAGACTCAGGAGGAAAACCATTTGAAGAAAAATTCTAACCAATAAATTATTTACCATGTATAAATCACGGGGCAGACGAACCAATGCCACCAGAAGCCAGAAGGCAGATGGCAAACGCCAGACGGCAGACGGCAGAGCGCAACGAAACTTGCGCTGAAAACATGTTAAAGCCATTCAAAGATTTATTTCGAGCTCGAGCATCAAAAGTGCCACGTACCGGGCCAGGAACCGAAGCTGCATCTGAATCTGAAGCAGGACTCATATATAGTAGAGTGGTAGGAAAAAATAGAAGAAGTACAAGGAAATGGGTAAAGTTTTACCTCTGTTACCACTTTTTATTTTAATTTTCACTCGTTTCAAAAGATCTCCACGTTCTGTACTTTTTCTAAGGAGGACGGCACAGCCGAGGAAGGTGAGGTTGTGGATATGTGGGTGTGGGTGTGTGCGGGTATTTGTGAGAAGTGTGTGCCGGCTCTGTCGCAATGAATATGTGTCAGGGAAGGCAGAGACAGAGTTGCCGTCAACACATTTCTGCTCACACCACTACCCTATTAATGAACTCACAGAGTTGTGCCAACTGAGTAGCTCAAATAAAATGTTATTAATTCAATACTTCTTTTGCTTTTAGATTGAAATACAATTATTTAGTGATCGTTTGGTCATGATGCAAGCTACAACTAAAATAAAATCAAAAAGCATATTCTATATGCTAGTTCAAAGAACTATTATTTAATATTATTGCAGTACCTTTTATTAAATTTAAAATACTTCAACAAGTACTGTAAAATTATGCAAAGGAATAAACTTAAAAGGCTTAGACGTGCTTTACATTTGAAAAGAGGGGCAAAAGCAGAAAAAAAAGATCAAAAGCTGAATGCAGCTTTCAATATATATTTATAGTTCAATATTTAATATTTATTAAGTAATTCTTCTTAGCTTAGAAAGACTTTAACAAGTACTCTAAAATTATGCTTAGCTAAGAAATAAAAATAAAGAAAAGACCAAGACATGCTTTACAATTGAAAAAGAAATTTAAAAAAAGATTAAAAACGATCAAAAGCTAAATGAAGCTTTCAATTATATTGACAATGCAACATGCAACTTAGAATTGAGTTATCTGTTTTCAAGCCAGATATAGCCTTATTATTTTATATATGTAGCGGCCATAGGACCGATCGCTTTATCGATTGAAACATCTTAAACAGCTTTAGTAACCTACACGTTACCTATAGTGCCTTATCATATTCTAAATTATAATTATAAAGCAGTCATGGGAACGATCAAATCAAAAATCAATCTTAGTAGCAACAACTATTTTATTGATAATAATATCGTAACTAAAATTGTTTGCTGTTTATTAAAAGAGAGAGTGAAAGTTTTATTAACATCAATTGAATTGATAGACTTTGAATGGTCGTAGCGGGAAAAGGCCTCTTACAGGGTATTCAAGAGTGGGACTGGCACGACACTAATACTCTACTCGTTTCTTTTTATAGTAAATTTCTGTCAAAGACTCAGTTTAAAACGCTGATGACTATTGGAAACTTGAAATCAGTAGCGAAATTATTGAACAGACAAGTTTATAGTCAAGCTTTATATTTATTCACACATATTCGAATTTGGTTGCCTAAGGAATTTTACTCGCAACTTTAATCGCATTCGTGCTCCTGTTCATCCATGGGAATCACATATTTCTCGGGCTTCTCACAGGAGCACGAGGAATCGTCAGCTGAAGGCGGTGGAGCGGACTTCGAGCCCCGTCGCATGCGGAGATAAATGAAGAAGAGCGCAATGGAGGCGTATGTGACTTTGGCAACCTGAAGGCGGGCAATTGGATTATCTACATTTTACAGACGCGGTTAACATTTCTTACATTGGCGCGGCCATTTATGGTGGTGCTATTGAAGTATTTGTTGAATCCCTGCGCCATTTCTCCCTCCCTTCACCGCTCAACCAGCGTGCTCCGGAAAATTGTATGCTCCACACAATTGCTTCGTGTTGCGTTTGAAATCTAACAAATGGGCCTACTTGGTTTACATTTTAATGTACCATCTGCCGGTTCATTTCAATTCGTCTCGATGAACCACTTGGCATTGGAACAGAGCAACTCTGTGTGGCACAGAGCACCTGAATTATTGTATGGCTGACTTGCTGTTTGATTTCGTGGTTGCTTCCAAGTGTTTAAGTTTCTGTTGTTGCCGTATAGCGCGCAACTTAAGCCAACAAAGTTCGTGCCACAACTTGCCGCAGTTCCATAATTTACTGCCTGCCTGTACTCGTACAGCGCGGTACCGTTAAGCAGCTGCATTAACGTTTCTCAGCTCGAAGAACAAAAATGTTGCCACCACATTGGTGGCGGTGGGCGGTTGGCAGTAAAATCCAAGCGAGTAATGCCACAAATGCATATTGCTCATAATATTCGCTTATTATGCGGTTAAGCAGAGCAGTTCCTAAAGTCAACTAATTGTTGCAAATATGCTTTAGCCGCTTTAAAAAGATGGGCATAATTCGAATTGTTCGTAAGGCGCTGTAAAATCAACACAACACACATCCTAGCAATTTGAGGTTCTTTATGGAAAGGAAGAATGGTTCCTAACATGGGCACTTCAAAAAAAAGTGCTTTGTGTTTTACACCTGATATATTGCTAATAACTATTAATCATTTTTTACAGATAGAGTAATTTTTTTATGTTTGTTGCATTTAAATAATTATGAAATGTTTAAATATATCTTTTAGTTTTTCGAGATTTTTGCTTATGTTTTTAAATTTAGAATTTCAACAAATATTTGTTTGGCGATTTGTCAATTTATAAACTATGCATTTTTTTAAATTTTAAAAATTACCAAAGCAGTTTTTATTATATCACTATTTTTTGTCGAAAAATAAACTTTATATATTTTTTAATAATTTATTTTTAATTTTGAGTATAAGTAATTTTTATTTCAAGTTTGAGTTTTAAATAGAAAGATTTTGTGTAGATTTATGGTAATTTTAATTTAAGTTTGTTTGCAAAAAAGCTTCGAATTATTAGTTAGTATTAATAGTTTTGCCTGTTCTGAACTAGTTGGTGTATTATCCGACTACGTGTTTTTAGCAGAGAGATAGTACTTGCAATAGAATGTAGAGAAAAGAAAAGTATGGATTTAGCAAACATTTTGTTTACTTGAATATTGAATTATTTTCAAATTTGGCAGTGTTAAAGAAGAAACCATTTATTAATAATTATCTATTAAATATACTATTAATTATTTATGAAAATATATTTAGTTTACTAGAGTTAAAACACTTTTGACCAATTTTGATTTTGAATCGGTAAATTAAATTCCGCCTAACGTGTCGAAGGCGTTAACATACATTATTATATAGTTGTTGGAATATTTTCAAGGCATTCTTATTCTTTTAAGTTGAAATTGTAACGTAATGTTCATTGTAAGCTATATTTATTGAAGAAATAAATAAAATAAAATTTATGTCGATTGAATGCCCAAGAATGTGTTATAATAGTGATTCGAAATATCTGTGAAAAGCATCAGCTTATTGGAGACCATTAGGCCTTTATTATGTTAGTTATTACAAGTATTTCCCGTTTTAGCAACTCAAGTTTTATAAGCAAACTATTTTAACTTGCAATAAACGAGAAATGTGTAATAAAATACGGCTTTCTTTGTTTCCAAAGTTATTAAACCAGTCAAAGGTGTGCACTGCCCTATTGGCAGTGGATAAAAAATGCTCTTAAATGGTTGCCACACTCGTAAAGCTCTCAGAAACACCTAAAACTTTTACAGCCATGCAGTTAATATCTCTTTACCATTTAACCGAGCAACTGCAGGAATACAAATTTGAGAATAAAGACATTATTACGAGCGCATATGCACAAATAAATGTGTGGCAGATATTTAAAGCAATATAAATTGCTATAAAATCCACAGACACACACTCATACACACATCTGAAGCTAATCAGAGCCCCAATCGTGCACATTTTATATGCGAGTACTATGTGGAGGGACTTGCTTCATAAGCTTAAAGAAGCCGACGCTGTCTAAAAATGTAGAATGTAGAGCTCACAAATGGCATTATAATGAAATTCTCTGCCCTCGCACTTGTTCCCGCTTCTCATCATCATCGTCGGCGTCGCCGTCGCACTTTTTTAAGTAAATTATAAAGCATTGAAATTTGAAAAGCAAATAACACAAAAAGTATGCAAAAGTCAGGCCGGAAGTTGAAGGAAACGCAGACAATGTGGCTGGCTGGCTGGCTGGCTCGCAAGCTGACTGCATGTGTGAGTTGGTGAGTTGATGAGGGAGGGGCGGAGGGATGGAGGGATGGAGGGGGTGATGGCCACTAGGGGGCGAGTTCAAGTTTTATGTGAAGGCAAAAGCTGCTGCAACAACGAATGTCTGCGTCTCTCAGTCTGTCCAAGTGTAAGCACGTCTCTTCGTCTGTTCGTCTGTTTGGAGGTCCTTCTGCTTACATTCTATGCTGTCTTTCATTTGCTGTCGCTTCCTTCCTTCCCCCCTCCTCACTCTCTCTCTCTTTCCTTTCTATGCATATTGTCTGTTTGCGTGTGTGGCCATGTCTGTGTCTATTGTTTGAAGAGAGCTGACTTCTCTTGCCCGCAATTTCCAGCCTCTGTCTTAGACCTGCTTCTTCTTCGGTTGACTATAAATTTTTGTCGTTTCGAATACCCCACCAACTAAATGCAGATTTAGTTTCTAGTTTCACTCTAAACTTGATGATTTTTTAATTGTTGGTAGTTCGTAAGCATACACAGGATTTGAACAGAAACAAATATAAAAGGCAAAGGCCTAGCCTGGCACAAAAACATTCCCAATTCGTTGCCTTATTGAAGCCATTTGAAATATTACATTTATTTCACTTAAATTCGTGTTGATTTTCCAGACTTCTCAAATATTTTTGAACAGATATAGATGTGTTCCAAATGTGATGTTGTGGCCACATTCCCCGGACATAAATCTCATTGATAACATTTGGGGACTAGTGTCCCAAAAGTATTTGGCGACGGAAGAAAATTTGACAATTATGCGATTTTTTTTAAATTGTTAAAAAATATTAGAAGTTCTGGCAGAAATATATATGACAATATATATATATAGTTTAAAATGCCAAATCTGTGAATTGTTTGATTTTAAAGTGTTTCAAGTTTCAAGTTTCGAAATAAATAATCATTACTGGGTCTGTTTATGGAAAAAATTTGGAAATAAATTTAGTAATATATTTTATTAATAAGTTCAAATTTTAATTTCAAAATGTAGATACAATTTTGTGTAGTATCCGCGAAAGCTTGACGGATAAAACTTTCAACCTCCTATTGTTCCATTTAATGAACGAATTGGACCTCAACATTGGCACGTCCATTTCATAAATAGATACTTTGTTACGTTTTTATAAATTAATGGTAAGCATTTTCCAAAATTATAAAATAGAAGAATTATCTGATCTCAAAATATAGACAAAATAGTTCTTAAAAATACGAAATTTGTCGCACTTTACTAAAATGTACAGTATACGGAATAGCTCTACAATAAAGTTGTAACTGTTTGGACTAAAACAATCGAACTTCTTATCGGATTGGGTTCCTTTCTGACTTGGTTCAGAATTCCATTTTCGATCACCTTTATATTGTAACTCTCGAAATTTGGGACTACTATGTAACTGGTAAACATATCTGCTTCTCACACACAAAGAACAAATTCAATCGCAGCCCAATTATAATTAATTGTTGAACATAAATCTTACACATATGTACACACGAGTATGTGTAAGTACTTTAAAGTAAGCAGTGAGGTGCTGTCGACAGCTTTACTGTAAAATTAATTACAATTAAGTGCAGGTAGGGCGAAAAATGTGTTTAAATGTGTAAAAATGGCCGAGGGCCTGCAAAACAAAAGAGAAAGAGGGAGCACTTACAACGTCACAAGTTGAAACAGGACTTTTATCCGCAAACTGCTCAGTAAACGTACGGCACTAAATCCCAAAAGCGTTTAGCAGTAGATTGATGTGAAGTGAAGAGTGTAGCAGTAATGGGTGGCGAAAAAACAGTAGTTGTAGGCGACTACAACAAGTGGTGCCGTTATTTGCTTATATTGCTGTTCTTGTTGTTGGGACTGTTTGTTCACTCTGTTCTTTTTTTGCGCGGCTGCTGTTGGGTTTGTTGTTGTTGCTGCTGCTAATCCACTTTAACAGTTCTGCCTGCCTCTCTCACTCTCAGTCCGCTCTCAATTGAGCTTTTTGCACACTGCACTTTTTGCTTTTTTTTTACCAAATCCTAAAGGTGCCAAAGGCAAGCCGGCACACACACACACGCACACACGCGTAGTAATGTACGCACACAGGTGCAAGCTCGAGGCTGCAAAAGTTTTTGGTGCACTCTTTGTTGTTGTTTCTCGCACTGATTGTTACACACTAAAATCGAATTAAACTTGCCGTCGTCATCCTCAGCCTCATCGCCGTCGTCGACGTCGTCTTCGTCGTGTGCGACGCTTTTACTACAATTTGGCTGTTGTTGTTTCTGTTGTTATTGTTGTATTTTTGCCGCACTTTCCACACGTTGCACCAGAACTTTCGCTCTAACTTTTACTTTGTTTGCTAGCGGCTAAGAAAAAAATGAGAACAATTTTTTTCTTTTTAATTTTTTGCTCAAAAACTTTTAAGACATACAATTTTGCTCTTTTGGGCACACAACATTATTTTTTTTTCATTTTCATCTCCTTCTGCCTTCTTGGCAGCCAACACACACGCACGACGTAAGCTGAGCGCGTAAAAAGGATTCTCAAATGGGAAACGCGAAACGCTGACAAAAGTTGTCGCCCCTTCTTCCCAGAATCCCCAACAAAACGAAGTCGCGCTTAGTTGGCGTTGCCTTCGCCGTTTTATGTTATTTTTTAGTGGGTTGGTGTTGCTGTGGCAGTTGAGTGTTGTTCTTCTTTTTATGATGTATTTATTTATTATAATTATTTTTTATTGTTTGTGCGCCTTACTTTTCGCCGCCCTGTTCTGCTTTAAGATCAAAGACAAAGCAGGGCCAAGCAAAAGTTTTCTGTAAAATGAGAGGGCGCAGTAATTTTATGGCTTAAATAAAAATTGCCAACAAGATTTCCTTCATTAATATTCATTTAAGTGATTTAAATTTTGCCCACAGAGCTACCGAAGTGCCAAATAGGATTTATATTAAGCCAATTTAGTTTACAAGTTAGTTTATGCGAAGAAAATGTTGCCGAGCTGCCTTACTTAGAGGTGATTGAAGTCTTAGCTGTGCAAGGTGTTGAAAAGTTGCTTCAACTTCTTAGGAAAGAGGAAAAGCTGTTAAAGTGTTATTTACTAGTTAAGTTTTTTAAATTAAAACACTTTGCTTATATTCGAGCATAGAAACAACCGAAAACTAATTTCTAATTGGGTAAATGGGGAAAACTTAAATACAATCGAAATTAGGGAGCTTAAATACAAATTATTTATTTCATATACAATATATTAAATACTATAAAGGCAGCGGTAAAGTTTTGGAATATCTTGATGATGTAAATTTGTAAAATTATCTAAAAATATATGTAAGTCTAACGGTTTTTAACTTAAGCCGCATAATATAGCGCCGAATTGTATTTAGAAGTGTGTTTGAAAAGAAATTAGTATTTTGAGGTGCCTTTGCTGGTTTTTAAATCTTGATTTAAATATTAAAGTAGGAAGAAGGGATGGAATATATGCCATTATTGCATTGCATTATTAAAATTACTTCTAAATCGGCTAAATCGATAAAATTGGACAAGATATTGAAATTGTGTTACCTTGTTAAGGTAGAAGATATGCAATTTGTTCAGTATTTCTTTGGCGATTTGCTTGATTCAAAAGTCATTTTATGGAACCCTTATGTTAATATTAATACTTTTTCTAACTCCGTTTTCAACACCAGGAACAATTCATTCAAAATATTTGAGGTTGGAATCTGTAAATACTGCATTGTACTCTAAAGATAAAAAGATCATATGAATTCTTCTACCTTTTCATCGGTTAATGAAGCTTATACCATGGCTATATTATCGAAATTTATGGAAGGTACTGCTGCTATTTTTTTCAATTTAAAGGTAGAACATAATATAACACAAATTTTTGAATCAAAATAAATGATCCTTTTGTGGTTTTGGAAACATTTGTAAACTCCCATGAGGGACAATTATAGGCAATCTTGAACCCAGAAATATGTTTATTGTTTTTTTTTTCACAGTTGATTTTAACTTGTCTTTTTAAAATTATATTTTGTGCATTACTAAGTAGAATAGAACACAAGCTTTTCTTGATTTTGAAAACTGGTTTTAGCTCCCATGCAAAACAAATTTGAAGCTGTTTTAAAATTTATTTTTTACAGTCCAGTCCAACTTTATGATTTATAATAAAAATTAGGCACTAAAACGATTTATTTTTTTGATCACAATTCTTCTTCTTCTTCATGGATCTTGAGAACAAATTTACAATCTCAACTTTCTGCATATTCAAATAAATTGATTAGATTTTCAGCTACTTATGCAAGCAATTGAATTTATTTATTGCTGCATCGCTCATTTAATGCACAATTGTGGGGAATTTTTTTAACAAAGCCGGCGCAACAATCAAATATGCAGCCACCCACAACCACACACACGAACACATCGGCAGCGACGAAGGCAACGGCAACGGCGACAGCGACAACTACAACTACAAGAACAATACGAGCGTTAGATTTACCGTAAACACAAACCGTACGCACAGAAAACCTTTTTCAAACTGTTCGTCGCCTTTTGAAAAACAACAGTCGCAAGAACTTGGCCAGCAACAATGTTGCGGCAGCATGATGAAAACAAACATGTTTGAGTGGAATTAGCAGTGTGTGTTGCACGTTTGATTGCAGCAGGTTTGAGCGAGTTCCATGTGCCACAAATGCTGCAAAACGTGGTGAGTTTCCGCAGCAACATTTTCATGTCTACACAACATGTTTCGCAACATTAAAGTTGCTATACTTAGTCGTCATGTTGCAAAGCACTGAAGATGATTTGAACTTCTTTTGTTATTCGATGCATTCAGATTGTTTTGATCAGAACAATAACTTTTTGAAAGCGTGTTAATGTGCAGACAAATTAAGCAATTAGATTGGAAATCTTAGCGGCATGAGAGCGCACTTTAAAGTGCATTTTTATATAATTTGATGAAAGCAAAGAAGACAGAGAAAAGTTTTCCCAGCTTCAGAGTTAATGTTCTATTAAAAAACATAACAAACTTTCAAAACGCACTTCATATCAGTAAAAATTTGCCTATATGTATAGGGATAAGTTAAAAGTTTCCTGGGACCAGCTAATAACATTTGTCCTTAGCAGCAGAAGTATCACAATAATTTTTTATTTGGAAATATTTTGTCCCTTTTTATACCCTTTACCCGTAGGGTAAAAAGGGTATATTAGGTTTGTGCAAAGTATGTAACATACAGAAGGAAGCATCTCCGACCCCATAAAGTATATATATTCTTGATCAGCATGACGAGAGAAATCGATCTAGACATGTCCGTCCGTCTGTCCGTCCGTCTGTCCGTCCGTCTGTCCGTCCGTCTGTCCGTCTGGATGAACGCGAGGATCTCAGAAACTATAAAAGCTAGAATAACAAAAGTTGGCATCCAGATTCTCCTAGGTCCGAGTAAGGACGAGTTTATTTTTTTTTTTTAAATTTTCCCCCCCTTCCCCCGCTGCAGAATTTCGTCAATAGCGTCCACATTTCAAAAGCTACCTAAACCAAACTTTGCACTCATCATTTATAAATAATTATCTACTGTTGTTTAAAATTTTATTCAATTCTGTCAATTCTAAGAAAAGTTATTAGCGAAACAAATTCTTGCCAGTACAACCCCCCCAAACTGCAACAAGTTCGCTCTTCTTCTTCCTCTTTTTGCTGCTGCTTTGGGCGCATATAACTCAGTGACGGAAGATTACCTGGTTACAGGGTATTACACTGTCGGGCTTGCTCGACTGTAGCGTTCTCTCTTGTTTAACTTAACATTTAGGTATAGCTCAGCGATCTAGCTTAATCACGTCACAACCATCATGAAGAACGTATGTTTGAACAAATCTAATGCTACCATATAATTCAATTATTGTCCTCCTTAGGACAGATTGTAAATAAAGAATAAAGATTTAAAAAATATATATATTTAGGGTTTTTTTTTATTTCTAAGTATTTTAAAAATATTCTTACGTTCCTTTATTTTCTTGATAAATATAGTAAGTAAAAAAATAAATAAATATGATATGGTTAAATCACGAAGGATTGGAAGACCACGCTCCTCCGCATAAATTAAGTCCATGGGCTGTGGATTTTTCATTTATGAAAATTCAGTCTTTGTGTTCATCGGTGAGGGAAAGTAATAATTTATCTTAAAACCCATTAATTCAGGCTGCAGGAAAAATTCCAAAAGCCATTATCTTTGCGCGGTCATTTTAATAAAGCAGCTTGAAGATATATACCCGTATATACTTTTATGGAATCGAAGTCTTTGGTAACGGTGATGCCTTAGGTCAGAACAAAATAAAAGTTGCTTTTAATAGCTTAGTACGATATATTTTTGACACAAAAAGAAGAAGGGACGCTAACAAAATATAACAAAATATAGAAATTTACCATAAACTCTTGGATTCAATTTAGAACCCTCATTCTCGCATATAACCACGAAAGAAACCAAATTATTTGTATTACATTAAAAAGAAGAAATAATAAAGTACAAAATTGCCAGTTCTAACAGGAATATCTTTATATTCTCCTGTTCGTCTGTGGAACGAGCTATCGCGTAAGGTAGAGATAATCAGCAGTGAAACGCGCTTAAAAGTTAAAATAAAGCACACTTGCAATAGAAAAACTAAAGGAACGCAACCTTTGTATTATTATTATTAAAAAATTGTTACAATTTTAAAAGAAGATAGAAAACAAAAAAATAAATAAATATATCGAATAATATTAGTAATACACGTAAGTATGTACATACATATTATAGTTACATCGAAAACTAACAATTTTACAATTTTAAAAGAAGATAGAAAACAAAAAAATAAATAAATATATCGAATAATATTAGTAATACACGTAAGTATGTACATACATATTATAGTTACATCGAAAACTAACACTAGTCAAGGTTTATAAAAAAGTAAATTGAAATAACTAAGTATATGGGGAGTGGGACCAGGTAGAGGGGAGCTCATTCATAAAAAAAAGTAATCAATAAAGGGCCTTAAGGCACACCTGATGATACAAAAAACGGGCTTAGAAATGTGAGGCATGAGCAACATCCATTGGGTCCTGCTTTTCGGGACGAATTCCAACACAAATAGATAGAAGAAAAAGGTGTACGACATAGCTTAAAGAGCAGAAGATCATTGCTCGCAGAGTCCAATGCTTTACTGAAGTCGTTGCAAATGACATTAGTTTGCCTTTAAAGAAGGTTAATACCAAGGAGGCCTGTTTCTGAAACCATGTTGAGCAAGAAAAACCTTTTATAATACCTTTTTTATACCGTGCACCCTTAAAAAGGGTATATTATATTCCTAATCAACATGACGAGACGACACTGCTGTTATCAATCTTTTTTTTTGTTCATCTGCTTAGAACAAAACTTACGTCTTTGTGCTTAAATCGAAATTAATTCACCAGAGCTTAGAGTTTCAAAGATATCGCTACGATCAGCTACAACCACTTTTTCCTAAACAGAAATAAAATGGAAAGAGTTACGAGTGAAATGTGAATTTTTATATTATTTTTATTAATAGTTATTTTTATTAATAGTTCGTTAAAAGCTTTGGTCAGTTTCAATAATAACGAATCGGTATGTACTTGTATATATACATTTTATTCGCTAAAATGTAAATTATAAACGTAGAGTAAGCTTTTTTAATTGCAATTAAAAGGATACTTTTTTTACGTTTAATATGATGTGCAATTAAAAATTTTAAGAAATTACTGACTTGCATGTATTGGAACACAACTGCGGAACCTACTGCTTTTAACGTCACAGGCCCACAATAAAATATATCGCTCAGGAAGTACATCTTAATCTCAAAAATATTATTATTTACACTCTGAAATTCTAAAATGAACTTTTCAAAAATAATACAGAACAAACCGAATTATGCTGTTTAGGTAGCATAATTTGCAAATATTTTAATCACTCAGAGAAATCGTTTGAACCCAAATATTATATAAGCATATGTACATATACTTCCACTTCAGTCTATATTCGAATTTTATAAATAATTTACTTTTTAAGAGCTCAAGGCGCCAGCATTCAAAGCTAAACTTTCTGTTTAATAACTAATAAACAATGAAATGCTTTGAACATATTAAATAATATCGTTTTAAGTTGATATTGCATAAACATGTATTATATTTTGTCTTTTCCTTTTCTCATTCGATATTTTATCACGTCAAAAAAAGTATTTAATACTATGAATTTCAGTTAAATTTTATTTTTGTATTATATTAATTGGTCGATTCGGTTTAATAAATCACTTTTTTAAATATTTTTATGTAATGAAAATAAATTGTAGAATCTTCACTGCTTGTGAGCGAAACATTTTGGCATTTTATGATTTTCTTTTTGAGTATTCAAAATAGTTAATGTGGTGGGGACATCATCAAATAATTCGAAACACTGTCTTATTTTTGCAAAACTTGGAATTTTCAACTGCCCAGATGGGAGAGCACGTTTTTCGAGCATATATGATATTTTGAAAAAGGTTATTAAGTAAACTACATTTGATTTCAATAACTAAATCTAATTGTGAGTAGACTAATCGCATTTCTCTCGTTGCGTTAGACATATTTTAATTAAATACCGCAATTTGCGCTCCTAATCGATAAATGTATCGTCAAACTGATGTCGCAGTACAGAGCTGCCACACTGCAGCAACAAATGCAAGGTGGCAGTTGAGTTTAAGAAATTGTTTAGCTGAAGAATCAGGTACGCTTTTAATTATAAAGCCGGCCATCCACACACGAATTGGCTCGACGAACTTGTTAGGCAGCTAAAATCCTTTTTCCCACTGACGAGTCGAACACTGTTTGCAAACATAATTTGATAAAAAATTTCAGCGAGAAAAAACGAAAAAATGGATGTGGAAAAACACTAATATGCGTAGAGCGACAAAATGTGCAATTTTTCCATGCTTTTTTGCGCAAATGTTTGTTTTTGTAATATTTAGTTTTATTTTTCCAAAATGATGTCCTATTTTGGAGGCAATCAATAAAATCGAGCAAAAATTCTTTGCACAAATATTCTTCACAAAGCCATACACTACTGAAGATTTTCGAATTCGCGACTGTGTGGCTCGCTTTCAAAATACTAAAGCGATTAAAAGCGGTAATTTGCGTGCCTACTCGATAAGTGTATCGTCGAACTGATGTCACATAGTAGAGCTGCCAGACTGCGGCGGCAAATTTAAGTTGGCAGCACCGCGGCGAGCTGTCAAACAGCGGCCGAGCACACACACAACGTTGTTCGTTCTTTTCTGTCAATACGCCAGTGCAGGCGTGTAGTGTTTTTAAAAGTTGGTCCACGAAAATCACTAAACATCCAAAATGGTAGGTGAAAAAAATAGAAAATAAGTGCTTTAATTGCGACTCGATACAATCCAAGGGCGCAGCGCTTAAGTATTTTACGCAAATGTGCTGAAAAAAATGTAATAAGTGAAAAACTACCGATGTGACCTAATCTGCAGATATATGGTCTGTGTGTGTGTGCGAGCGAGTGGTGAAATGCAAGACAAAGGCCGAAATGCATGAAGAGAAAAAAAAGAAGAAAGTAGTGGGAAACTGCAAAATGACGTGTGCACTTTGCGTTTGATAATGAAATACTTGGCTAGCAACGGCAGAACATGCTGATAGGTGTGTCCGTGTGTCTATATGTTTGTATATATGTATTTTTATGTGGGAATTTCTTGTGAAATTCCACGGCATGTACTATACAACAAATGGCCAACACAAGTGGCTTTTGTCTAGCCCTAACCTCAAAGTCGCACACGTATGTCTGTCTATATATGTATGTAAGTGTATGAGATTGATTGTACATACAGATGTAGCTGAGTATATGTAGTTGTGTGTATGTGTAGACGCCATTTTTAATGAGGCCAACTCTGACAAAGATTTTTCTTCTACTCTCCTCTCTTCCCTTCCTTTTTGTTTTTGTAGGTCAACTTCACCGTCGACGAAATCCGTGGCCTGATGGACAAGAAGCGTAACATTCGCAACATGTCCGTCATCGCCCACGTCGACCATGGTAAATCCACTCTGACTGACTCGCTGGTGTCCAAGGCTGGTATCATTGCTGGTGCCAAGGCCGGTGAGACGCGTTTCACCGATACGCGTAAGGACGAACAGGAGCGTTGCATTACCATCAAGTCGACGTAAGTCCGTCAACAAACCACGCACTCAATGCCCACCATGACTAATTCTCATGCAAACACATACATTTCTATATATATATAAATGTAGTGCCATCTCCATGTACTTCGAGGTTGAGGACAAGGATTTGGTGTTCATCACCCATGCCGATCAGCGTGAGAAGGAGTGCAAGGGTTTCTTGATCAATCTGATCGATTCACCCGGTCACGTTGATTTCTCCTCGGAAGTGACAGCCGCTCTGCGCGTCACCGATGGTGCGCTCGTCGTCGTCGATTGCGTGTCTGGTGTGTGCGTCCAAACGGAGACTGTGCTGCGTCAGGCCATCGCTGAGCGTATCAAGCCCATTCTGTTCATGAACAAGATGGACCGTGCTCTGCTCGAACTGCAATTGGACGCTGAGGAACTGTACCAGACCTTCCAGCGTATTGTGGAGAATGTGAACGTCATTATTGCCACCTACAATGACGATGGCGGTCCAATGGGAGAGGTCCGTGTTGATCCATCGAAGGGTTCGGTCGGTTTCGGTTCGGGTCTGCACGGATGGGCCTTCACCCTCAAGCAGTTCTCTGAGATGTACTCCGAGAAATTCAAGATCGATGTTGTCAAGCTAATGAACCGGTAAGTAGTCAGTTAAACAATTCAATCACGAGTTTGGTTTCTATTTTTACAAGCAACGTAACAAATTAGTGGACTACCGATAAACTAAATAGATCAACAAAATTCTAAAAGTTCAAGTGATTCGCTATTCCATTGAGCCCCAATCTACTAATTAATTGTCATATATATTATGCGTTAAGGTTCTTCTTAACTAACAGAGCTCACAGTAGACGTTCACTTCAATCCCAAAAATGTACAGCTTCTATATCAAAGGAAACGCATTGTCATCTCATTATAGTAGATATAAATGCAATATTTTGTCCATTGGGAGTTACGTAATTTCATAGTTTGATTTGGAACTTCATTGCTTTTAGCACAAAACGTGTGACGCTGAGCGTACTGCAGCTTTGTGGTCCTTCGGGACCTTTTAGCTCAGCGCGTGCGGAGGGCGCCACAAGTGCATGAACAATAAAAGCAGATGAAAATTGTTGCTAGCTCCGTAAGGAGTATGCAGCATGAAACGCCGCTGCTGAAACGCTACGTCGCGACCTCTTTCCTAATGTCTTAACGACGCATGCTAAGGCAAGGGCGTTACATTTTAAACGGCCATCCAAACTAAATCAATCGCACACATACTTGTTCCTAAGAATAACCATATGGCTATATCTCTTTCTTACAGTCTGTGGGGTGAGAACTTCTTCAATGCCAAGACCAAGAAGTGGCAGAAGCAAAAGGAGGCCGACAACAAGCGCTCCTTCTGCATGTACATCTTGGATCCCATCTACAAGGTGTTCGATGCCATCATGAACTACAAAAAGGAGGAGATCCCTGTGTTGCTAGAGAAAATCGGTGTGACGCTGAAGCACGAGGACAAGGATAAGGATGGCAAGGCGCTGTTGAAGACTGTGATGCGCACCTGGTTGCCAGCCGGTGAGGCTTTGCTTCAGATGATTGCCATTCACTTGCCCTCGCCTGTGGTGGCCCAAAAATACCGTATGGAGATGTTGTACGAGGGTCCCCATGACGATGAGGCCGCCGTCGCTGTAAAGAACTGCGATCCCGATGGCCCTCTGATGATGTACATTTCTAAAATGGTGCCGACCTCCGATAAGGGTCGTTTCTATGCCTTCGGTCGTGTGTTCTCCGGCAAGGTTGCCACTGGCCAGAAGTGCCGCATCATGGGCCCCAACTATGTGCCCGGCAAGAAGGAGGATTTGTACGAGAAGGCCATTCAGCGTACCATTTTGATGATGGGTCGCTATGTGGAGGCCATCGAGGATGTGCCCTCTGGCAACATTTGCGGTCTGGTTGGTGTTGATCAGTTCTTGGTCAAGACTGGTACCATTACCACATTCAAGGATGCGCACAACATGAAGGTACGGGCCAGAACCACGGCACCTGAAATCTGATCTACAATAGACTAAACATATTTCCTTTTTTAACTCGCAATAGGTCATGAAGTTCTCCGTATCGCCTGTCGTGCGTGTGGCTGTGGAGCCCAAGAACCCTGCCGATTTGCCCAAACTTGTGGAGGGTCTGAAGCGTTTGGCCAAATCCGATCCTATGGTGCAATGTATCATTGAAGAGTCTGGCGAGCATATCATTGCCGGTGCCGGTGAATTGCATTTGGAAATTTGCCTGAAGGATTTGGAAGAAGATCACGCTTGCATCCCACTAAAGAAGTCCGACCCTGTTGTGTCTTATCGCGAAACTGTCTTCGAGGAATCCAACCAAATGTGCTTGTCCAAGTCCCCCAACAAGCACAACCGTCTGCTGATGAAGGCTCTGCCTATGCCCGACGGTCTGCCCGAGGACATTGACAATGGCGATGTCAGTTCCAAGGATGATTTCAAGGTGCGCGCCCGCTACCTGGCTGAGAAGTACGATTACGATGTGACCGAGGCCCGTAAGATCTGGTGCTTCGGCCCCGACGGTACCGGCCCCAACTTCATCCTCGATTGCACCAAATCCGTGCAATACTTGAACGAAATCAAGGACTCCGTGGTCGCTGGCTTCCAGTGGGCCTCCAAGGAGGGCATCATGGCCGATGAGAATATGCGTGGTGTGCGCTTCAACATCTATGATGTCACCCTGCACGCTGATGCCATCCATCGTGGTGGTGGCCAGATCATTCCAACCACGCGTCGTTGCCTGTACGCAGCCGCCATCACCGCCGGCCCACGTCTCATGGAACCCGTGTATCTGTGCGAAATCCAATGTCCCGAAGTCGCTGTTGGTGGCATCTACGGTGTGCTCAACAGACGTCGTGGCCATGTCTTCGAGGAGGCTCAAGTCGTGGGTACCCCCATGTTCGTGGTCAAGGCCTACTTGCCTGTCAACGAATCCTTCGGCTTCACCGCCGATCTCCGCTCCAACACCGGTGGCCAGGCCTTCCCACAGTGCGTCTTCGATCACTGGCAAGTGCTGCCCGGTGACCCGTGCGAGCCCTCAAGCAAACCCTACCAAATTGTGCAAGACACGCGTAAACGCAAGGGTCTCAAGGAGGGTCTGCCCGATTTGGCCCAGTATTTGGACAAGTTGTAAGCGAGAACAACAACAACAACATCGAGGTTGTGCCGCCGGCTGAGCGAACAAACAATAGAGGCGGCATGTGGCCGGAACAAACAACAGCAGCTTTGCAACAAACAACAGCAAACAATACACGTTTAAAGAAATTTTGATGATTATTAATTGTATAACAGTGAAAACACAACAACAAAATAAATCAAGTAAATGATTATTACTTTTAAGTTTATATATAAAAAAAAAACAAACAAACTAGAGAAAAAATACACACAAAGAGCACGCATTTGTACTCGAAAAAGAAAACAAAAGCCAATCAAAAACAACAACAATGCATACGGGAATTCTGCGAAATGCAAGCAGCGGCGGCGACTGCAGCTTTAGCCGGCTGCGCAGTCGACGTGGCGTGCTAATGAATGCGCACGCGTTCTGCTGCGCTAACGGTGGTTTCTTGTTCTGGTGGTGGGCAGTGTTGCGAGCTCTCGAGCGTCAGAAAAGGCTAGATCAGCAATTGAAAAAAGCTATAAATAAGGTTTAATGCTGATAGGCTTCTTTTTTTTGTATTTTCCATAAAAAAAACAGCTGTAGAATGCCACAAATGCCTAATTTTCATTTGTATACGACTGTTCAGCTATTAATGAATTTGATAGTGGGAAACATTACTAGAAATCCCCAATTGAAAGATACATGGTATATGTATGTTACGATATCCAATTTAAAACCAATATCTTCAAAGGCAAAAATATGTTTGGTGAGACTCGTTTAAAGGCATTATTCAAATGACTTCTACAGTATATACGTAGGTTGTCAGGTTGGACTCTATCATACATCCTACTCTGATTTACAAATGTAAAATGAAAAACACGAAAACAAACAACTATTTCCCAGCCAACGCAATGGGCTTTATAATTAAACATAAAAACCGAGTGGTATAACAGCTGTTATTACTACCTGTTTTGAAAAAGTCACTTGAACTTCCATTAGTGCTATAATAATTATGTTCGACATTAGAAAAACAAGAGGTGGCGGGAAAATGGCTAAGCCAGCAACACTGTTGGTGGGATGGGAAGAGTGGAATCAGAGCTGGACGCGACTGCACCAATGAAGCGTGCATAAATGCGACGCGTGGCGCCTGCCAGCAAAATCATCAGTCATTTGAGCACATAAACATATTAATATATGTATGTACATACTATATATACACACAGCAAATCAATTTTAATGATTTTAACAAATGTGCGACATGCGTCCGTTACTGCTGACTGGACGCACGCATGGCGGAGCTGTCAGTTCTTGTGTCGGAAAATGCTAGATCAGCAATTAAAATTATTTAGAAATAGCAAAGAAATAATATGGCTGGTAAAACGATGATAATACATTTTTAGAACACCTACTTATATTTACAATATATTGTATTACAATATAAATTTTGACGTCCATGTCTTTCAGTAAAACTGGTTTCAAGACTTATTTTAATAACTTCTACATGATACAAGTGGTCTACCCTAGTCGGTCAAAAATCGTTCTTCAAAGTATGAGAAAACATATCAAGTTTAACTCGATTTACATACAAATACCTTCTAATTAGTACTTAAACTTCAAAAAACGCTGGAAATACCTCCAGTCATAGAAAATATTTGCCAGCATCTGCATTCGAAAAACTCTGCAGATGGTGGGAAAATAGCTGAACTGGCAACACTGATGGCGGCAAGTAGAACAACAAACAACAGTGGCAAGAGTACCAGGCCGGCAAATAAACAAGTAACGGCGCCGTTTCCACCTCCCACACACAAGTTCAGAGCGCCCGCTCTCACTAACATGCGCTCTTTTTGGCTTTATGCCGCATACAGTGGTCAAACGGCCATATTCCTAATGCAAATTGTTGACTGCTTTTTCTATTTTAGTTTTTAAATGAGTATAATAATAAATTAAATATAATACTCTATATTGAATAAAAGTAATAATTAAATAATAAAGGCTGCCCTTTAAATATCTCAATTACGTAATACGTTGAATTAAATTACGAAATTATTATAAATATGTATACTCGTATTACAATACATTTTTCAAAACTGATTGCTTTTTGGGCTTTACAGTCAGATATTCTAAGTAGGGCTTGTTCGCTGCAGCTCTGAATTAACAAAAGTCGATGGGTGATGTGGTGGGGTGGGTAAAAAAAAACGGTTCATCCGAAGTCCAGTGAAAATTCTTTTATTTAGGCGTCTATGTGTAAAATTGTGGGATACTTAAAGAAAAAGTTCACAGATTCTTTGCAGAGGTGTTTAGGAGAATTGTGTTGTCTCAAATTAAATACTTATATTCGATTGTAAATAACCCTTTAATATCGTACTCCTGTAACAGAAATAGTTAACGAACTCTATAGCTCCATTAAATATTACTAACTATATTGCTAAATATTGTTAACTATTTCTTGGTTTAAATTATTTAACACAATTTTTTACTTCCGCACTGTATCTTCATTGTTCTATTTTCATAAAAAACATTGTTTACAACTGATTCAAATTTATGACAAAACAAACTTCGCATAATACGGTTATGCCATTTGTAATAAAAAATAAATAAAAACAACAGCTATTGTAACTTTTATTTATTGTTCTGACTATTCCGGTAATTGATATTTATTTATGTAGATACATAACATTTAAATAATTGAACAGCCAAAGTACATAAAGGTATAACTTTGTTTGGAAATTCCATTTCATTTGACCAATTTGAAATGGTCGACTGATTTACATTTATAATAGTAATTGTAATCAAGTCTTGTTACAGAACTTGTAATAATAATCGAATGCTGTAAATCGTTTCTCAGCCACTGTGCGCAATGCATGTGTATGGCTGCTTGGGATGTTTGAGCTGCCGCTGTCGCGGCCTGCCTGCCTGCCTATGAGTATGCTCGCATTAGACAATTTTCTTTATTCAGTCGCAAATTAAACGCGCAACGTTGCGCTACGTCGCATGTTTAGTTTCCGTGTCGTTGTTGTTGTTCATGATTGCTTTTTATGGTCTTGGCAACAAACAACACAAAAAAAAACGCGACATGTATGTATGTATATGCGTGGAGTGTTTTTGTGCCTCATATTCATAATTGCAAAATACAATTCATACACAAACGTTGTCTTGTTCGGAAGTGCGTCTGTTTTTGTCGTTATTGCTGTTGTTGCTGCTGCCACTCAAGTACAAAAGGCACAAAGCCGAAGCCGCCGCGTCTGTCAGTCTCAGCCAGCTCTCTGGCATCTCGCTCGCACACTCAAGCTTATTTCATTCTTCTTTCTTTTCTTTTTTTGCTATTTTTAGCAACATTTCCAATTGGAAGATTTTTGATTTGACCTTTCAATGCGATGATGGCAGTAAAAAGCTTTTAACTTTAATTATTATGCAAATGTGTGCGTGTGTGCTATGCCTGTGTGTGTGTGTGTGTTTGTGGATGTGCGGCAATAAAAATCAAAATTTTGAGTGCTGCTGCTTTGTGTGTGTTTGTATGTGTGTGCGTATATATGCATATGAAAAAATCGATGCCAGACTCCCTGCGACGATGACAGCGACAGCGACGTCGACGTCGAAGCAGGGCCAGCAACTTCATTCAGTAAAGTAAAGCAGAGCCGCCCCCTCAGTAAATTTAACAGTTAGACAAAGTTACTTGCCGATGTACGCGTGCTCATATGTGAGTGCGAGTGTGTGTGTGTGTGTGTGTGTGTAGGTGTCAACGCAGCGTTGGAGTGGGTGGCAAAATTGTCGGCTAACTAACACATACCCAGGAGGGAGTGTGTGTTTGTGTGTGCGTGTGCATTGGTTTATAGAAATTTTGCTGATAAACCGGAAATGGAATTTTTCGTTTTCGTTTTAGAAACTTAAATAAATTGCGCGCTGTTGCTGTTGTTGTCTGCCATTTCCGTTGCTCGCTCGTAGAAAGGATGCGGCAGCTTTTTATGCATTAGTTAAGCATATCTACAAATCTACATATGTATGTACATTCGTATAGTTGTGTGTGTTTTTGTGCGTTTGTAGGCCACCCACAGCCGCATAGTTTTTATTTTAGCGCTCTAGCATTGTGTGTATACAATTTCAGCAACAAAAGTTTGCCTTCCTGAGCAAAGCAACAACAAAGCGTTAGCAGCGCCATTGTCTATATGTATATGACTTGCATATACTATACAAGTATGTACAAGTATATAGCTATAATACGTGCATATGTGTCTGTGTGCATCGAGTTCTATATACATAACTTCTCCCTACAAACAAAGTGTATAGAAAAATATGAATGAAGCGAGTAGTTCTCGCACTCGCACTTTTTTCGCCGTTTTCCCTGTTTTTCACACACAACACACGCACACACACACACACACACCACACTTCACACCTTGGCACAACGTGAAAAATCAATTCAAAATTGTTGGACACTTTGTGTTGGTTATTTAGTGTTTGTGAAGTTTTCAAAGTTACTCGCACAAAAGTTGTACACGGAAAATATTGTTTCCATTTATTCGAGTGTCTGCCAAGTCATAAAGTTGAAGTGTGGACGCAGCTGTCCAGAATAAACTTATTCCAACTAAAAGGCACTACAAAGTGTGACACAGCATGTGTATCTAGACCGGCTCCACATAATTGGGTGAATAATTTAAGAGGATACTACCATTCGTTGAACCCCAAATCTATTTATAAAAGCGTTTAACCCATCACTAGTACTTCAGTTCATGTTCTAAACTTAAACTAATTAAGCACAACACTTGAGTTTCATCCGAATATCTGAATTTGTAAATAATTAAAAAGAGGAATGATATTCGTTGAACCTCAAAGTCAATTTGTTATATTTTAGTAGAAATGATCGAGCATTGCGCTTAAGATTTTTTCTCAAACAATTGTTTAACTATTCCTTAAGCTGAAATTAATTATCGTTTTTTAGTTACTTTCTGGTATCTGAACTTTTGGTTTAGTTAAAAACCTGAAAAACAAACCGACTTTGCACATTTAGTTGAACATTTAAGACGATTTCCAAATCAATTTATTTAATTCGGAAATTATCGAACAATGCGCCTAAAATGTCAATCCTCATAACTTTAATTCTTCTAATGGTTTGCTAAAATTTTTAAAATCACGCTTTAGTTTATTTAGGAACAGACAGGTGACATTTTTTAAGGGGGGAACTCCAAATTTCCAAGGCTAAGCATGAATCAGTGCGACAAATACTTTCGAACTAGATCTTACATTTGAGCGATTGAAAATAAATGTTCAATATATCTTATTTTGTTCAGCAAAAACCTTTTTAATTTGTTGATAATATTTGATTAATGAAACACCTGGAAGCGACCTTCTTCATCAAAGTTATCTTTCAAGTTAACGGTTTCTATATATTTTCAACTCATCGACTTACTTATGTGGTCTAGAAGCATATCCACTTCTTGTTTCCATTGGTTTTCAAATCAAAATCTTTCTTTTTATAAAAAATATGTTCGCTTTTTTTCTGCTACGCATAAAAACGCAAGACCCCTGGCAGGCTACAAGCATTTAGTCCAAGTGTTAAAATTGTTATTTTGGAAATATTTAATTTAATTTCCAATAATTTGAATACATATTTGGGTTTCTCTCTAATAAAATTATGCGTGGCTCTGATGTCATATTTGGCCAACACAAGCTTAAATTAGCCAACATTTGGGTCAATCATTGCCTCTGGTCGCGACCATCTTCTTTTTCCAACTTAGGCAGCAAACAAAAGGTGTTGGTAATACTATTTTATTTTACTTTAAAGCTTTTGTCGTTAATTAAAATAATTAATTTACAAAGAAATACTAATTAACTAGAGCTGGAAATATGCCCACATAACTGACATTATTCTGTACAATAGGAGTAACTGCACTGTTGTTTGGCCTGTAATACTATATTATCAGGAGAAATACGAAGGTATCCTTACACGTAAAAGAAAGCCAAGAATTGTGTATTTTTGCCAATTTGTCAATTGACAACTTTCCGCAGTTTAGTTTTTGTTCTTAAGTCTAATTAAAAACAATTACAATAAAACATTTTCAATTAGCTTTGTATTTTTAGTTTAGTTTAGTTTCGTATAAAAATAAACAAATGTCTGTCCATCCATCTGTTTCATTGTAAACCCATTGATGCTGAAACTTTACACCTACAAGTACATATGTATATGTATGTTTATTTCTTCCATTTATCAAAACATGAACTTTTATCGGAAAGAGATGCAAAACAGCTGCTATAGTGACCAACTGTTTTCAAATGTGTTTCTATAGAAAAATGATTTAACAGATAGAGGTACTGAAAATATATTTGAAGAAATGCTGCTTGTTGAAAAAAGATGAAATTCTAATTAAATGGATGGGAGGCACAAGTCCAATGGCGACTGAACGTTTAACAAATAATAATAATAATATCCTAGAAAATAGTAGTTATTATATGAAGATTAAAGAACTATTTGGCATTGATGGAAAATATTTGAAATCAAATAACGCCTCCACGCTCCACAGGCAGGAATGTAGTCAGATGGAAATTAGAAATTGAATATTGAAATAAAAAATAAATAATTATTAACTTTTAAAAGAAAATAAAAAGTTTTTGACTAAAATAAACTTTGAAGAACTAAAAACCATTATTGAAAGCTACATTTCTCGAACCATAATGCATTCCTTTGATATTATAACCACGAGATTGTCTGTTCTTCGATTTTTAACAAACTCATTTGAGTACAACACTTTGTTATTCATTTGTCAGTCACTTCCTCATTTGCTAAACAAATAAAACGCAACCCAACGGACTGACTCTTAAGATACTCGACTCCTCATTTAAGAGACCCCTCAAGGTACGAATTCCATTAATTGAACTCACTTTGCTCAAATTTGAATAACAACTGCAGATAGTGCTTGAGAGAGCTCTTAAAATGTTCACCTTTTCGTGCAAAATATGTTTGTAATGCTAATGAGTGTCAAATAAAAAATGGTACGGTCAAACAAAGGTCATAACCTCGCTCTCTGGCAAATGTGAAACAGTCGACAGTGCTTAAATGACGGCTTTTTAGACCCAATTGTTGCACACATCTGCCAGCTAATGCTGATGCCCTGTTTTGCTTATCATGATTGCCTTCATCATCATCAGCAACCCCAAGCTGGCTTTATCCGTACCCCTGCCCTGCGCTGCCCTAACCCTCCCCCACGCGCAGCGACACACGCAAGTCACTGATATTGATACGGATGGGCATATGAGATTTAGGAACACACCATTTAATTGGACATAATGCCATCAACGGCAGCTCAAAATCAATATTAATTATTTATTAATAGCGCTGTGAGTTGGGAAACTTTGCCGCAATGTCGGATTACAGCGACTTAAATGTTATACATATTCGTATTGGAATAGTTGATAATACTTGTGGGGAGGACTACAATTCGCAATTCTTTGTTGTCGTTTTTTGCAGTTTAGAAGCAACACTGAAGCAACATTTCGATGACGAATTTAATGACCTGAAAAACGAAAAATATTCACATATACTCGTATATACGCCAATCACTTTCACACACTGCTTGGATGAAAATTGAAAGAGCAGCGACGGCGACGACGACGACGACGACGACGACGAGGTGGTGGACAAACAAAGAGGAGCAGCGGCGGGAGGGCGCATTTATTACATTTTCATAATCAACGAACGACGAGGCAAAGGTGGAAAGAGAAACAAATCCAAGCCCGTTTCCAATGAAAATCGCATAATGGCAGCAACACCTGAATCGTGTGCCGGCGCCCGCGATTCAAGCGACATCATTGCAGAGGCGTTGGAGTCAGTCGCGCAGCCAGCCACGACCGCTGACATGGCAACCGGGCAGTCCGAAGAGCTGGCAGGCCTGCATGTGGAGTCGCCCCACGATACCTCCGCAGACGAAGCCGATGCTGTTGCTGATGCCGATGTCGATGTCGATGCCAATGCTATGGCCAGCAGCTCACCGACATCGCCCCAACAAAAGCAAAAGTATGTCGCAAACATTTCGAACAAAGCCCCAAAAGAAATTGTAACTGGTAGTGGGTCACATCGTTGATGGGTTATTGCGGTTAGTCCGGGGGTATGTAACGCTAATTACAATTTCATTTCAATTTTGCAGTGAGCTGGAGCCACAGTCGCTAGAGCCCCAATCGTTAGAGCCGCAGTCGTTGGAGCCCATCTCGATGGATGACATACCCGAACCCATTAAAGTGCTGGACGACATCATTTCCGAATTTGAGGAGGCAACAACGAAACCAGTGGCCTTGCACAGCAACAGTGGCGAGAATCAATCCGAGGACGATGGCTACATGAGTCTGAGTCGCAAAAAGTGAGTGATTGAGTTTAGTTGTGCATACAGCAGATAGATAATGAATATAAGCAAAGCAGTTAGTTGTGTTTTGAAAGCCCTTTGCAATAAAGGGGTGGACAAATTGGTTCCCGAACACGAACGTTACAATAACGAGACTAACAACTCTTAAAGATAACAATACTACTCTTATTTGATCTTTAAAAATTTACTTGGAAGAACTAGAGACTAAACTCTACACATAACTTTGAATTCGCAGACTAAACTCTCCTTAAGGCAAGAACATTTACTTCATTCGAACTTTCGATCGAACATGGAAGACCTTTTCCCTTGAAGAGAAACTAACTTCTTTACGTTTTCCTTTTCATTTGGTATTCGAGTCATTGGGCATCGAGTCTAAACTCTCCACACTATTTTAAATTCAAAGACAATTCTTCTACAAATCCAGCATGTAGTTTAATTGAACTTTTAAAATTTAGTTAGAAACGAACGCTCTAACTATTATCAATTGAAAGACTAAACTCTCGATTACTTGGTAAACTTATAGTTCTTCACTTTCCAAAACGAGACTAAACTCTCCACTCTTTTTTCAATTGGAAAACTGAACTCTGCCCTTTCCCTATTCATAATTTCGATACTTACTTGGTGTATATCTCCTACACCTTTCAATCTAAATGCTCTAGACTATTTCTGATTGGAAGACTAAACTCTACACTCTGTCAAACGTCCGTAAGGCAATCTTCGGGTTATTAGTAGCCAACACTTTGTAGTCCGTATTTTGAAATAGTATTACTATGGCAAGTAACATTAAAACACATTAAAACTTAACCCCGATCAACGTACTTTTCATTTTTATGTCAAATATCTCCAGGATTAAGCCACAGCTATTCACAATTTGCACTGTTTTAAGCGAAGAAGAGAATACTTTTTTAAAAACTAAAGTTTTCAACTGTAAATGGATAAAAATGAAGTTGGATTTGAAGTAAATGATCTTTACAAAATACATTTTTGAAGTAGAATAATTAACTCCAAAGTAATTGGATTTTAACTAAACTAGCTTCAACAACGACCATATAAGGAGTGTTATTTCACAATGTGTGGTTTAATGCTAATCCTTTGCATACGAGTACCCCTCGGTTTGTCACATCTGTGTGTACATATTTGATAAGGCAGCTCTAATGCTTGGAATTATAAACCACATTATTATTCAGCACACCTAACCCCCAACTCTGTACTAAATCAACACTCCACTTAATCTCAAAATGCCACGCTGTACTTTACTCTTTACTTGTAGCATGTCGAAGAAAGACTCCGAGGATGTGCCACAAACACCCAGCACAGACACGGTGCCCGAAGGCAGTTTCAATGAAGTCGATGGCACAGCCGAAAATCTAACGAAATTGTCGGAGGCGGAGCATAGCCAGGAAACAACAACGCCACTCATACAAACAACGCTGGTGAGTAGATCCCTCCCGTCTGACAATCCCCAAAACCTTAACTGCTTCATCGAAAAACCAATTAACAAGTCACACACCCTCGCAACCCCCTTCCACATCACCCATCACGCACAGCCCAAGGCACGCAGCGCCAACACTACGCCAGCCACAAACTCCAACTACTCCAGCCTGCCCTGCTGCGGTGCACGCGCCTCGAACTTGGGTGGCGCTTCGTCCGGCCACGCCTCCGGCGCCCTAGCACCCACACGCACCGGTAGCTGTAATGGGGAGCGCAATGCGTTGGGCATCGACATCAGTGCCGTGCACAATGCCGTGCTACGCGGCAATCTGGCCAAGCTCCCCGAGCCCATGCTCAACGAACATCCGGTGACCATCTATCCAGGACCATCGGCTAAGGCGGCTGGCGATGGCGCACGCAGCAAGCGACTACAAAACTCCGTGGAGAAGCACAAGGAGGTGTGCCACATGCTGAATCCACATTCCAATAGCACCACATCATCATCCGGTTCGCAGCACACATCAAGCGGCGAGGCTTCGCCCGCTGCGTCCAATATAAATGTGGCGCTGGCGCCCAAGCCTATCAAACACGATGACTACTCGGACGACTCGCTGGAAGAGTCCACCATATCCACAGACCTGACGCCAGTCAAACAGAACGGTGTCGCCTGGGAGATACACTTCAAGAGCAATAGGAAAAAATCCACCAAGACGGCAAGTGCAACGAGCGGCTCAAAGAAGGCAACAAGCGCATCGACCAAAAAGGTGGGTAAAGAAAATCCTAACTCTCCAAAAGCCAAATAATCGAAGGCTAATTGATATGAATTCTAAGGAAAATGAATCGTAGAATATGAATACTCCTACTTAGTTTTTCAATCGAATCTTATGATCTACGATTAAAACCTAGTAGACTTGATGGCTTACAATTCTCACTCATCAATAGAGCAGTCTCTACACGGTCAAAATCTAGATTTTTTGTCATCTACAGAATACTTACATGGCAGACTATAGCCCCCACACAGATTTAAATTCCCTGATGTTGTTAATCTTTCACTTCCTCAATTACAGCATCAGGCACGCTCCAATAACCTTACGGATTTCAATAATAGTTTTGCGTACAACGAGCAGAGCATGTTAGGCAAGGGCACCTTTGTTATACGTCGCTCCACGGCCAAGAAGCCACCACGCGCTGCTGAAATCTTTAGCATACCAAAGCCACCACGCACCAGTCTGGGCGGAGCTGGAGCCATAAGCAACGATTTCTACACAAGCGATAGTGAGCTCAGCGAATCAGCCCCACTGCCTCCACCGCCTCCACCCTGTGAGAACTTCGTTTACAAAGAGTGTGAAGCGGCGGCAGCGCAAACGCGTCGCGGCTTAGAAATCGCGGCAGCTCAGCGAGCCGCTCTGTCGCTGGACATTGGCATTGGTATTAGCGTAGGCGAGACGGAGTTGAACAAACCGGCCAAGACTAAGACGGCCATGTTGCAGCAACAGCTTAACGAGAAACGTCTGAGCGCCGAGTCCATGCCGGATAATACCTCCAGCTCTGAGGAGTTCGACGAAGCGCGCCTCAATGGCAATGGCTATGAGCTGTTTGCCTACAATGGCAACCCCTTGCCACCCCAGCCACAGGAGTATGGTGAGTGAGACGGAAATCAACTAGAAACGCAACAGCAACTCATTAACTTTTTGTACCTACCCGCTCGCAGATCATCGTGCTTCCAATTCTACAACGCCACACACCGATTTGGCGCCCACACTAGAGGAGGACGAGGAGCTCTCCGATTTCAGCTACGGCTGTGCGCCACTCAAGCAAATCGAGCACAATATAAGCGCTCTGTTACGCGGCGATCTGCCAGTCGTGGGTCAGTCCTGCAATGCAGCCACTGGAGGAGCTGTTTCAGCCGCCGCCGCGGCTGCTGCCGCTGCAGAACTACATGCCAAGCGCATACTTGAATTTCGTCCTGGGGTGCACAAGTCCGAGAGTGCCAAAGAGATGCTGCTCTCACAGAATGCCGCTTTTGGACCGTTGCCACCATCTCCGCCCTCGTCCAATCCGGATATATTCGACTACGATGCACCGCTACCGCCATCGCCGGTGGATGCGCCGCGTAAGCAGCTAGAGCTACCCACCTCTGTTGCTTCAATGCCCCCCTATGCCGGCGGTCCCAATACGAACACCACCGTTGTTGAGGTGCACGCCACAGCGTCGGGGGCGACGGTAGTTAGCAGCAGCCATATGCGACGTAGCCGCGATAATGTGGCCGCTGTGCGTCATTTTAATGATGAGCTGCCCGCACCGCCGCCACCTGCGCATCAATCCTCCAGCTACGACGTGGTCTTACCATGCGCGTTGCCGCCGGCAGTACCGCCACATCGACTGGGCGGTGGCCATTCAGCCAACACCATGAAATCCTGGTCGATTGACTCGCAGTATCGCAAGCGTTCGCCAAAACTTTTTGGTTACAGTAGCGGCAGTGGGATCACAACTCCCACGGGACTCGGTCCCATGCCACCGCTACCAGCACCGCCCATGGGCTGCGGCACGACAGGCTCCTGCGAGGGTGGCAGCGGGTCGTATCAGCGCCGGTACATCAACTATGGTACCAAGCGCAGCCTGAAGCAGTCGCCACGCGAGGAGCATCGCCTGCAAACATCATGTAGTCTTCCTGAAACGCCAATATTTGCCAGAGGGTAAGTGAAACATTATTATAAATGCCCTTTACTTATTAGCGACTCATCAATTATGCCTTGATTTATAGCTGTGACATACCACGAACGCCATATCGTCGCCAAAATGAGCCTGTGCCCGTGAGCGGCTCACGCACAGCGCCCCGCTCAAGCACATCGAATAGCATTAATCTGGGGACTTCCATAGTCGGCATAGGTGGTTAGTTCGCAGTATAACTCCACAATAATGCATTGTCTTAAACTCATTTCTTCTCTCTCTCGCTCTGTCTCAATACCAGCTGGCACCTATGGCACAGCGCAGATCTGCCGGCAGCGTTCCATCAATCATGCCTTAGCCTCGAACGAAATGTTGCGCATGACCGGCGCTCCTGCACGCGGCTGGTATCCAAAGCAGCGCTCTCTCCGTCCGGCCTCTACGGAGAATATTGATCGCTTAGCATCGGTGCGGGTGTGGGACAATCCAGCGGGGATGTCCGGCACAGGTCAGTCCCGGAAACCGCTCACCTTGCCGCCAAATCTGACGCCTTCCTTTTTGAATAAGTCGCCTCGTGAGGCGCTGCGTCGTGTGACTAGCTTGCTAATAACTAAGAAAAGTAAGTAGTCGCTGCACTCCTTAAACTATTAATAATACAAACACTCTATATTTTTGTATCCATTCCATCCAATTATAGAGAATAACAAGGAACGTAAACACAAGGCCTATAGCGATCAACCCATGGATGACAGCAATAACAAGCATGCCTACGAATTTGATACGAGTAAGTTAGGCCTAACATGCTCTTTATACCCTTGCAAAGAGTTTATTGAGTTGGTATTTGTTGTTTGTAACGCACCGAACAGGCTTGGCCGACCCCGTGAGCCCCATAGGTCTGTTTGTTTCTATGCAAATTAAGCTTTCACGTATATCGTTCTATGTACAAGTATATTGCAAATACGTTTATTATCGTTGTAATCAGATTATTTTTCCAAATCGATTGAAAAGGAAAACTATATCCTTCTTCTGCGATATAAGCCATAATTAAACGATAGAAACATTGTTGTTGCTTGAAATTAAATATTTGCAAGGGTATAAAAAGTTGTTTTAAACTTGTTTTTAGATGAAGAACTCCACTTAAATGCTAATCTAGTCTCAATTGTAGGTTCCACCAAGCGTAAGGAGAACAGCAAATGCAAGGACAATGGCGCAGGCAGCTCGACCACCAATCCCAAAGTCAAAAAGAAGGGTCTTTTCAAAACACTATGGAAACGTACGAAAACCACCTCCCTGGATCAGTAATAGGATCCGTCAGAGGCTTGGACTTCACTAAAGAACTAAAAGCTGCAACACTGCCCCCCAATAATTTGGGATATGTTTTCTAACGAAAAGAAGCAAAAACGATTAATGATAATAATCATACTTATATTATACATTTGAACGAAGCCGTGTTGGCTAAATCACTCTCACCCACTACACCCCTCCCCCCATTCACAGTCACCACTCACTTAGAACCATTCACCCGCTCAACACTCTACACTTGTAGTTTGGACTTTTTCTCATGCTCCTCATGCATACGTGCCCGTCACTTTAGAATTGTCACTTAAAAATGCAAGCAATTATTATAAACAACACACAATCTATCCTATATCGGTCATAAAGTAAATGAGACAACTAAAAAGAATTCAAATGCACAAAGCCGTGAATCGTAAAGACTGAAAAGAGAGTTAAAAAAAAAAATTACAAAAAACAAAAAGTAAAAAGAAATTATGGAGAAAAAAATGATATAACACAAAATTTTGCACACCAAACCGGACACAGCATAACTTACAGGTCTATACACCACACATACATATATGTATCTATATTTGGGCGCTTTGTCTACCTTTTATGGCAGGCCAAAGGGTCCGAAATACCGGTTTTGAAACAAACTCCCCTTGACCGAACACACAAAAGCACGCAACGTTGAGCAACTTTGAAAAAAAAAAAACCCAAAAAGAAAAGAAAAAATAACAAATTTAATAATTATACAAGCACTGAATTTATATATAACTCTATATAGTTCGGAGTAAACTGAACCGTTTAGGGTTCTAAGCGGCATACTTACTTTATATACTTTTTACGATGATCGAGAGTATTGAGTATGTTTGAAATTTACAACTAGTTTTCAGCTGGCAATTGGAATGGATTGGAACCGATGAGATGAGTTGAGTTGAGTGGGAAGGGCGGTAAGAAATTGGTTGATCTAGAGTTATTTAGAGAACGTATTTGCATGCATCGACTTATATGGGGCAGTGCAATACTTGTACCCTATGCCTGAACTAAACTTGAGAATTTTATTTTTATTGAAACCGTTTGTTGAGCTCAATGAGACAGACTTACTAAGAGCAGCAGCTCCCCAGACCCCCAGCACGAGTCAATAATTAGAATCAACAACTTTGCCATCTTTAGCAATGCAGTTGCCATAAAGAAAGTAAATTAAATGTTGATACTTCAATAATAGTTGAGGGAGATAATTAATTCATCAGCCCGCTCTTTTGCTCACCACTTGAAATATTTTCAACAACTTGATAGACAGAAAACAATAATATATTTTATTTCTAAATTTTGAAAAGGGAAATAATGAAATACGCCAAAACGCCCTCCATATTTCAAAGAATATGTATTGGATTATACAAAAAGCAAAAGCAAAACAAAAATTTAAGGAATTTTCAAAATTAAATGATAAACATTTTTCATACAAAACTCTAAAAATAATAAAAAACTCCCAGCAAATGCTCAACATTTACTTTACCAGTGAGCATTTCGTAATTTTTACTTTCGATATTAACGATATCTGAACAGAAAAAAGAATGCAATAAATAATACAAAATGAATGGAAAATTATGAAGAAAAGCAACAACTGCAAACGTTTACTAGTCATTAAATATTAATAAAGTATTTATATAAATAATATGAGAAATATTTGCATATTATTTTTTATTAACAACACAAACACACACTGACAAGCCAATGCCAAGAGGTCAACAAATTGGCTACATTTTATGAATGAAAGGCAAGTTGAAAGTATTATTAACGAATTAATTATTATTGTATGCTATAGCGCAAGTTGGTATTTATTACAATTAATTATATTTATATTATTGAATATATTTTTAGAAAAGTAGTGAAACAGAAATAAAACTAAAAACAATGGCAATGGCATTTATGTGTCGACAGTTTTCTTTTAAAATAAATATATATATTCTCGTTGGTACAAGGGGAGGGTTACCTGCGTTTCGCTACTCCACAGAGTGCAGACGGATCTGCCACCATCCTTTCCCCCTCTATATGTACGCGATAAAGCTACTTAGCTAATAATAAAGCCTTAGACCGACATCTGCATGGAGAAAAAGAGCACGTACCCTGAAGTTCCGACACACGGAACCTCACAGCAAAAATAAACTTCGAAAAGGATTGCACAGCAAGGATTTCCACATATGAAGGTTCCCGCACTTGAAGTGATAGTCGAAGGCCGGATCTACTCACCAGAACTGGAGATAAAACGCTCTTTTCGTCTCCCGAAGCACTGTAGGTGTACATAAGGTAGAACTCTGGACCCCAAAAAAGACTACAACGCTTAGAACTGGCAATACAAACATAAGCTGTATTAAGAGAAGGTTGAAGACCCGCCAGCACGTCTTTAAATACTCTGTATCCAACGTTTTCCTCGCTACAGCCATTCAATAAAAAACACGAGTAGAAGGCTGAAATAAATTGTCTGTTAATTAAATCAAGTAAAGAAAAAAAACTTAGTAACAAATAGAGAACTTTGCTGAAGCTTTAGACTATGGTGAGGCATAATTTTAATATTTAATAACTTGGATAGAAAAATTCAAACTCTAGGATGACGGTCATGGCATAACGCTTTCCGTTCATCGGCAAATGCATTTTCCGGACGGGGTAAAATTCGGGCGAATGCGGGGAAACAATAAGGATTAAAATTCAATTTGTTAAATCAGTCACAAGTGCCGACCGATGAGAACAATTGTTGGTTATCAATTAACTTGTGGGGAACAAAGCAAGAACCAGGCTCAATTGTTCAATTAAAATGAGATGAATCGTACGTTTTTGATATTTAGTTCCATTTCAATAAATTTCTCAGAAGATTTTGGCCAATTTTTGATAAGTTCATGCACTGTTTTCGTCAAAATCCAAGACATCAAGACCTAACTTGAATCGCGAAAACCTGTTGCTTAAATTTTGCTATTTTTTAGCCTAATGGGAAATTAAGATATTTATTTGTTCCCGACATTTAACCCTTTGCATTCTTTAAATATCACACATTTAATTGATTTTTTGATAATCAAATATTGAGTATCTTTTAAAAATATAAAGAAAAACTGATCTGCTCAGTTATGGTTGGTACGTCGAGCTTTTACTGTCTTTGAGGTAGAAGAAGTGCGCAGACAGACGGATTAAATTCCATTTAGGTATAATTAAATCTAAGATTTATCAGCTAGTCTATTAAAAATATGAAGCAAATTTCGTCTGCTCAGTTAAATTGAAGGCAAGCACTTACTGTCTCTGAAAAAAAGGGTAACAGACGGACGAACTAAGTTAAGGTTAGCATATACTGTCTCTGAGAAAGAACGGACGGACTAAATACCATTTAGATCTAATCTAAGGCGTATCATATATCACATATTAATACTTAAAGCGCTGTTAAATATTTACATCTTGTAAATATTTGTATATGGCTATTATAAAGTGATTTATGAAATATCAGTTCGAGTACATTTTAAAAAAGCTTCTTTATTCACAAACCTTGCCAGTCATTATAGTGTAGGCATCAGAAGACAAAGGATTTACATTTTGTTTTTTTCTTTTGTGTTGTCTTTTATAATTTCATTTTTTATTACACTTTCTTGCAATTTATTTGTAGTCTGTGTTTGTCTGTCTGTGTGTGTGACCCGGGAAAATAGGATAGATTAGAATAGAATAGAATACAACACAAAACATACGTTTAACTAAAACACACGCACAGTTTGTTAATAAAACACTTAATAAACTAACTAAAATTAAGAGTTTTTAGTTAAAACAAACATTTAAAGAATTAGTTATATATATATTATGTATGTATGCATGTATATATAAACAGAAAGTCGTTTACCTTAAGGACATACATCATTCCAGTTTTACTCGCCAAATTAAACAAACAATTTAAGTCGAACATCTCCAGACTATTGTTTATCAGACAAAAGTTGTGTTTTTGTAGCTGAATTTGCATTTTGTTGTTCCTCATATAATGGGATTATAATCGTGATCTATGGTTGTGGTTGTGTGTGGGTGTATTGTGGGTGTATTGTGCATTCATGGATGATAGTCATGATGGGTGATTTAGGAAATTTAACAGAAATAAGTCATTGGGTGATTTACAGCAATATGTGGGTTTAATTAGTGTAAGTAATCTCTATGCTGCCCCCCTCGTTATAGTCTAAGCCATATAACTATATTCGTCGCCCGAATTCGCAGTACGTTCTATATATTGTTTATCAATTAGTGACTCCACACATTTCTTGATCATGGCGATATTGGGCGTAAAGCTAACTTTCGGTAAAGAGAGCACCTGGAAAGAGACAAACAAAGTTTTGATAGAAATACAATTAGAGATGAGTTTATAGAAGCTTTAAAAAGTTCGCAAAACGACTTTTCTAATAAAAGTTGTCAATAATACAGGTTTTTTATAATTCCCATATTTTGAAAACAAATATTAAATAGTAATGAAGTCCATACTCGAAAAACCATTGATAGCTATAAGTCAAAATCAAAGAAACCTATTTTTGACTTTTGTGAATCCTGAGAGTTCTAAATAAAGCTTGCCAGACATTAAAAAAAGATAACATATCAGAAATCAAGCAAAGATACATTAGGAGTATCGAGAATAATTTATTCTTGAGAGAAAATATTTATTATTGATGACCAACGAGTAGAACCCAATTTTGAGTCCATGAGAAGCGGACTTGCTCGTTCTATTCAGAGCAGAATCGAAATAACAATCAGACCTAAGCCTGAAATGCAGGATTAGTGGCTTTCAGATAAAGAAAACTGTCATATTTATAGATATTAGACTATAATTATAAATGAACTTTTGAACTTTTTAAAATTAGATCTATCGAAAGAATTTAAGGTATTATATAAAAACGAAGTGTTTAAACGCTGAAGCTCGACATGTTAAGAGGAAAGCCATAAAAGCCGTCGAAGAATTCATTCAAATTAAATTACAAAGGAGAGAGTTAAACTTGAAAAGTTTGTTTATGGGAGTGGCTATTCAAAAACATTTCGTTTTCATTAATTAAATTAATCAGATTATTAATTATTAAACAAAGTATGGTTAACATCACTCAAAGAAAAGGTTCGAAAAAGCATATTTTAGACAAATTTAGAGTATCTGATAGTTTAAAGATAAGGGAACAATAAATTTCAAGAGCTAATGAAATAAAAATCTTCAGAAATCAGAAATAAACTGAAGTTAAAGAAAACTACAGCGTTAATTAGCTTTTTTGGAATACATTGAAAAATCAAAGAAAACTATATTCTTCAAAAATCAATTAAAGTTATGGAAAACTACAGCTATAATCCTTTTTGGTCCTCATTCACGAATCATAGAATCCTAAAACATAATTTAGTTCGTAATATAAAGTAGTTCGCAATGAAGAATGACAGAAAGCTAAGAGATGACATTTTTTCACATCTTATTTGGTTAACATTAAAGAATCATAGAATACTAAAAGATATGATTCTTCAAACATCAATTAATCTGGTAGAAAACTTGAGCTACAATGAACTTATGTGGCTAAAATGGAATAATCTTGGAACGTTACCGGACGATTATCTAAAATTAAATTACATTAATTCAGTTATAATCATGTTATGTGGTTCACATTAAAGAACCCAACAAATGCTAAGACATGATTATTCCAAGATTTGTTTGAGTTCTACGAAGCTACAGTTATAATCATCTTACAACATTGAAGAATACTACAAACGCTAAGACAGGATTTTTCTAAGATTTTTTTAAGTTATACGGAACTGCAGTTATAATCTTTATTTTTTGGTTTACATTGAGGAATCCTACAAATGCTAAAACATTATTATTCTAAGACTTATTTGAGTTATACGAAGCTACAGTTGTAATCATCTTACAACATTGAAGAGTACTGCAAACGCTAATACAGGATTTTTCTAAGATTTTTTTAAGTTACACGGAACTACAGTTATAATCCTTATTTTTTGGTTCACATTGAAGAATCCAACAAATGCTAAAACATTATTATTCTAAGATTTCTTGGAGTTATACCGAGCTACGGTTATAATCATTCTTTGTGATTCACATAATTTTTCTCATATTTATTTGAGTTATGCGGAGCTACAGTTATAATCATCTTTTGTAGCTCATATTGAAGAATGATAGGAAGTTAGACGAAATGACTCTTAAGGCGACATGGTAATTAAAATGATAAAATCAAAAACTTAGTACTAGGCTCACCTCTTGAATCAATGCATTGTGCTTCAGCACTTTGCGCGATTTCATAATACGCACAATGGCAGCTTGCAGAAACAGTTTTCGATCCTCATCCACAGAATTGATGGTGTGTTCCACCTACAAACGATTGAAGATTAACAATTGATCATGGTGAGATGGCTTCTTTTTAGAATGGCCTCAGTGGCAGCCTTACCTCCTGCGGTGTTTCCTTTTGCAGTGCCGAACTAATTTTAAACTTCGTCCGCTTATTTGTATAATCCATATTTAATTCGATGCGCGTCTCGCCGGTGAGATTCTCTGAGCTGGCATTCAACAGCTTGGACTCAATCATGGGCTGCATGTGCTTCTGAAACGTTTCGTCGTTCAACTGCAACGTATTCTGTATCTCACGACAGCTCAGGCTGTCGCACGTTTCGAAGAGCAGCATGACGGCCATCTGGTACGTTTGCATGGTCACAATGTAGGATTTTTTCAAATGGCTCAGCTTTAGCTCACCATGACACATGTGATGGAGCCAAGTGAGCTTCCGACCACTGAATAAATTGTGGTAATAGTCCTCGAACTAATCGAAGTAAAAGATTAATTGAATTAAGAAGTGTCTGTTGTGAAAAGTTAAGGCAGAGTGACTCACCATTTTAATCGATTTCTCAAATTCCTGTGGCACCGCAAAAGGTATAACTTGGGTGGACCCCAACGGCCAAGCGCCTGCCTGCAGCACTTTAATTGAGAGATTGATGCCTATTCGAAGAGATTCTACATTAGTTATTGATTATTCGGGAATAGTTTGCATTAAGACTTGCCCAAATCGATGCCGGCATCTTTTAAGTGATTGTTGAACTTATTATTCAAGTCAGCTGATACTGAAATATCCGTAAACATGCGATGCAGCTTGTTAGTGAATTCATAGCCGCACGCTTGCTGCAACAGACAGTACAAACGATTTAGGAGATATATTAAAAAGCGGAGCGTAAATAACAAAAATAATTAAGGCAGCTGCGGGTTAAAATATATATATTTGATTGATTTTGTAAATGCACTGATGACATATCTTATTATCACAAAATTATTATTAGAATCTATAGGTTTTTTTTTTTGTATTTTTAAAATACTTGGTAGCGATTTTGTAAAATGTATATTATTCCATTACATACAAAATTTTGGACTACGAGCGCTTTATTCGATCGTTTTTAGGGTGAACTGACTTTGGCAAATGGTAACGAATTATAAGAAACCAATAAGTACACAGAAAAGTTTATCTTTAAACGATCGTTCTGATGTCAGTTATTTAAATAAGCTATCAGCTATATGAATAAGACAAGTCGAAATAACTCTTGCGGATCAAAAGTTCCTGATGTTCATACAAACAGGCAGATTTTAGATGATTCGTGATTCGATTAATGAGCCTTTATATGATTTCTAAAAAACATGATTTGGTGTTCTTAACTCTTATGGTTTAAATGTCCTCGCTGTCGCATATACCTAAATACATATGTATGTTTATATATTTAAGTATAGTACAATATATTATGGTATGTAGCGTTTATAACAAACTTTATTCCAAAAATGTACAACAATTATTTCGTTTATTTAATTAACATGAAATACATGCATTTGTTTAATTTTTAGATGTGAAATATTGTTGGCAATGACGGTAATTTCCAGTTTATTATTATTAAATTATATATACAGAGTATTTAACAAAACTGTACAGCTTTACCATTTGTCTTAAAGCAAGTTCTTCAAATTGACAATACTATCGATCCAATCAATGTAGTAAGAAACCCTAATGAAGATAGACTCGGCGTCAACGGTGCAGCCTTTTCCAGTCGAAACAACCCCCACCAGAATCCCGAGGCACGAAGAATTTGGATGGAGTAAGAACAAAGGTCCACCAGAATCACCCATACAGGTACCACCAAATCCTTGTGCTCCTTTTGTATATATTTTCGAATCACTAATAAATTTTGATTCCTTTTTGTCAGTTATATTGTTTGACACTTCAATCATATCAACTTTATATAAAACTGATGAGGGTTTGCCGTCTCCGTTCTTGCCCCATCCAGCTGCCGTTAAACGTTCACCCGTTAATGGCAGCGCAATTGGAGCCAAACATGCCGGTTTTACGTAGCGGCTGAATGTGGCATACCGTTCCAACTCCAGCACGGCTATATCATGGTGAAAATCTGGGTAAAAGCTAAAGTTTGGATGCATTTTAAATTCCAGCACATTTATATCCTGCGTGGCAGCGTTATCCCTTGCCTCAAGATCGTGTGTGCCCAGACGAACAACAAACTTTCTGTTTGGTTGCAAATGGAACGTTAATCGCTTTTAAAAGAGCCATGTAGTAGGTACTCACTTATCATTTTTTTTACAGTGTGCCGCGGAGATAAGGAATTTTGGATGAATTAATGTGCCACCACAACGATTCCATTTTATGTTTCGATCGCCCACCCTTCCTGCAGCGACCGAAACTAAAAAGCGAATTTCGTTTGAACTCGCTTTCTCGCCATTATTTATAAGTTCTTCAGGTGGACAAATATCCTTACTTTCGCTGTATTGTTGACACACTTAGAAACGAAAATTCAGAGATAAAATCACACCATTATGTATTTCCCTATCTCTTTTAGCACACCTCGTTCAATGGTGGTGTTGAAGACAGGTTTCTCCGACATGACGGGACAGCAAACTCTCGTGCCAGATCTATTACATGGCTCGTCAGACTCGAATTTGCATTCATTGGCGTATTTGCAAACTCCAACGTCGCATGTAAAGTCTGCATTAACAGTAGAGCCAACAACGAGACCAACAAGCAACCACAAATGGTTTACGTCCATATTATAATACACTCCACAATAAACTAATCACATCAATTTTTCTATAGCATACAGACATAACCGAACGAAATCGCGTTTATCAATGCCTGGAGTAGAGTGCGTGAGCGTGAGCGATCGTGAAAAGCTAACAGTACATTTCGTTAACGTGATGATTTTCAAAAAGAATGGCTATTTACTTATTTGCGAAGCTTACATTTTGCGTATCCAAGTGTAGTTATAGAGTAGCATCGCTATATCTATCTTCTTGTGAATAGGCAAATAAATGAACTCGAATAATAACTTAACTTAGACACAAATCCGATCTGAACGTGCGGATAAGGACCCTTAAAAATAATAATTAAAATAAAATTTAAATAGTATTTATTCTACAGATACGTAAAAAAAACAGACGAATTCATGACCTCCTCCTTTTTTGAAGTCGGTTAAAAATTGTTTCAAAATCAGGGCACCCGACTTCAGCTTTTCGACTTGTTATAGTCTGTACTTAAAAGGTATAGACCCCACAAAGTAAATATATATTCATGATCAGCATGTCAAGATGAGTCGATCTCCGAGACTAAAAGTGCTAGGAACACAAAAATAGAATCCCAGATACCCAATAATAATACAAAGTACGAGTGCATTTAAAAATTTTCTTACTTCCAACCACTCCCCCGCTATTAATAGTTTTCCATAACTTTCGTAATTCTTGGAATGTTGTACCGAAATTGGGCAAATAGTTCCAGTTATTGATTGTGTGTCCTCATGTCATGTCCCCATGTGTGTTCATCCTGGTAGATCACATGTAAAGGAACCTCTACCATTCATTTCAACTAATTATCTATTTAGAAGCAGATTAAATGTTCAAATCAATGTAGTTTCGATAGGTATAGACGATAGGTATATAAAACTTGACTTATATCGAATATACTGTCTTTGGAGTAACATTGCCAATTATCGTATTATGGCCATAACGTTATATAACGATTAAAAAACTCAACACGAAAGTTCCCACATTTAAGGACATAAGTTTTCCAAAGAAATATAATATAAGAACCAAAGACACATACAAGCTATTCTTATACTCTGTACTTAAACGGTTCTATAATGGTATTTTAGTTTTCTGCAATTTGAACCTTTTAACAGAGAAAAGGAAGCATTTCCGAACACCTCCATCTCAGAGACTATAAGAGCTAGAGACAACTAGAGAAATTATGCAGAAAGATGCCCCATGGGTGTACGCACAATAATAAAATATGGTCATACAAGTTTCAAATAATCATTTTCTTAATGAAGAACTAAATTTATACATAAGAAATAGCGTGGATCAGATTTAGAAAACGCTTAGCATCTCTTGTGAATTCCATAAAATCATAATTTCAATAAAACAGTAATTCCCACTCACCTTTAATCTGTTGATCATGCCTTCCTCTGCATCCATACTCTGGCTCTGCTCGTGTATCAGCCGTTTGGCCAATAGTCTGCTATAAAACTTCTGATAGACATCCTTGTCCTCAATGTATTTAAATATGGTTATGTTGTTAGTCAGTTTCTGATCAATTTCCGCTTCGCAGGTTTTCGATTTTTTTAACAGCGTATCACAGTATTTGGCGACATATTCGGCGCTGCGACATGGTTGTCGTTCACTCGGACGTCTATTGATCACACTGGCACAGGCCTTGTCGAGGGCGCTCAGGAACAGGGAATCGTTCTCAAAGACGGCGGCGATGAGCTCCTGATATTTCTGATGCACTTTCAACATGTTCTCCACGAAGGCAATATGTATGTTCTCGCCCTTGAGCGCATTAACAGTCTCAAGACCCTCGTTCTTGATGTGCTCCAAGAAGGTTTGTATTAGTTCAGCCTTTAAGTTGTCGGGTATGGGCTTCAGAACAATGTACATGTTGCGCAAGTCCTGGCGCCGCTCCTCGGAAACCATTTCACGACACTCGGAGTATATGAAACCCAAACGATCGTTGATAAACTTTTCCTCGCATTGCTTTCGCAGCTTAGCCAGCGAGCTGACGTGCAGAAATTTCTTGGCCCGCTTGCTTTCGCACTCTAGGATCTTGATAACCTCCTGCATGTATTCCGAGACTGTGCAGCGTTGCAGTAGCTTGTTGGCCTCATTTGTATAGTATGCGCCGCTAGCCTCCAGCATGGGTGCCTCAAACAGGTCCTGGTAGAGTTTAAGCGAGCCGGTCTTTTTGTAGTCCTGCACCTCTACAAAACTGTGAATGACGCCATTGATGGTTTGCACGCGATGCCAGTCCAACGTGCCATTGCTGGCTCGATCCACAGCTATGCCTTCGAGTATGTGACGCACCAGCTCCGATGCTAGAAACTCCACCATGTACACCCGCCAAATATCCAGACCGAGCTCGCCAATTTCCATTTGCTCGGCTGCATCGCTGGATAGATTGCCGTAGAAGGATTCCGTGTCGGTGATCTTTTGTTTCTTAATGTGCTGCTGATTCAAATAGCTGCAAAGGAATCAGCATCAATAAGATGTAGAGCAGACTAAGAACCTCTCACTCCTACTACTCACATGTACAACTGATGCAAATACTTGATTCCCTGGCTATACTCCATCCACGTGGTATAATAACGCTGCAGCAAATCCGACGTGGCTTTGTTATCCTTCTGGTCTTCGCGCGTGTCTTCCAGTACCTTTCTGGTCAGCATCACCTGCACATGCGATTCGAGAAATTCTTTGGTCTCGTTATAAAGACGATCGGCCATCGGCTCTGGCTGTGCCACGCATAATGTGTAGACATCGCTATAAAATTAACAAAAATCTGTATATTTTAGCAATTCACTAAATATACATATGTACATTTGTATATGCATATGTATGTATGTATATGTGTCCATCACACTTTTTGGCAACTCATGCTGTTTGCCACTTACCTGAAACTTGTGTTCCAGATGGCACGTTCCACCTTCCTTAACGTTATCACCGACTCCGCAATGCCACGCAAACGCGGCCAGACTTCAAAAAATTCCACTACTTTGGGTTTTAGCGACATTTTTTCTGTGGGGTGCTGAGCTCCTTACGTACTGGGGTCGTCTTTTTGTATGTTGATTGGTTGGTTGGTTGGGGCTACAATTTTGTTTACTTCCCGTAAATGTTTCTATTTGGTGAAAAAGTTCAAATATACAACATTTACATTTGTATGTAAATGACACACACACGCACACATTTACATAAGAAAAGAAAATTGGTTGTGCTCTTTCTGGCAAAGCTTTTCAATTCATTGCCTGTATTGCTATACAAGCGAGGACAAGTGTATGTGCGTTTTAGTATAAATTTAGTGAAAACTGCGCCGCCAATTTTGATATACCCCCTCTCCTGCGGTGCTATGCAGCAGCAGCAGAAGCAGCAGCCACCACCAGCAGCAGCAGAAGCAGCAGCCACCAGCAGCAGCGGCAGCAGTAGCAACAACAACAACAGCAGCAGCACCACCAGCAGCACCAACAACAACTATCAGCTATTTTATTTGCTCAATGTCACTAAGCGCCAAAAGCTGCTGGCCTTGACCTCAATTGTGCACACCGCCTTGGGCCCATAACTTACACTTTTAATCCGTTTTTATACGTAAGTTTCAATTATTTTGTAATTGCTTCATTTATACTTAAAAATATATTAAACAGGGCTGTTGATATTTTTAGGGTTGCTGATATTTTTCTTCAATTTATCGATATATCGATATTTGGAGAATGCGATATGACACAACTGCGTGCTGTTACCGTTGGTGCAATCGTCTCAAAACAGATGTTTTTGTGATATCTTAACGGAAAATGCGAATGAAATATTAATTATTCCGCATGCAAAGCAGATATTTACATAATCGTCGAAAATTCGAGCTGTGTGTGAAGCAATTAAAAATGCAGCGGTTTCATAATTTAAAATTGGAATTGAACTTGCTAATGAACTAAATATTTTCTTCTTCTCTAGGTAAAAATTGTTGCCTATCGGCCATCACTGGCCATATGGTCGAATAAGCATATCAGCGAGCTTTTTGTGTGCAAGTGTCATGTTTAACCCTTAGCTGGAACATAACCACAATTCATGGCACTGTTTTTTTTGTTCCGTTGATTTAAATAAAAATTTGTATTTGGTATAGTATTTAATATTTTCATTTATTATTTATTTCGCTATATTTTCGCTAATTATTATGTTCGTTTCGATTTGGAGTTGACAAATGCTTTCGAAATGTTTTTCGTTTTAAATAATAGAAAAATACAACGGCTAGCTGCACTTTTAGTATTTACTTAGTGATTAGTTCAATAAAAAATTTGTTAATAGCTTTAAACACAACACAGACAAAAAGGATAAAAGATTAGCTTAATCAATTTGCTAGGAATTTCGCAATCTGCATTTACAGTAGCATATTCGATTTATTTATATTTTATTTCTTATTCGGGGTGTTTCATTAACCAGTGGGCCAATTATGCTTTGACTTTTTCGTTGATTGTCATGCTTTTAGCCATTAGTATAAAACAATGATTTGCGTATAAGTATTTGTGCATAAACATAAAGTACATTAGTTACCAATTTCTTCTTTGTTTTGTTTACATTTCTTTTTAATATGCTTGCTGGCTATGTAAGTTCGTTTGTTCGTGTTTTACTAATTCGTTGAAGTTCTCTACTAAGCATGCTCTTCTATATATGCGTATGTATGTATGTGTATTCACGTTTAACTATGTATGTATATTTGTATGTATAGTAATGCTAGTCTATGTTATATGTTGTTGTTGTTGCTTGCGATTGGTACGTTACTAATGCTATGTTTAAGTTCATACGTTAACTATCCCATAATTAGTTAGTCAATATTTGCCTTCAATTCGTGTTTATTGGCTGGGCCTTATCCAATTGGTATCAACTCACACTATGCAACAAAATTTGGAAAGCATTCTCGGCAAGGGTGTGTTTTTGCTTCCAAAGCTCTTAAGAAACAATACAAACTCGACCTTAAGGGCACATTAAAAAGTACAAAAATAAATAAATAAATAAATAAAATAAATAAAAAATAATATTTTAAAAATATATATTATATATAAATTACAATATTAAAATATGGAAATATAATTATATCATAAAGACATAAATATTACACGTTTAAAATTTATAATGTTTAGTTTTGGATACTTAAAAATGTTAAAATTTAAAAAATACACTGAAAATATGAAAATTTAAATGTTTGAATTTGAAAATTATAATATCTGAATGTGTATATATAAATTGTGTTTTAAGTTCAATTATGTATTTTTTAAACGAAGTGAATTAAAATCTTTTTATATTTATTTTTTTTACTAAGATTTTATGCTTCTTTACACTTGTTGCTTTAGAAAATTATTATTCTTTATTATTATTTCTTTCTGCCTATGAAAAATATAACCTTTGATAAATGTATTTACTAATTTAAATCTGCGGAGCTCACAACCAAACAATTAAGTTCTACGTTTTTATTACGGAATTATTTTTACTTTTCATTTAAAGCTGAAGTTTACCTAAATTAAAAATTTTTATTAATTAAAAAAATTATGTATTTAGTTTAGCACCAAAATACAAAAATAAGAAATTGTTAGTTTCTTTTAAAAATAGTTTAAAAATATATAAATAACTAAATAAGAAAAACATAAATTAGAAAATTATAAAATAATTATAAGTTCAACAAAGGGTACAAAAAAAGTTCAACTGCTTTCACATAAATAATTGTTTTTGTTTTTATATAATTTTAACATTTAAGTTTTTCCACTGTTTAATTTTTGAAAATTTTTCTTCAATGATTATAGAAAAAAAAGTAAATTGGGCAGATATTTTGCTTAAGCTGCGAATTTGACGATTATGTATAGTGTTCTTAAAACTACGCGAGCACTACAGTGAACATTGATTAAAGGAAACCTTTTTAAAGATGGTTTTCAAACATAATATACTATGGAATGTAAAGTACCCTCGTAATTTTGTTGCATAGTATAAGAGATTTATAGTACAATATGTACATATGTACTACTTGTAAGTAATTCTAACTTTAGCTTTTCTGGCTGCTGTTTGGACTCGCTTTCTAAAAAACGTGCTCGCTTGTGGGTTGCATTTGTGTGGTGGGATACGGATTTGTTCTTTCAATATTGTATGTATATATAGTATATGACTAGTTTAAGTTACTTACACCTATTATAAATCATTTATAATTACAAATTATTTTGTTGTTGTAATATTCATCCTCTTTTTTCGCATAATTGTATATATCGCGCAATGTTATTTGCAAAATAATTTACACACATAGAGTTGGATTTGTTTGTTTGTCTAACATATTTGGTATTGTTTTTTGTATAAATTAGCATTAGTTTGTTCACATTATTAAGTACATGCGAATATATATGTATAATGTTGAATGATTTTTGCTATTCAGTTTATTATTGAACTACACATCGAATGGTTTGTAAGCTTATCAAAAGAAAACAACAGCTTGAATCTATTATATTTTATATTATGACTATTATTATTATTTGTTTAAAACAAACTGAAGTTTCACATTAATTTAATATACTTAGTTGCAGATTTAGGTACACAGTTGACGAACTTTTCCAAAGTAATGAGCCAGATGGTACAAACTAAACTATAAGATACTTTTTGTTTCTATAGCAGAATATCACACGCTTGTGCAGTTTAAATAGGCAAATCAAATGTAGCAAGTTAACGGTAACAGCGTTTCCTTCTCTTTTTTTTAACAGTCAACTTTCCCTTTTTCCTTTCCTAACACATGCGCACCAAATACGGATTCACACACACACACGCGCACATAATGTATATATGTATATGTATATATAGTAGCAGACACACAGCGTCGAGTTCGAAGCTGGATCAACATCCTAGTCCTTGTCCTTGTCTTTCGCCTTTCCCTCTTCGCCTTTACTCCAACAAAGCCTGTCCCTCGCCAGTGGCGTCTCCGCCTCCAACTGCAACGTTGCCATTGCCCAGCGGCTCCACGCCGTTCTCTGCCTTGGAATCCGGCGCCTTGGACTTCAGGAGCGGCGTCTTGATGTCCGCCTCCAGCTCCTGGCACTCCAAGCTGTGCGCCGGCGTCTCAGTTTCCGTTACAGTCACAGCTTCAGTCGCCGCTCCATGCGTCTCCACTGGCGGTCCAGCATCTGCACATGGCTGGGCCTTGCCCTGCAAAGTAGATGGAGGAGGGGGTGGAGGATGTGTCTTAGGCTTGTAATAGTTTCTAATCGAGTTTGGTTTCATTTCGAAAAACTAAGCACTAATTAATACTTCTTGTAGATGTGTTTGTGTGTAAAGTTCGATTGTGACTGAATAAAAACTACACCTACATCTGTCTGGCACTTCCAAAGTGGGAATGACTTGTTCCTCAAATGCTATGCGATGGAGCTGTTAGACTTTTGATAGCTCTAGCTGGTTGATTTTTTCAGCAAGTACAGCAAAAATGTAAACGAATTTGTTTTGCTTAACGAGTAAGTATCCAAGTTATTGTATGGCTCAGCGATTTGGAACTAAGTTTAGCCGATTCCGAAGCACAACTTCAAAAAAAAGCCATTCCTCCAGACCAAAAACATAAAACAAAATAAGCTTAATTACAAATATCATGAGTATTATGATTTTCAAAATAAAGAACCTCCCTTGTTTGCTGAGTAAACTATCGTAAAGAAAGAAAATATTCATTGGAGGGTTATGCAGATCTGTGCAGATCATAAAATATATTGAAAATATGAAAATTTTCAATTTAAAAGGCAAATCGTGCAAGGAACGAGTAAGGATGTATTGAACTTGTAGACATATTAAATGGTTCCCAAACGATTTCCACAACTATTCGATTGATATCCAAACTCAAAGAAAATATATATACAAATGGAATAGTAAGTACATTGTTCTTAGTAGTATAGATATTTTTTGGTAGCTAAGCTAAGACATCTTCAATTTAGTTGATTAAAGATTAAAGACGCTAGAAGAAAGTAGGACGGTTTTATCGAAATTGTAGACTTTTGAAGTGGCTGATAAGGGATTAGATCACGCTTCATATCAGCTGCTAAACAGATTATATCGCTATATACATATACATATCTTTGACAGAAGATGATAGTAGCTGCTAAACAGATTGCTTTAAAGACACCCTACTGTACTACCATGAAAAAGAGGCATCTATCGCATCGAGAAAAGTAATCATCTTCAATCAAAAATTGTTAAAATTCTTCATCTAGTTCATTATCTCACATCATTTGGCAAACTATTTTCTGAATCCGAACATGAATTTCGAATATTCTTTTAAGATAATGTTAAATCACGCAATAAAAATATTTAGTTTTTTTTTAAAAAAAAAGTGTGTAAAATATATATGTCCCGAAAAAAGTTCTAAGTCGATCATTTAAAATGATTATTTTATTTGAAATTTTGTCTTTAATTGACTCTTTTTTGTTTAATATTTCATCCGATCGATTTTTACGATCTGAACTAAACGTTAAGTCAAAATTTAAGAAACAGCTTCTGGCTTCCTGTGAGTTATATCGTTATATCGTGGTTTATACACAAATATTTCATTAGTCTCTCCTCAAACTTAGATATAATTCTATTGATATTAAAAAAAAAAAAGAAAAAGAAAACACTCAAACATTTGGCTGATAGAAACCAGGGCCTAGTTCCCACCTAAAAATCAAGTGTGACAAGTTTAACTCACCTGCAAATAGTAGGTCATTAGTTGACCCTTGCCCTTGACTGCCACCAAGCCGCGCTGCAGGAAAGTGTATCCGAATTGTTGGAGGATGTTGCAAGTCTCTTCGGTAACCTGTATCGCACCCGCCTTGCCGGTGCTCTCCATGCGTGAGGCGACATTCACGGTGTTGCCCCAAATATCGTAGTGCGGCTTTCGGGCACCAATAACTCCAGCTGTGATGGGACCATGGTTGATGCCCATTTTGAGGACAAAGTGATTGAAGGACTGCTCATTAATGCCCTGCAGTGCACGCTTCAGCTCCAAAGCGAACTCCACCAACACAGCTAGATGGGACCAACGTTCTGTAATCGATGCATCGTTGCGCAAATTGCGTTGCAAGTTAATGCCACTGGCCGCCATATATGTGGAGCCGATGGTTTTTATTTTTATAATATCCTGGAATTGTGGAAGCTCCAGCAGCTAAAAAGAAGATAACAACAAAGATGAGCACTGGTTGTTAAGAGAAATGTTAAGAGAAATGTCTAATCTGTAGTCGAGTCTGTCTAAAATGAGCGCTAAAGGAAATAACAAATCAATCTGAAGACCTAAAGAAACATTCCACTCTTCTTCAAAGCTAAATACTTCTTCACGATTCTCGAATTTATAATAATTATAATTTTCAAGTCGCAATGCCATTTAAAATACATTTTTCTACGGAGCTATCCCAAGAAAGTAGATGAAGAAGGTCGCAGCATTTGTTTCTTTGATTTGAAATAATGGTCTCATTAGGAATCATCTGCCGGACATGGTTGAAGCGTGAGGCAGATATCTAGATATCTTTAGCAAGAGCAGGGCTCGTATTTCTCAAAACCCAGACTACAATCAGTGCAGCATTTGTTCTCTCTTCTTAGGCAACTTTGAAGAATTGGAGCTTGAATGGACACCTAACTTCCGTCCAACGAATTTAAAGACCACAACGCCATGTCTCAGTAAATGTTTCTGGGCCTATCTAACCGAATCATTATTAACCGTAACTCACCGCATCAAAATCAGAAATGACTTCGTTTAGAAATCGGAGGCACTCCAAGCCCTGGTTGTTTACAGTTTCCTCCGAATAGAAATCTGAAAGCAATGAGACCTTTATGCTGAAATCCATTACAGATCTCTTCACCCATTTACCCGAAAAGTTTGGCATGCTGGCAAATAATACGCCCACCTCGGCATAACTTTGCGAATAGAGATCGTCGTGGGAACGTTTTGTGTTCTTCATAAAATGCTCTGCCACGTGAACGGGTAAAACATTATAAACCAAAGCCTCATTTCGTTGTCGCATATCATTGGCAGTTTCCTTTTGCTCGGCTACCTCGGTTTTCCATTTGAATATGACGCGATCCTCATGATCCATCTATAAAATGAGAAGATATTGCAAACGAAGAACCTCAGTTGGGTGCAGAGTTGAAGACTTACATGGCGCGCCAATGTGCTGAGGGCTAAGGCAGCCACAAGAAGTAGACCGGAAGTGCAGTAACGGGTGGATATAATGCTGAGAAAAAGTATCTTAAGGTTAACACCTAGCCAATGGATTAGGTATAGTCTATGGACTTACGGCTGATGTGCCAGATTATCTTCCAGCGCATACAAGTCCTGCATGATGAAGATGTTGAAGTAGCAATGGAGCGCTGCGGAAATAAAGGATCTTCTATTAAGTAATTTTTAAGGAGCAAAGGAGCGTTTAGTGCTCACCTGCTATGGACAGGAGCAACAGTATTTTGGTCAGATGGGTTAATTGTGCAATGACTGCAATGGCAATAAGTATGAGCACCGCAAAATTGCTCAGATAGGACGGATAGAGGACACGCTCCGTAGGCACCGCATTGCGCATTTGCTCCACAAAGGACACGGGTAGTAGGTGCTCGGCATTGGCCTCCAAGCCACTGGTCGTGGCATTGAATTCGCTCTCGCTGACAATGTGCTCGGTGCGCACGAAGGTGACGAAAAAGAACTGCAAGGATAGAAAATCAATAAGTACCTACTGAAAGGATACTCGCACCCACACCAGCACCAGCACCAGCAACTTACCATGTCGACGACATTGCTTAGGCCAATAGTAAGTGCTATAATTATGGCCGCCAGTTCGCGCACGAAGGTAATGTCATTGAAGCGCTTGCTCACATCGACAAAGAACTTGGGCAGCATGCCGGTGAAGCTTTCGGCTATGGAAATAACCACAAGCATGGCAATGGGGACAAGTGGTGCGGCAATGTTAATGAAATGCAGCGTGGAGCGTGGCAGCACGAGGTAGGAGTACAGGACATCGATGCATTGTACCAAGAGTGCGGCCAACAGCGGCAGCGAGCTGTACGGTTCTCGGTAAATGGCGTATGCCTGTTCCAGTTGCGGATTCTTGAAGCGCAGAAAGATGTTGGTGTCCTTGGTGAGGTTTCTAGAAAAGGAAACATTCAGCGTTACAGGGACGGATTTCGATCTACTAGCACTTGTCTCACTCGTGTCCATCACGCGTGACCAGCTCGTCCTTTAAGCGCTGCTTGAAGTTCTCCAACTTCAGCTGCTCCTCCTCATCCTCCAGCGGGGGTCGCTCGTTCGTGACGGCGCTCTCTGCCAATAGTTCCTCATCGTCTAGTGTGGCATCTGCGTCGCCGTCGTTGTTCTCATTGTTGGTGTTGTTGGTGCTGTGATTGGCATTTTCCACTTTGGTTTCGTTGATTTTCTTGGCGCATGGCGAGGAAAACTGAAATGGTGAGGCAATCGATCTATTTTTAGCTTCCTCGCACGCATTGAACAACGAACATGGTTAGCCATAATATAGAGGTCTTTATTCGAAATTGAAGGCATACCATATACGAGTAGTGTATTGCAGGCTTGCGGTCAGACAGGCAAACAATTTGTACACTAAGCTCTGTTGTTTGAAAAATAGTTGCCAAAGAAATATGTTAAATCAGAAAACTATATTTTAGTATAGAATTCTTGAAGATAAATTTGTGTGCAAATTATTTGCCCTTCTGACCAAACCTTTAATAACTATTAGATAATTAGAAAAAAAAAACACTAGATGATTCCAATTTAGACTTTCAGAAACAAAAATACTTCTACAGACAACAATTCGTTCTTCCCCTAACGTAATTCCTATAGGATTAAAGCAGTATCCAACGGTAATACAAATCAATACCAAATATCAAAACATATAACCTTTTACACGAAAAACTCAATCTTAGCAATATTAAACTACCAATGATTATTAACTACAATTCCTTAAAGCTTCTCCTGCGATTTTAATAAGTAATTATTTTGGGAATAAAGCAGTATTAGAAGAGAGCGCTACGACAAATCAAAAGAACTGATACACAATTTCTAAATTGGAAAAGTCCAGAAACCTATAAAATATATTAAATTACCAATGCTTTGTAATTTTTAAAAAATGTTAGCTTTATAAATAATTTATTCTAAGATAAAAGAAGAAAAGAAAACAACTATCTTTAAATAATATTTTTAAAAAGTTCAAATTCCGGCCAAGTTTTTGAAATGTGCATTGGAAAACGTTTCGTTTTTCGAATTCAAATTCAGTATGTTTGAATAATTATTAAGCATTTCTAGCACAGCTAAGAGAGTCTTCTTAAAATGATGTAAGTGTAGGCGACTATCGACTCAGTCCAGCTTTTTGAAAAACCTTCCCATTTCTCCCACACATAATTTCGTCAGAGAGAAGTAGAGTTTTATTCTTAGAGCTAACCATTCTGAGAAACAAATAGAAGGGAAACATGCAAGCAAAAGTTCGCTCGCATTTCAAAAGTTCCAAAAACACATTTTCAAAACTTTTACTCACTCTAAAGCTAACAAGATATACCAGATGGAAATCTCATACCGTTACACTTACCGGCTTCAGCACTTTCTTAATGAAAAAGGTCTTCAGGCCAGCAATGCGCAACAATTCCTCTCGTTTCTCACCAAAAGCCGGCTCCACTTCAAATTCTCCATTGAGAAAGGCCAAAGTTTTGTCCGAGATGTGCACGCGTCTGCAGGTAAAAAAATATAAATAAGAATAAGCAATAGCATGTTTAATGAGTGAAGGAGCTGAGCAAGCCAATTAACTTGCTTCCCCATAAATTTGCATAGAGATGAAAGACAAGGATCTGTACTTACTGGGGCTCAAGAACACAACCTCAACCTCAACCTCTACCCAACAGCCCTTTTTGCTAAGCTCAAGAAAAACAAAAGGAAAGCAAGCTCGTTACTTGTGCTTGTGACGCTCATTAACACATTGTCAGCTTATCAATTATGCACCCATAGTTACGAGAATGAGAATGGCACCAAGACTATACTCACCCAGCCTTGCCGCTCGATTCCATTTTATTAGCCAGCTCAACGTCCTTGGAGTACACATCAAATTGCCATTGACGCTGACCCAGTATGCCAGCAAGTACAGCGCCAGTGTGTATGCCCACACGCATATCAACAGGTGAATTAGCCTTCTGCTGTACATACCTACACACACACACACACACACACGCACACGCACACACATACAAATTGACACGCAAAGGTAAAAAGGAGAAAAAGATTGTTAATACCACGCACAAAAAGGTACTAGTACAAGGTGCGTTTCAAAGCTCACGGAGCTCCTAGCAAGAAACACTTATATGCTGCAGATTCTTAACAGAAAGCGCCTTTAGTCTAGGTATTCCCCACACTATCAAGACGCATTCCTTTCACAGCCAAATTAACTGTTTTAGGACATGGAAGTCTGGTATTGGTCTTCCTCTTAAAAATTTGCGAAGCCTAAAAGCATGCTGCAGTTTTCTCTCTATAATATCCTTTTTTTTTTTTTTTTTTTTTTTTTTTTTTACATATATACAATTTATTAAACTAGTTTTCTACTACCAATATGGCAGCTTAAGCTAGTTGAAAGTTAGGGAATACAAAAGTTGTCTATAGTAAGCATCTATAGGACGCACTTATATCTATGTACATATATACAATATTTACAATGTTTTACATGAAAAATGATTATATTTTATGATATATACTATGTATTTTATACAAGGGCTCTTGTGGGGAGATCCTTTGGATGGCACTTCTTCAGTCTTCTCTTCTTAGGTTTGGACAGGAGCCGCCTCGCTAGTGCGTTGGGGTGACTGCCGAGTCGCTTCTCGTAATTGCTTGCGTGCATTTGAATGACATCGCCAACCTTGGGGACACATAAGTCTCTTTCGATGTCCCTAGTGCGCATATACCAGGGAGCGTTGCATATTTTTCTAAGTATTTTAGCTTGCGCAACTCTTATTTTGTTTAGGTTTGAAGCAGCGGCAATGCCATAAATTGGTAGCGCATACTTCCATATTGGACTTAATATGGACTTGTATACTGTCACCTTACTGTGCAGGGACAGCTTGTTGCATGGTGCAAGCAGCCATGCCATCTTTCCGGCTTTCGCCATGACCGATCGCTTCACCATTGTTGTATGCTTGCTGAAGTTGAGTCTTCTGTCCAGAATTACACCAAGATATTTGTGCGAATTTGTATGACTGAGCGTGGACCCCAACATTGTGATATCTCCGCATGACGACGGCCTTGTTGTAAATGTGACATTCGCACACTTGCTGGCGTTGATACCAATGTTCCAATTCAGAGCCCACTTCTCGAAACTACTTACATACTGCTGTAAGGCTTCCGAAGCTACATCGATATCTCTGCATCTGGTAAGCACCGCAGTGTCGTCTGCGTAAGTAGCTATTAGTGCGTCATCCTCGTCTACTCCAAGGATCTCTTGCGGTGCAGGCATATCAGCAGTAAATAATGTATACAGGGTAGGACCGAGAACACTGCCTTGGGGCACTCCTGCACAAATTGAGCGCCTCGTGGATTTCACTCCATCAACAGCAACTCTGAAGCTTCTGTCCCTTAGAAAGCTTTCGATGAGTTGAAACAATTGAGGAGTTAGCATGCCTTTCAATTTGCAGAGGAGACCATCATGCCACACTCTATCAAAAGCTTGTTTAATATCCATAAACACAGCCACTGAGTACATCTTTTGCTCCATGGCTTCCAGGGCGAAGTTGACCACACGGTGGAGCTGTTCCGGTGTTCCGTGACTTCTTCGAAAACCAAATTGCCATTTTGGAATTCTGCGCGTCACGGCTTCGAGCTGGAGAATCCGGTCCAGAATCACGCGTTCCATCATCTTCCCGAGGGCAGGTAGCAGACTAATCGGCCTATATCCATCTACTTCAGTATGCTGTTTCTCTGGCTTTGGAATCATCGTAATTAGCGCCATTTTCCAGCAGTTTGGAAAGTGCCTCAGCCTGAGTATGTTATTCATGAGCAAGACAATATACAGCAGAGCCCTTGTGGGGAGCAGTTTCAGCGTCCTGTTGTCTAAAAGGTCTTCTCCAGGCGCTTTTTTTTACCTTTAGATTTTTTATCTGCTGTACCACTTCTTGAAGTGTAACTGGGCTTGCAGGCAAGGCCATTTGGAATGGCATCTCCAGCCTAAGCTCGACTACCCTTCGCCTATCTGCTGTTGTAAAGTCAAAAGGCTTAAATCTTTCCTCTAGGCTGTTTGCAAAGATTTCAGCTTTCTGCTGACTGGAGTAGCTCCATCCACCTGTAGGATCCTTAATTGGAGTCTTAGGGATGACCAGCCTCTTAAATCGCCTCGTAAGCTTCCAGAGCGAGTAATTAAATGATGCATCTGGACCAGCACTTTCCAATATGTCATCAATTCTGCCTTGTCTGATTTTAGCAAGCTCTTTTTGCAGTCGATTGGACAGTCTTTTGTAGATTTGATGAATGCGAGTATCTCCAGTTCTTGCATATTCTTTCCTGACTCTTCTTTTCAGGCTTAAGAGCGCAGCAGCCGTTGGTGGTAGACTAGCTTGACTATGTTGGGTTGGCAAGCGTAAAGTTTTCGGTGCAGCAGAAGACGCAGCCAGTGAAATGTTCTTCATGAGGATTGATATCGCGTCTTCGATATCCTCTGGGCTGTTAATTTCGACGTTCAGGTTAATTCTTCTTTCGAGATCGGCTTTAAAAACATCAATACGGGAGCCAGGTGGTAGAATATATTCCCTCTTGGGATTATATTGCGGTGCATGATGTAGCGTCGCTACTACTGGAAGGTGATCCGATGCGAGCTCATATTTTGTTTCAACGGTGAGTCTGTTTAGGGCAATCCTGTTGACAATAAAGAAGTCTAGTGCAGAGGGGTTAAGTCGTGTGTTGTAAGAGTAGAAAGTTGGCTCTCCAGTAGCAAGAACTTGGCAAGTAGTACTAGCTATGGCCTCTTGCAAACACCTTCCTCGCCTGCAAGATCTGGAATTACCCCACCATTGGTGTTTTGCATTAAAATCACCGCCTACAATAAACTTATCTCCTAAGGTTGCAAGCAATAGATCAAAGTCGGCCCTGCACCAAGCTTCATTGGGAGGAAGATATAGGGAGGAGACTTTGATGCTTCCACCATTCGTCGGTATAGTTACGCTGGCCGCTTGGATGCTTGTTTTTAGAATTGGCTCATTCTGTGAATGAGCGATACTTGATCTAATGATGACTGCAGAACCACTTTTAGCGGTGCCACTAGGATGATTAGCGTAGTACTGGTCGTATCCTGGCAAATATGCGTTCAAGCCAGGACGCATATGCGTTTCGGTTATTAACATGATATCGATCGAGTTTGAACTTAGGAAAAGCCTGAGTTCATCATTGTTTTTGACCAGGCCCCGTGCGTTCCATAATCCGATTTTTAACAGCGGATTTAACATTTGGATATTAGTTTTTGTACCAAGTCACGGAAGGCTCTATTGGAATCCATATTTTCCTGTATGAGCTTATACATTTGATCCATTCTTGCGTTTAGATCTAAAATCGCCTTTTCCAGCATACTAAATTTGTTGTTTAGATGCCAATCTTCGGCGGAACTGTGTGATCGGGGCGAGTTTTGGTTTGTTGGCGCGCTGGTACGTTTTTCTCCAATTGGCCTAGCTGCATCAGCATAAGAGAAGCCACTCTTAACAGTAGAGTTTGAGATAAACTGTACTTTAGTGCCTTGGTTATTTGGGTAACTCCTATTGCTACCGATAACTAGTCCATCTTTCGGCAACCTCACAGCTGGCTTAAGTTTTTTGGCTAGATCAATTCTTACCTTGCAGCCTCTGAAGCTCGACATGTGGTCTTCGCCGCAATTAGCGCATATAAATTCCCCATTATCATTCAGGTTACATGATTTTGAGCCAGTATCATGGTCCCCCGAGCATTTACCGCAAACCGGCTTTTTAAGGCAATAGTTCCTCGTGTGCCCGAAATCTTGGCATCTGAAGCATTGTACCAGCTCTTTACTCTGTTTGGCCTTTGATATTGTAACCCTGTGTCTACCAATTTGAGTTATTTTTAGTGCCTCAGCAACGTTGGGTGCGTTCTGGAGGTTAACGTAAAACATATTTTGTCTTGTTTTAACATTATTTATGTCCTCACCATCCTCCTCATTAATTTGAATGTTACGCCAGTCCGGTTTTCTGGGGCAATATATATTCAAAACTGTAAAGCCCTTGTCGGTAAAGGTGCGCTCTATTAATTGCCTGGGTACATTGGGATGAATATCTCTGAGCACCAATCTGCAGGGTTTGTTCTCCTTCAACTGGTGGTGCCAGAATTGACAATTTTGATTGGACAATAATTTGATTATTGCACGAAACGCATTCGAATTCTTCGTATAAATACGCGAGATCCCAGATTTCGATGTGCGTATGTCGTAATCGTTAGGGGAGACAGCAGAATTGAGCGCCACCTCCAGCTTATCCAATTTGTTGACTTGTGGCACACATATAGCAGGAGGCTTAGGAATACTACTTCCCTGCTGGAAACGGCTGGCTTCATTTTGCTGGCTCGATGGATCTTCGGAATCTGGCTCTTCCATTTCCATAATGGAATCAGCTTCTTCCGAAAGGGCTGCAAATCTATTATTTTGAAGCGCTGGCGGAGAGGAGGACGCAGTTCGTTGTCCCTGGGTTGTATTGACAGGAGTTGGCTTATTTTTTTGAGCCGATTTTAGTGACTCGACGGCTCCTTTCCGCTTCCTATTAATACCGGGTACTGGCATTTGAAACGAGCAAAATTTGTCCAGAGTTGGATTTGCAACTAAGTTTGTCATTGAAGCCGGTGTACTCACAACGGCGGGTGTGGAGCACAAACTGCCATTTGATGTCGCTACTGTAGTATACATTGATTGAGAGTTCACCACAGAAAATGTTAGGGTACTTGTAGTCGATGTACAAGTGGTTGAGGCAATCCAGTTACTGGTTGAGATTGACGGCTTTAAGTATGGTTTTCCCATTGACATATGCAAGTCCTTGGTTATTTTTGCTCTCAGCTCCGAAGGTGATTTACCAGAAATTTTTCTCATCTCCACGTACTTCGGCAGCTTATTGACTACTTCCTCAGCTGCTCCGAGAGCGGCCGAGTCTTCATCAGCATTCATTTACGTGAGATAAGATGACTTGCAAAACAAGCAAAGAAGAAAAATTCTGGGCTGTCTCTGCTCCGATGACGTGTATACGTCAGCAGAGCAGCCCCATACAGCAGATTAATTGTTGATTGGAATCCAAGAAAATAAGGATACTAAACGATTGCCAAAAAGCCAAGGTGAAACTAGGTTTCCGGGTGGTTTTTTTTTTTTTTTTAACGCACTATACGCGAAATAATTGAAAAAGAGGAATTTATTACAATTTTTCACGGAGCGCACAATAAAAAGTCGACTAGTCACTTTGACAGCTACCAGGGTTGTGTGTAATATCCTTGTGTTCTCCTTTTTTTATATTACTCACAGGATCTCCCCACGTGTAAAATATATAATATAATATCATAAAATATATTTCATATTTAATCTAAAAAAGAAATATTGTAAATATTCCATTGTTTATATATATAGATTAGAGTGTGTCCTGTAGATGTATTCCCTCCTTGTATTTCTTATTGTTAGCAGAATACTGGTTTAATAAATTGTATATATATTTTTCAAAAAAAAAAAAGCTTTTTTAATATTAAGTCTCTTGTTCTTACTGTTCGTTTGTCGATTTCGCATATTAATATTTTTATTAAATTATATTAAGTCTCTATTAAGTCTTGTCTGTGAATGGAAGTAAGGCTATAAATTGTCTTGCATTGAAACATTAGAATTAAAAATAAATCAGTAGCTTGAGCGCTGCATTTCAAGGCCTTTATTTATTCACACTACGTTGCAAAACTTTTTAAACTTTTGATTGGAAAGAAGTAAGAGCGATTGGAAAATTCTTGCAGACTTCGAATAAGTATCAGCCTTTGATTGAATAATTTATATAAGTATGCATTCCTTGAATTGTAAATTTATTTATCAACAAAACAAAGACTTTTGTTTCAGCTTTTTTAATTAGTTGAATCGATGTATCATCGAGTCCAGCTCCACATCTTCAATTTCTTAACTTTCAATAACTTCGCTGGTACCTATGGAATGGGTCTGATTCAAGGAAATGTCATTTGTCTCGCAGTATGAATACCTCTATTTCGAAAACTATAGGGGCTGGTTGCACAACAATGAATATAAATATTCATAAGCTGTTGTTGCAAATAAAGTTGTCTTTCGATCCTTAGTTTGTTAACCTCACAACCCCTTACTTCGCTTACAGTGTGCCAAATGTCATTAAATATTGGCCGAGTGTTGGAAAACTCTTAATAATTTCGATAGTAATAAGTTTACTTTGATACGCACCTTGTTTAATGTTATGTTACAAGAGAAGGGAAAAAATGCGAATAGCGCGTGCCATTTGATGGACACAGCACCAGCTCCCTAGAGATTGGGGGAGCTCGGAGAGCGGAAGTGGGGGCTGCTTTTGTCGAAGCGTGGTTGAGTGCAATTAAAATTAATTGAACCAACGTTGATTTCATGTCCTGTTTTTTGTTTCTGTTTCGGTTTTTGTACTCACTTAATGGCCTTCACCATCGACAGTCCCATGTGTACGCAGAGGACGGCATGATCTGGTCGCTCATCGGGCGCTCCACTAATGCAATAATAGCAATCACCGAGAATTTTAATACGTAGTTGTTGGTATTTCTGTAATCGAAGCACACACACACACACAATTAATGGCTTAGTTATATTACAACGAGCTAATGGAACTGTTAGATTCAATGAAATTTTAATCCATTAATGTCTGTCGTTGGTATTTTAATGCTCGGGCTGTACTGAAAGTTTCATAAAAAACCTATAATTGATTGCTTGACCAGAAAGAGGAAGTATGGCCGCGAATTTGGTTAAATGTTTTAATGTTTATCTATCTTAAGTGAATTTATATCAAGTACATAGTGTCCCAAATGACTTCGTTTGTTCCGGTACTGGTATTTTTTTCTGCTTATTGGTTTGATTCGATATCTCAGATAAGATGCTTTGTTCCTGCTTATAAATGTCTATATACACATATTTTCTTTATCTCTTCAATAATATATAAAGTACTTTTTAGCACTACACCGGTTGGTAAGCAATCGACGCTCTTCGAAATCCGCAACGGAATCGAAATAGAAACTAGAAAAGTTGTTATCCCTTTCGGGATTAGTTTGTTAATTGACAATTATTTGTTAAGTATTGAAAGAATAACTTTTTCGTGAAAGTCCGTGAAATGAACGTTTGAAAACGCAAATCCGAAAAGTGTAGCTCTTATTCTGCTTATAATTGATAATGTAATATGTTGTTAATAGAAATGTTCCACAATTTTTGAAATGTGAGACAGCGAAGTCGAAAAGTATATTCTAATAGGAGTATGTATATATTTCTAGTTTTTCTAGTTTGTCAAAAGAAACGTTTCGCAATGTTTCGAACACTTCAAAATAAATTTTCAAAACACGGTAACATGTTGTTCATTAACTTACTCGACAACAGTTGAAGACCTCTTTAACCTTTCCGTAATATCTAACTCGCCCCACTCTTTATAAATTGCTTGAGTGCAGCATTTTAAAAGAAACGGTGGAACATAATGGACAAACATAAATTTATTTAGTAAGTAACTCTTTCCCTGAAACTCCACTAAGCTATACATTTTATTCCATGTCAACTGAATGGGGAATTGCCAAAAAAAAAAACATTTGAAACAATTAAAAACAATTTATATTTTCACCATTTTAAGAAACAATTCGAAGTACTTATTACAAATTGAACTTCTCCTTCTACTTTCAGTACAGCCCTTTAATGTAAGAGACAGCCACAAAAATGCCGCAAAAGTGCAGTCAAGAAATCACAGAGAATATCAAATCAAATAAACTGCAAAGTACATCAAAATATTGTCAAATAAAAAATGGAAAATACCCACAAATCAGTGAAAAGGAAAACATATAAGCCAAGCGAATAAACACAAAAATAAACCTATAAAAAAAAAAACAAAACCCAATTCCGCCAGCAAATCGCAAACGAGAAAAAATCAAGTCGAAACATTTCACACGCCTGACTGGGCGTAACTTTTGTTACCAATGGCCAATGGCCCAAAAGCAACAAAAACATAACGGCACAACGAAAACCCCAAAAAAAGGGAGGTTAACAAAATTATGCACCGGAATAAAACGAAAAAAAGAGAACACAGTCAGAATTCAAATTAAAGTGTGAAAAGCGCAAATAGAGGAAATGAAAAATTCTCCGATGCTTATCTTAAACGTCATAATCATCATTATTAGAACAGTTATGGGGTACGAGGGAATTACATAGCTGGAAAAAGAAAAGTTTGTTCTTCTTTTTTGTTGTTTGTTGTTGTTATTGTTACCTCGGCAAGCCTATCGAAGCGTGCGAAAAGTTCGTTAAGCATTTTAACCAGGTCTTGAGCGCTATACGTTGACGAGATGGCCGTAAAGCCGACAATGTCTGCATACAGTATGCTTGTGGGTGTAAAAGAGAATGTATATGTAGACGATTAAATGGCAAAAATGGCTAAATAAATAGTTGACGCCTAAAAATATGCTGTGCATTTATTAATAGCTAGTAAAAATAATAAAGCTTTGTACGGCTAATGGGTTGATAACGTGGTATGTTTGGACGGATATAAGAGTATATATATACTCGTACACATAAAAGAACAGTTTACACGACAAGTAACGATAAATTTAAAAAATGTGTTTTCAGTTCATTTGTTACCGATTTTTTTGGGTAACTTTTCCTAGGCAAAATGTTGGAATAGCATTGTTAAAGGGGCCAAGTCGATTTAATAGATGGTTCTGCTTTTATGGAGTACAGTGGAACCTGAATAATCTATTCTATTAACAGGATTAACAGCTGGTTAACTGAGATGTTGATTAGTTTACTTGATACTTCTATTAACCATGATTAGTCTATTTATCTGATTAATCTGCATGATTAATCTACTATCTGAAGAGTTACAAAACTCAAGAAAATGAGGATTTCGAGGATTAAGATGGAGGAAATGTGGAAACGCTTCCGGATTGTAATAATGCTTTGTTAAAGTCTTGCTCAAACTATTATTTTAGAGGATGACAAACTGAAAATGTATCCCATAAATAACTTATTATTATTTACTTGAAAAGCAATTAAAAGCTAAACAGAAAAGACAGACTACCTTGAAAGGTTGTTTAAAATATGTAAATGTATTTCATGGAGTAAGATATTAACCGGGATTTTCAATTATCCGGCAATGCACTCAATGCCGAGCTTCATGTTGAATTGTAATGACCCTTCAACTAAGCTACTTATCTATCCTTATGGAATGAGCTATTCACTTGTAATTTATAAGTGCACCAATTGGGAAGTCTCTGTACGAGTAAAAGAAAATTTCTGGTTTCTAAACATTCTCGGGATTTACTTATACCAATAGATATGTGCCTGTATAAATTATTATTGGTAATCAGTATAGCTTAAGAATATGTGTGTGTCGCTATAATTTTTTGTTTTTCTGCTAAGCTAGAGTAGCTACAGGTAGTTGAGTTAAACAAAAGCTAAAGTATCTGATTGAAATGAAATGTTTGTCTACACAATATTTTGTCTTTCCTTATTTAGAATTGAAAATTGAAAATATTTTTATAATCAGATAGTATTTTATGCATAGAAAAATCCGTTATTTTGAACAAAATTCACTATTGCTTTTGAAAGAAATAGCAATCGTTTAATTTAATAAAAATCTTGCCTGTAAAACTTTGATTAGTCTGCTCTGAAATGTAGATATTTCGTTTATAATAAATAAATAATAGGCACTCTTTCATTTGAACAATAAACAAATTTGTCGTGCAAAGCTGTCCTAAAATATCGCAAACTAAATACACTTTTATATGCTTTGTTTACTCTACACTTTAAAAGATTGCTGTGTGTCTCAATAAATAAATAAATACAATAAAGAAAGTTTATTATTAAATTAAATGTCCTTTAGCGTTAAATTTTCTGCTAATGGTGGGCATATATCTTTAACTGAATGGGGCATTACTTACCTCACATTCTCGTGGCGACTCATGTAGATCTTTTTGAAAGCCTCCGAACTGGAAGAGCCCAAATCCTCGCGCATCTTAATAGCCACATGCTTGGGAAGCACAGACAGCAGCAATCGTTCCTGCCGATCATTGCAAACATTGGAAATCCATTAAAATATGTTCCGAAGCCCATTCGGAATGGCACGCACCTGTTCTGCGGATTGCTCCTCGATGACCATCTTCACCTCTAAGCTCTTTTTGGCCTCCAGAAAGGCGCGTTTCTGCTTCGCCTCGCCCATGAAGTAATACAATAAGCCGATTAATGCCGCCGTTATAATGAGAACTGCATTAGCAGCCGCCTGGTCCGAGAGCATGGGATCGGACCGCGAGAAACCCACCGGCATGCTCAGGCAATTGAAATACGTGCAGAAGCCAATGATGAGGCCCAACGAGATCAGCGGCACCGGCAACGTCACGTAAATCAAAAAGTTGAGCAGTATGCCCCAGCCGAGTAGATCGCTAATAAAGGGTATGACCAATTTAGCAATTCAAATGGACTCCCAAGTTCCCTCAGCTACTCACCGCGGCGAGACCGTCGGCTGCAGCATGGTGTAGGCCGCAAAGTGCATCATGGCCAAGTACCAGAGAACGCGGGGCACTATCGTGAGCAGCGACTGGTGGAAGCGCCGCAATGCTGGCTGATCCGAGTGACGTCCAATGTGGAGCACCGCAGTGAGCGCCAAGTAGGCAACAAGCATGGCACAATGCACCACTACGTGGGTTGGGAAGAGGGAGCGATAAAGGCATTTACAACAAATAAATAAAGTTTTTATAAACTGTTACAAAATATATGTTTTCTTTCTAGCACTTTTTATTATAAACCTTTCCCTGGACTAGAAAACCTATCAAAAAATAACGTCAAGTATACTCCAATAAAAGCCAATTCGGGAGAGTTTAAGAACTCTTCGCTTTTCAGAAACCTATAGAAGATCAGTTTGTTCATTAACCATTTTTTTTTATAAAAGTAAGCCCTGAACTATCAAAAGACAAAACTTAAAGTATTCTTAATTAGAAGAAAAGAAGAACTTTTCGCTCTTGATAAATCGACTTATATAAGATAACTTTACTAACTCTTTTTATAATTTAAGCCATCCCTGAACTATCAAAAAAGAAGAACTTAAAGTATTCTTAAATAGAAGTCAGTACGGGGGTGTTAAAGAGCTTTTCTTTCTTGGGAAATATACATAAAATCCAGTTTCTTTGCTAGCCCTTACTATTATAATCTCTCAAAGAAAACGTATTCTTTAATTCTTTAATTAATTCCAATTCGGGGGAGCTTAACAGCTTAAAGAAATCTATATATCATAGATCTAAGAGATTGTGTAACTCAAGCAGAACTGGTACAGATTGAGATTTTTTTAAAGTTTCAAGTATCTTTTATTTACCAAATGCCAAATAAAGACTTTAAATATCTTTTAAGGACCTGCGCCTAAGGTAAATTTTAATTTTTATGAAATATGTATATCCCAATATCATAATATTAAACGACAAATTATTAACTGTTTTTCTTTAAAGATTTAAAAGTTAATCTTTTCTTTTCACAATTTATCTTAGGTTTTCAAGACTATACTAAAGTAGAAATATACTTAATAAACCCGCCCATATATTTAATTTCCAAAAACTAATTGATCTTCGTAGCGGGTACATTTATTGTAAGTAGCCTCCCTAACCTTTTTAAACTTGAAATTCTTTCGAAATACCTTTTTCACCTGTGTCTAATAACAATAATAACAAGAAATTTCGAACCCTATTTCAAAAATATTTCGACATTAGGATCAAAAGTTGGAAGAGTAGATATTATTCATTTCCACTAAAATCAGAAGAAGAATTTTTAATTTTTAAAAACCACCTTAAACTAAAGCTTATTGGTAGTTCTATTAATGACTACAAGTATATCCCAATATATCCGATATACAAGTAGTATTAAAAATAGCATACGATTTTTAGCTAGAATTGTTTTTTTGTTAATTAGTAATTATAATTATGAAATAGAAAATATAATACATATTTTTAATTCTACTTCTAGGAATATATATTTATGTGTGGCATACAATGTTTGACTAGGGTTTTATCTAGGAAAAATTCTTTTTCTTGAGCGCAACAATTCGAATTTAGTTTTAAAAATGTTTCTACTGCTTCTAATTCTCCATTTATGACAAACCCATGCACAAAATTTGTCATTTGTCTTTTTAAAGCGCTATTTTCGTGAGAAGTGTCCTCCAATTACGGTATCTAATACAAAATTATAAATCTGACTTTCTACTATATATGTTCCCCTTTTTTGATATTTCTCTTTTAGAGATGTAGATTTGCTGAGAAACAGACTCACCTCGCGTGGGCCATTCCTGCTCCCAGGGTATGCAAATGGCCCAAGCGTTGAAGAGGAGAGCCGCGAATACGAACCACTTGAGGCCGCTGCGGCGCTGCTTGATGGAATAGTTGTGATACAGTTCGTTGAGCACATGCTGCGGGAGTATGACAACCCCGCCCCCGGTGATGCCGACCCCCCCGGCCACAACTTCATCGTCGTGCGGGAGCCGTCGACGCGTGGGCGTCTTCTTTTGTGCGGCCGGCGATTGCTGTCGACCGCTCGAGTTGCGCTTCGCTGTGGGTGTGGGTGTGGGTGTGGGGGTGGATGTGTCGGCGGACTTCGTTGGAGTCGCAACTGTTTTCAGGCCATTCTCAACGGCTACCTTTTCATCCGGCATTGCGAGGTCTTGTGGTCGAGGGCCGGGGTCGAGGTCTTTGACTGAGCGGCTATGCGCCGGTAGTTAATTTTTCGTTGATCACCGCTTGGTTTATGAATGAAGCACGGCCATTTCCGGTGCCGCGCACGTCCTTATTTATTTATAGATGGCAGAGACAGAGGCAGAGTCAGAGGCACACAGACTGCTCGACGGCAAAGGAAATGGTGTCCCCGATGTTGTCGCTTTGGGTAAATAAAAAGTATACGAAGCAGAAACTCAAATACAAAACTTGTACAAAACACAAACGTTAACGTTAACGCTAAATTTAAGGCTTAACAGAGCCTATCAGCCTGTGCTTGTGTGCATGTGTGTGTGGGAGAGAGCGGGAGAGAGAGAGAGAGAGAGAGATGCAAGGCGGAAGCGTCCTTGTGGGAGAGCATAAGCATGGCCGCAAGCCTTTTGCGCGCTCACTGAAAAGCTTCTACTGGCGAGTCACAGTGGGCGGCAATTATTAAAAATTATGGAAAAATTAATATATGAATTGTTCTTCCTATTGTTATATAGAATAATTTAACTTAATTTCATTTAATTGAACCTGTATGTCGATTTTGATGATTCCATAACTTATATATACGAATATAAACGCGTTCATACAGTCGAACTATTAGGCCCTTTAACTAGCTGCTCATCTTTATTAAGTTTACTGTTAAGCCTTTAAACATTGTTAGACCTAGTTACTAATCTAAAATTCTGCCAAAATGGAGAAACTTCTTACTGACTCTGCATCCGGAAATAATTAAAACTATTTCAAACACAATGTGATAACATATTTATAAATACCAAAATTATTTGTGATAAGTAAACATTCCCCAATATCAAGTTTATTTCTAGCTAGGCATTCAGATAAGATAACTACACGTAAGTAACAGACCAAAGCAAAATCATTTCCTACTAGAGATAAGTTTTAAGAACACGCGTTGCATTGTGTTATCTAGAAAGGTGTTATATCTTCAGCGAAGCCTGTGTAAATATTTCATTAATGAATAATTTAAACTTTTACTTTAACTAAAGAATTTTATTTCGAAGTAATATTGCGAAGTAATAAAACTTATTCACAAATGAAACTATAATATAAAATAAAACATAATATGTATGAAATAATAATCTTAAAATAATATAGTCATTAAAACAAATAAATATTTTTTTACGATAGTGAAACAGAATAACAGTGAAGAAGAGCGTACTATTGAGTTAGCTTGAAGGTTTCCCTGCACATGTGCCCTTCAAAAACACTTGTTGAACACATTATATTGAAAGCAATGAAACTTTTAAGAGTACTGCAAATTAAATAAATATTTTTTGGCATTCTACCAAATTATTTCCAAATGCTTCTTTACCTACAAGTATCTGTTGAGTGCATACTAAAAAGATTTCCTGCCCATGTGCCGTTTGAAAACACTTGTTGAACACATTAGAAATGAAACATTTCACATTTATTTAGGGCGCACATATGAAATCGGAACAAATAACGGAACAAACGAAACTTTCCACTAACTTCGCAAATAGATTTGAGTTTCAAGAGAAATCGGCAACCGGAACAGGTCTGATTATATTGCTTTGAATGCTGACTAGCGCATCAATAGATAAATCATGTAGATGAATAGTTTTTAATTTTTCTAAATTTTGAAAACTCATTTACAAACAAAACTATGGCTCGAGAGTGAATACAAATTAGAGTAATTTTCCAAAATATGAGAAATATTGTTTTCTAAGTGTATTCACTTTCATATGAAATTAGTGAATAGTTCTTTCTATCCAATGTTTAATACACTGATCCTACAACAAACAAATATTAAATATATAAACAAATTTGTTTACCAACTATTTGTTCGTCTGACCTTAACTTTAAACTAATAATCTGCATACTCATTTTTTGCTTTTTGTGGAAGAATACCTATTGGATTGCATCGAGTAATATTATATTAATGACAAAACTGTGTGCAAAACATTTGCATGTCTGAACGCACTTTAGAATTGAGTTTCTATTTTCTGACCACTCAGCTCATTAGTTTGTTAAACTTTCATGATATTCGAGCGAAGCTCTTGCATAAATTATGGACCAATTTTCATGGTACACAGCCCACGGTGGCCCGAGAGGCCTGTCTCTGCGCTCTCTCACACGCACGCACACACACGCACACACACGCACACACACGAATGGAGGAATATGTTGTCAGGCTGCCTGCTGGCAATGTGCTTCCTCTTCCTAGCGCAACGTATCCTTATTGCCGAAATCGACGACTGTAGCATAACGGTGCTTTTTGGGCATAAGAAAAGCAGAAAGCATACAAAAAATCCTTTACATTTACTAACTAAATGTATGCATGTGTGTGTGGGTGTGTGCATTTGTGAGCGTGTGTGTGTGTGTGTCTGTGTGTAAGGTTGATTTGCTCAAGGTTCGTTTTAATACGAAGTGATTTTCTTGTTTGTTTGCTTCTGTGTGTACACACACGCACGCATTGACAGTGTTTTTTTTTTATTATTTTTGTTTCTATTGTTGTTGTTGCTGTTATTGTCGGGCTGGTGGATTATTTCGATTTTAATTTTAATACATAAAGGACGCGTCGCGAGCCAAATGCATACACACACGCACACTAACGCACAAACGGAGAGCCAGAATATCACGAACGAATATCTGAAAAGGCTGCTACATTTTTTTTTCTTTTTTTTGGGAGGCTGCGCTCAGGTAACGGTATCACAATTTTTTCACTAATTGCTTCATTCGCCTTCATTTACCTTTTCCGTCTATTTAAATATTAACGCACATATATGGAGTTATGTTAACATACTTGGAGTAGAGCTTAATGATTACTGCCTCCTTGTTGTTTTATAATTTTATGCTAAAGGAATTTGCTTCGTTGTGGCTGCTTTTTGCCTTCTCTTCTTCTTGCTGCTACTCTGCTGCTCACTGTGCTCGACGCTAGTATTTACGCGATTTTTGAAACTAAACTAAGACGCACGATAAACTTGACTGATTGTTAAGTGAAAATTTTTGACAGTCAACAGCCAAAGCAGCTAGGAAGGACTTTTTGCGGTGCCACTCTCTCACGCACGCTTCTCTCCCATTCTCGCTCCCTCTCTCTCTCTCTCTGCCTATCTCTCTCTCTAGAACAGAGCGAGCTTTTGCGCAAGCTTTGTAGGCGCATGTCCGCGAGAGGCGAATGCAACTGATAAGGCAGCTGCGGCCGCTTAAGTATGTGAGGGAGTGTGTGTGTGCCTTGATAAGGTGCAGCTGGATGCATTAAGGTGCGGTCAGACGCGCAAATATTTTGCACGAAAAATTGCTTAAACTGAATAAAACAGTGTAATCTAAAGTTTGAATATGAAATCTACTCGCATGTCGACGTGTGATGTAATCTAATCCATAATAGTGTACGAGTCCATGCTAAAAATTCGTAAGGACTCCAGGGCGCATCTGATCATATGCACACCCTTTTTATACTGAACTAAATATTGTGAACTAAGTATATTTAAAACTAGAAAACTATATCTTCTTGAACTATTGATTTTTTTAGCAAAGGCCATGTCGACTTTTGAGGGTTTTAGGATAACAGCCAATCTATAATGGTGAACATGAAGAAGCATGCAAATTATGATTAACCAATAATGGACACTATTTAATTTTTAACTAATTTATGCAAACATTTATTTTATGCATAGCACGTCGTTTACAAGTATCAGATGAAATTTTTTTAATTAGTGATCGAATTTCCATTTCCACCATAGTTACGAAATTAGGTGAGCCACACGAAATCGATATTCTCAAAATTCTTTCTTTTTTTTTCAGTTGCATCAAACTGCTATAAATATTTACCATAGTACTCAGTATAAATACAGTTTAAAATGATTGTTCGTGTAAACTTCTTAATTATATTGTTCATAATTCTGGTCGGATATTTTATTGCCAACATTTTTTGAAAATTCCACGCAAGGAATTTGCCGTTTGAACGCAGCTTTAGGAGCAGATTGTAGAGAGAGAGAGAATAAGTATGTGTGTGTGGGTGTTTGTGTGTGTGTATGCAAATGCCTCATAAGCATAATTACTCAAATTGCCGCAAGCACATAAAATTAATTAGGAAAAAACGACGCTCACTAAATGGCAATCAAGTGACGGGCAGCTGCTGCTCTCTACTCCCCTCTCTTCTCTATCGCTCTGCTCTGCTCTGGCCTTGTTGGCAATGAAAATGAAAATGCTGCTGCTACTGCTGTGTGTGTGTGTGTCTGTGTGTGTGAATTGAGGGTGCATTACAAATGCAACAACATCCGCGGAAGTGAGAAACACACACGGGAAGGCACATTCTGTGCATTTGTAGTTTTTGAACTTGAACAGATGCACATTTATCTAGTAAGAAGTCTTTCAAAAGAGTGCTGCCAATTTCACCAATAAATAAGCAAAAGCTGTCCAAATAAAAGTAATAATGGCTTTAATTTAATCAAAATAATCTGCAGAATTCACTTTTTGCCATCACATTGCTTTTTGTATATAGGTACATACATATATATATAGGAATGTTTTAAAAAAATGGGTTTAAATTTATTGTTTTTATTAAAGGTGTGTAGTTGGTATAAACAAAGATTAACTGCTTTTTTAATTTGTGGAATAAAAATAGAATAGTGTTTAAAAACAAAAACAACATGCCTAAGACTATGGTATGAATTTTAACAAAAAAAAATCGACTTCAAACAATTCGAACACAAATTAATATGCGCTAAAAAGCAAAAAAAATAATTGTGTATTGTTCTACAGTAATGTAGGTAGAATTATTGTTATTTTTGGAGTCGGTTAGATTTTTTCGATTCGACAATTAAGACGAATTGATAAGCTCCTCCCTTTTTAAAGTCGGTTAATAACATTTTTGGAATCTTAAAATGTAAATGCTATGTATATATTTTTATTTTATTTTTTTATTTAAAGTATAACATTAACTAGAGTCTTTAAAATCAAATCAGAATGGTTATACCTTTGTTAAGTAACATTAGAACCTTGGAACGTAAATTCATTCCAATTTTACATAAAATATAACAAATGCTAAAGTCATAAAATTGTGTAAAATTAACTATCGATTCTAGAAATTTTAAATAATATAGATTGCAGTGAACATAATCTAGAAAAATTATATATACTAGTCCTCAATGTAAATATTATACATATTGTAGAACACTTGAATGAAATTACTTCTAAGCGAATATACTCGTTTCTAAAAGGTTTTCTAATCAGAAATGGAATAGCTTCGATGGAAAGGCTAAATTATGTAATCCGTTTATCTTTTCAATTAAGCTTATAATGTGTTTCTTTTGATTATAGTCGTGCATTGACTATGATGAAAAAATGGAAAAGCTTCGATTAATAAACGGTTTTTATTTTCAATATGATATGGTGTCTGGAATATGATTATTTTTAAATTTTGTAGTATATTCAAACATGTATGTTTGCGTTAAGTATTAAATAACTTTTAATATTAATTACTGAATTAATTATTGATTGAACAACTAATTCAATAGTTTACATATTCGATAGTTTTGCCAAAAACCTTTGTACTCATTGATGAGAAAGCTTTAATTATATATCTGGTTATATTATATTTAAAGTGAAAATATGATTATGAACATTACTTATTGCCTTTTTTAAGCACAACAGTCTTAATTCAATAATACTACAAATGCATTCGTCTGCCCCCCTCTCCGTTTCAAAGCTTTTTCATTGCAAATGTTATCTCTGCTTTGTAGAGGCTCGACTGTACTGCTTGCTTTGTACATACATACATATGTACTTACATATATACGTACATATTTCAGCGCTGACGGCGCGAGTTCGAAGCAGCTGCCTCTGCTTTGGAGTACCGGTCACACACATGCACACACACACACGCACAAGAACGGCGCACAATAATGCAGTCGGAAACATCTTGTAAAAGGACATGTGTACCACATTCACAGCCAGACAACAATAAAACAGCGTCAAACAGCTGTCCTGCAACACAATGGCACGTGTGGATTCTGGATGCTAGCCTAATCCGGAATCTTTAAGCGGCTGCAATATATTTACCTGCCTAGTCTAGACAGCCGTCGCTACCTGAGTGAGAAAAAGGTGCGCTGGAAAATTGTAATTTCCGTTTGCGCGCGTTTTTCTTGTTCACCTTAAAAAGGGGCTTGCAGACATTTAAAGAATTCCTACAGCGCCGTCTATCTATTATTATTTGATGAATTGTCATCATATGATGTTTTGGGCATTCTGCTTTGATTTACAAAATCAATTTACATGGCATTTTGTTTTTCTTTTATTATTTATCAAAGCCAGAAGTTGCGCAGCTGCTGCCAAAACATAAAAGGCATTATTATGTACATACATACATACATATGTATGTACATACTTATTTACGATGTAATTATCTTTTACCGGCTGCTTATACTCGACTCTCTTCGCTGTTATTCTCACGCTCGTGTAATACGTGACTTCTGCTTAAATAAATGACGTCAACGTTATTTATAACTTAATATATTACTAATTTTTGCTTATTTACACAACATTGTGTAAAGCTTTTGCAGTATATGATATGTACACACACATACATATACGCATATTAGTATGTATGTATATGCATACATACATATGTATGCATGTGTATGCGCTTCCTTATATACACACATATGTATATACACACATGCATGCATAAATGGGAACGCTACCCCACACATCGCAGCACGACAGTGTTGTTTGAAATTGCAAATCTGTAGTACAATAATGAATTATGCCATTTAAAACATTACATTATATACATTAATTTACATTCATATAAAATGATTTTTTGATTGGACATAGAGTCCATATAGCGGCGCATTTTGCACGATTTTGAAATTGAATATTTTGGTAGGGTCACACTTTACGCAGTGATGCCCATACTAAAGAGCACTATTTGAATTTCAACTGTAAACGTGGCCGGGGCTCTCTCGCTTTTTCTCTCTAATTTGAGCGCAACGGGTACCGATTCACCACAAAAATCTGAGAATCGCTCTCAATTTTTTGAGGAGTCTCGTGGTGAAGTTGATAATTTGAACTGGCGCGCTGAGCGCTGCCAACTTTTGTTGATAAATGCCTGCAACACAGAACTCGCTCTCATTCGGCGTTTTTCTGCGTAACTGTGTGGACGGTTTTTGAAACGGCAGGCAGCAGCAACTTGAAGCGAAGCTACATAAAATAGTAGTATAAAGCAAAAAAGCAATTTGTACAAATTTTTAAAATTTGCCTATTGTTTTAACTACGTGTTGATTTATACATCGACGAGCCGTGTGCGTGTGCTTATATTTATATATAAATAAAACTAAACGTGTTTTTCGCGCTTCGCATTTGAAAACTACAGTTAAACAAAAAATCAAAATGGCTGATGTGGCTGAGCAAAACAAGTGAGTAATATTTACCAAATGTATAAGACAACAGGAGTGTGTGTGTGTTCTGGTCTAGTATGTGTGAGTGCGTGTGCTGCATTTGTTTAAACAAATCAACATGCAAAGCAGCAGTCTGAAAATTTTCGCAAGTGTACACTTTTTTTCAACGGTTTGGAAAATTTTCTTTTTGAATTTCTGTGTGTGTCTATATACGCAAAACGTTGGCATTTATCGACTTGTCTCACTCGCACTGGGGCCAACTAAATGAGCGCGCAAAAACCGACGCCGTTGAATTTGGCGCGGCGTCATCATTCGCTCTCGCTCACACTCCGGCCGGCACATTGTGTGCTCGACGTTGACGTCGTCGCAGCGCCGGTTGAGGCGCATGGTTGTTGCTGGGAACATGGTTGGCGATGGTCGAAGAAGAAGTGGAAGAAGAAAAGAAGTAAAATGTGTTTTGTGTGTGTGTGATGCGGAGTGCGCAAAATGTATTTAAGTAGTATATGCATGTATGTATTGTATATGTGTCTACATTGTATATATGCCTGTATATATATTTGTGTAGCAGCATTCAAGTTGCCGCTCTTTTTTCTTTATTTTTTATTTTCTTGTGTCGTTATATCTGTTTGCTTTTTGCTTGTGAGTCTTTAAATTTTCGGTAGTCTGCTTTTAACACATTCGTTTGAAGCTTGGCTCTTTGTTAACTACCTTTTGTCTTATCTACTACTAAATTCGAAAGGTAGCGAACCCGCAGCCACTCTCTAAGCACCTTATTGGTGCTTTTGTGCTAATGAGTCGTCGCCGTTGTTCAGCTCGCAAGTATTTTGTCATTGCCGAAAATAAGCATAAGGCTATACGCTTCTGGTTGTTGGTATATGTCAAGATTGTTAACTTTTTTAACATTTGCGTCGCAACTTTTATCATCCCTGTCGGCTTAAAAACCCCGTTAACGTCAAACCTTTTGTCTGTTGTCTAAGGTTGTGTGAGAGCAGGCGGTTTTCGTACTGTTTACCAGCAGGGGGAGGAGGGCATCCAGCAATATACAATAGTGGGTGTTTGTTGAGCCTTTGACCGTTATTTTTGCCGCCTTGCTCGCATTGCATCTGCTCTCATTTAAAACTGCCGCTGCGCTCAGCTTGAGTACGTGACGCGAGAGGTTTTGTGTACTTGTTATGTGAGTGGAGGCGAGATGACTATAGTGTGCATAGTATAAACCAGTTTTTCGATGTATTTCAAACAAGTCGCGCTTCTTTTTTTTGCACACTTTGCTCTGCCGACAGTCGCGACTCAGGCATGTATGTATGTATGTACTAGAGATGGTCATGGGCCGGGTTTTCGGCCCTATCGGCCTCAACATTTTGGTGAAATTTAAAATTACGTTGTTTTTGAATAAAGTTGAGGACTTGGCATAAATAATAACACAATGTTAAGCAAAATTAAAATGTTTTAAAATCCAACATTGCACTGAACGATAGGTATTTACTGCCACAATAATAACCTAATTGGAGGAGTACTATTCAAGTACCCATTGTTTTATTTAAACTTTGACATTTCATTAATGATAATGACGATAATGAGGTCTGGCATAGCGCAATGAGGTACCAGGAAGCCCACAATGTTTGTTTCTGAGTAAAAATTGAATTATTGTTCAACCCAGGACTTGAAGATTAAAGTTAAATATTGGAAATAAAATCGTAAAGTACATATAAGCAATTGGTTGGCAGATTCTATTTTCAATTTGTAGCTTTTTCGTGTTGTGCGTGTTTTTGTGATTTTGAATCAACACAAATTTTTTGCGCGTGCACGCAGTGCCAAGATGAGCAACGAACAAAAACACGAATCATGCCCATCCCTACGGTGTACATACATATATGCTCTTTTAATATGAAGAAAAAAACATTTTTATATGAAGCACACGCCGCCAGTGCCGCTCACCTTTTGTATCTTCTTTTTGCGTCGCAGTTTCCACGAGTTGTTGCTCCCATTTATCATCGCTACGGTCTGCGGTGGTCGCAGCGGCGTCGGCAGATGTTACACTGCGGCCGCGTTTTCGTACTGCGATGGTGGTGGTTGTAAAAACGCGGCAGCGGAAATGTTTGCCGGCCTATAATTTCCTTGCAAAGTATTTCGTGCGTTTTTGTAATTAAACACTGCTCTACAAAATTGTTGAACATGGAAATGTTTTTTAAATAAATACATTCATTTTTTAATGATTAATATTTGCATTTATTCTCATTTTAATTTCAAATGCATAATCATTATTATGAGTAATTAAAAGAATCAGAAAGATCAAGGTCAGATTAAAAAGCGTGCTCTTAGCGTTGAGGATGCATACTATGGCTAGAGAGATGTGTCTGTATTCAAAACAGCTGTTGACTAGTGTACTAATATTGCTATCTCTTTCATCACTCAAACAGAGAGACCCCCGTTGTCGAGAAGGTTGCCGCTGAAGAAGTGGATGCTGTGAAAAAGGATGCCGTAGCTGCCGATGATGCTGCAGCTGAAGCAACAACCACAACAGAGAACGGCGGTGCCGCCGAAGAGGAATCCAGCAGCAGTGCTGAGGGCGCCAAGGAGAATGGTGCCGCTGCCGCCGATACCGCCGCTGCTGCCGATGCTGTCGCGGATGCAGTCGATGGTGAGAAGGCCGCTGCTGCTGGCGATGCAGCCGACGCAGAGAAGAAAACAGCTGAGGCGACCAGCGAGGCAGCTGCTGCTGAGAATGGCGATGAGGCCAATGGAGACTCAACAGGTAGGCGGTGGTGAAAACAAAAACCAATTAACATCAACAGCTCACTCTCCTCTCTCTAACTCTCTCTTACCCACAACTCCTACACATTCCCATTTAAAAATCACTGTTATCTAATTATACTTTCTACATTTTACTTTCTGTATTGTAGATGCACCCGCTGAGGCCGTCAAGCGGAAGGTTGATGAGGCCGCTGCCAAAGCTGATGAGGCCGTTGCCACGCCGGAAAAGAAGGCGAAGCTGGACGAGGCCAGCACAAAGGATGAAGTTCAAAATGGTGCCGAAGCTAGCGAGGTGGCTGCCTAAAAAGCATTATCGTGCTACACAAATTTCGGCAGCTGCAGCAGCAACACAACAACAACAACAAGCGCAGCAGCACTAATACATTAAATACTAACACACAAACAAAATGAAAAACGAAATCATACACAAAATGCCCACACACACACACACGCACGCACGCACACAGAGACAGACTATCAACCCACCCGCTACCACAACCTCACCCGAGAGCCGCCTTCAATATAAATATATGAGTATGGATGTGTCGGCTCTATGTAAGTGTGCGCGGGTCCGTGTCTGTAGGTGTGTGTGTGTGTGTGTGTGGCAGGTTTAATAACAATCCTGTATAGGAGCGTAGTCTTAAAAAGTACCGATTCTCTGTCTCTCTACTAACACGCAAAAAACACACAAAATCCATTATCATTTAAATTACTTAAAAACAAAACTTAACTTTAAAGCAAAAAGTATATATATTTAAAAAAAAACAAAAAACAAAAAGAAACGAAAAGCGCAAGCAAAAAGTATGATGCGACACACTACGTTTTAAGCAAAAAGTATAAAGTTGTAAACAAAATCGTAAACTAAATAATAAAACAAGGAAAGAAAGAAATTTGCAAAACACTTATTTAAGCGACAAAACAAAACAATTGAGTAACAAACAATTTCGCATTAGCATTTTGTCATTTTTAAGTATAAACATATGTATTTCCTTTTATAATTTTATGTACGATGAATCCTGATCCTATATTATACATTATATATATATAAATATATTTCTATTTATATAGAGCTCTTTATTTGTTACAAAAGTAATGAAAATGCAAAACTTACAACACCAACCAACAACAACAGCAAGCTGCCCGCTGGCCAATCAACAGTCGGCGTCGAAAAGTTGAGACCACCAGCTAGCCAACAACAATAATTATACATATATATATAGAAATCAAATTGCAAATATCATACGAAAACAAAAAATGAAGAGAAAAAAAAGGAGAACAACTTTTTGTATAGCAATAAAACCAACTGCCGCACACATGGGGCATGAATTATATACAACATGTTTGACAAAACTCAATATATATATATACATAAATATATATACATACGTACGTGTACAATTTTGTGTTCCCTATATGAACCATATACTTGTCTTAAGTTTTTCAATTCAATATTCCAAACTCAAGTTAAATTTTGCATTCAGATTCAGTTAACTGTTGTATATTGAAAATTTACTGAAAATTACGAATATTACAAAACTGGAAAACGTTCAACATTCAACAGTTTAAGCAATAAGAATTGGGCTAACACAGCCAACAACAACATGAACACAAAAATGAAACAAAAATCAAGCAACAAAAACATTCGAGAACATTCAAAAATAAATGGAAGAAAAACATACAAAAACAAAGTAAACCTCTGTATCTGTTCTTTGGCTGTTCTTTAAGCAGGGTTGTGTGTGTGGGAGGGAGAAAGGAAGTGGGCTCCAAAGCTTTCCAGAAACTTCGACCGAACCACGCTTTTGCTAAGCAACTGTTACTGTGCACTGGTGTGCTTTGACATTCCACAGTCGCGGCTCAAATATTGGGCAGGGATTAGAGGTGCTGCTGAAATGACACACGTGGCTTTGCTTTTATACATAGTACAATATTTTGGAAATTAGCAGCTCTACAAAACCGTTGGATTTAATTTAGTTGGATTTCAGCGCATTTAGATTTCAATTTCACAAAGTTTCTTTATCTGATTTGTTCTCGTTTCTCATTTCTATTAAATGAAAAATTGAAAAGTTTGTTCTTTCCAAAGAATAACTGACTATTAGATGTATTTTACAAACAACAATTTCATTTGCTCCAATATTAAATATATAGTGATGATTTAAAAGTGTCACTTGCAAGTTTCGTAAATAATAACCCTCGTCAGAAATAACTTCGTGATTTAAGCATTGCAGAACGAGAACAGAAGCGTTCGAATTCAAAATCAGTTCTTAATTTCGTTTAGGGCCTTAACCGCACGGCTATAATTTCATTTAACTATGTATCTACAATAAAAATGTAAATCCATGATAACTTTGTCCAACCAGAACGAAACGATTTGAAATTAACTCTGGAAGCATCTTCAGTTGCTAAACGGGAACATTAAATTGAAAATGAATCGAAAATGGAATTGTTAAACTTTTTAAAAGTAATCGTAATGAAAACGAATCGAATGAATTTTGAAAAAGTCTTCGATTTCCAAAAGTTAAACCAAAACCAAATTAAAAATATCGGCATTGCATAACTTTTTGAAAAGTAATCAGATCCGAAATTTGTCACCTTTTTGAAATGATAAAAGAGTTCAAATAGATACATAGTTGCAGTAAAACCAATACAATTTTGGATTTTATAAAATATGTTTTTTTTTGAGTTTTGAAACCATTTTACATATGCATGTATGTACAGTATTGATGTTTGAAAACAAAAATTACTTTAAAGAAATTAAATAATATATAAGGGTTAAGCCCGGAACTGATTCTTAACTTTTTTTTACTGATCATAAAGTTGAAATATATGCTTTATAAAAAAAAAAGTACATTATTAATGCTGGAAATCAAAAACTGTTTTTAAAAATGAGGACGAGATATCCAGCAATTGTTTATTAATTTTTCAGTACTGATATAAAAATATGGTAGTGCGATATTAATGAGCAACAAAATCTGTAGATCAGGCTATTCTAGTCATCATTATGATCAACTTATGGTATGCAACTGTATTTGTAGTTATATTTATTAATATTTCGCTATTTCCCTAATTAACAAACGGAAATTCAAAGTATATAGTATTATATATTTGTCAATTGGAGAATTATTTTAAAGTAAATGCAAATTCATTTTGTATTTTGTTTTCTAGGTATTAGTCAACAAAACAATAAGTTCTTGGCATTGTTTTTGTTTTGATGTTGGTGCTGCTTTTGAAATTTTGTAGGTGGTTTGACTGCTTTTGGACTCCAAAGCTTTCCATTTGTGTGTGTGACGGAGCGCACGTAATTTCTCAGAAAACTATGAAAAACACAACTGCGATGATAATTTTTTAGAAAACAACGACCTTCGTTATTTAGATAAACAAAAACAAGCTATAAACAAGAAAATAAAACAATTTCTAAGTTCCCGAATTATTTTATATAATACTTGTATTGAAAAAAAGTAACAAATATTTTTAAAATTTTTCTAATTTAGTTTCAAATGCTTTCTTTACATTTTAATTCGCTTGTAACGCGACTTTTAAATGATTACTCTAGACATTATATATTTAATTATATCGAACCATTTGCTTCCATTTAATTATATTTGGATCCAATGTAATAGTTTCATTTGCTTCCATTAATTTTGTTTGGTTCCATTTGCTTCCATTTAGTTATATTTGTTTTTATTTAGTTTTGTTCGGTTCCAATTAGTTCCATGAATTTCCATTTTAACATTTTTATTCAGTTCCATTTCGTTCCGTTAAGTTCCAATTCAATAGTTTGTTTGAAAAGGAACAGTTTTGCCCTAATTTTAAATGTTCTCCAAAGTAGCGTTAAGAAAAACACAAATTACAAAAAAAAATCCTAAAAAATCCTAAATAAATCTTAAATAAAGATTAAAAATTAAAAAACATAAATAAATTAATCTAGTAGTATTCCTCAAAATAAATTAAATATTGAAATAATTATTTATTAAAATTAAGGTATTATTTTATTAATTTAAATTAAAAACAAACATTTTTATACATATGTATTTCAAGTAGTGGCGCGTGGCATAGCAACCAGCCTTGGACTATGTGCACTGCACCAAGCAGTTATTTCTGATAATCCTGAAATGTTGGACTGAGAAGCATTGAAAACAACACCAACAAAATGAGCGTCAACAATCCTCGGCCGTTTTCTCTGGCTGCTACAAAAAGCTCCACACTCGCGTCGATCGCTTTGAGTTACAGTTTACACTTCGGCGCGAGTGGTTGTCTGTTCAGTTTTGCGGTGCAGAGTGAAAACGAAACCGTTAAAAATCTAACAAGGCTAAAATACAATCATTAATATACACACACTAAATACAAAAAGAGATAAAAGCACTATATTTCTATTGTAATTATCATACTTAAAAATAAGTGACGTCAGAAAAAAGCAAACGAAAAGCGCAAAACAAGTGTTGTGCTGTGTTCTTGTTGTTGTTATAAACGTTGCCCCCATATATGCGTGTTACAGTTGTTGTTGTGTTTGTGTTAAACAAATAGTGCGCAAAGAAAACGCAAAAAAATATTGAAAAGAGGAAAAAAAAACGTTCACTCAAGTTGTTGGTATAATTTTGTTTGGGCACAACGCATGCAAGTGAGCGCCAGGCCGAGAGCAGCGAACAGGAGAGCGCCCCAAAATGTCCAATAATTTACAAACGGTAAGTGTGCCTTTTGCACTGCTTAGCCTTATAAGGCAATACAAACTTTTGTATACCCTATAATCAGAAAAGGGTGCGGAAAGGTGGTTTGATGGGGACAAATATTTTTAGGTTTTGTGTTTTTGTTTTTTTTTAATAATTGTTTTTAAAATGATTTTTAAAATTAAATGTAATGTAACGTAATAGGTAGTTTAAACTGAAAACATTTTTGGTATTTTTCTTATGTATCTTTCCGATATCTATCTCAGCTCAAGACAATTTTAAGCCATATTTTAAGGCTGACACGAGGTAAATCGGGCCAAAATAATGGAGACTGTCTTAAGTAAAGCTTTATTGATTATTTTTTGGATTTCAGCAATTAAAATTTAGGTATGTGCTAGTTTTAATCAAAATCGATAAGCGGTGTTCAGTTGTAGAGTATTTCCCAGCAGTTCCGCGCCAAGGTTTCTCCCCCATCAATGCAATCGCTCGTAAGTTTAATTCAGTTTTGGCTTAAAGAGTATTGTAGAGTGTTTCCTAGTCAGTTCCGCGCCCTGCTTTAACCTTGTTCAGTCTTGGCTCTTGTGCCTCCATCCTTCGTTCGTTTGCGCTTTTCGTGCATTGACCGTTGCGCGTCGATGTTGTTTCGTCTCCGCGTCTGCTCTCTTCCTTTGCCAACACTTTGACGGACGGCTCGGCTCGGCTCACTCACTTTGTTTGTTGTTGTTATTGTTTCTCAATCGTTCAACACACGCTTATCGCAACCGCTCGAATACTACTTTGTCGCGTGTTTTATAAGTGCAATCTCTTCTGCTCTTTTTTTCGCTTAATTTTTTTACAACTGATAAGCAATTATTCTGGGTTTTTTTTTTCTTTTGTTCCTGGGACCATTGTATTGTTTGTCTGGCCGCGATCATTGTCGGGCATGGGCGCTAAACAGGCTAAGGCGCGACCGTTGCGGTTAATGACGACGACCCGTCTTTTTGGCCAACATCGCGATAATCGTAGTCGTTTCAAGCCACGTGTTGCCACGGCCCTGCAAACCCACAATTGCGGTCAGGTAAATGGCTATCGAGTCTAGTTGGTTTGTTGCGCTTACATAACAACAATTCCATATAATTATTGCTCATTATTCAAATGTACTGAGTAGTTCCCGACCCTTACTGGGAATTCTCTGATCTTGAGTGTATAATTATATACACAGTATATATTGGCTGGTAGTTCAAACCAGTTTAGGTGTGCAGTGAAAGTTAGCTGTCGAGATAAGTTAATACTTTATTTGATACTACGTAGCAATTACGCAGCGTTCTGTAATCAATCAATTCCGTTGAGGGTTCTAGGGGAGTCAATGATTTATATGTATTTGTAATTTTAATGAATCAGTAAAGAATTCTGAGTGGGTAATTCAACACATCAATATTATTTATTTAAGTTTTTTATTTATTTTATTTTATTTTGTAATTTATTTAAGTAACATTTAACTTTCAAACACATCACAATTTATATTATTGATTCGTGAAACCAAGAAACCACAGATAGGATATATTTTAAAGGCTCCTCTCGTTGGGTATTTCTTTTTAGAAAGTTATATTAAAAGAATCAAATTCGTTAGATTATCTCGAGATTAGTAGCAAGCTTAATGCTCACGAAAGTCAGCAGGTAATTTATTTAATGAACTACATTGAAATAGATGTACAATTTGGAAGGGTATTTAGCAATAAAAATAATTTTCAATATGATTTTTCCATTCCCAAATCGACAGTAATGCAAATACATAAGTACCATATATAAATGCTTTTTTATAATAAACACTCTTTAATTAATGATATCCTAATCGCACTTCAAGAACTCTGTTAACTCTTTTAAATCAAAAGCTAAACTTATTTCATTTTAAACCAAATCATACCGATTGATAAAGTTTATTTTATGCATACGTAATACTGCCCGAAATTGGCTTATCACAGAGAATGAAAGAGAGTGCACTGACCTATTTATTGCGATCTACTATATGCAATTAATCAGGTATTGCTTTTTTCAGCGATGACTGAAACAGCTTTTACGCGTCATGTTTTAAATATTTGCTAAATTTTTGATCAGTTTTTAGTTCTGGGGTTACGTGAGTCATTAACTGCCGGCAGCTTATATGAATAATATCGCTATACATGAAAGTTGAATGTGCATATTACATGTAATACGCACAAATGATTGTACAATTGCACTTTTCTATAGTTGTTAGTGCTGATAAGATTCCACAATTCATATCGGCATATCAGGGAACTTTGAGATTTGCGCCATGCGCGTGTTTCGCCTGATAATTGAATGCCTAACCTATTGGGTATAATAATTATTATAATGCCAAATGGGCGGCACGTGCTATAACTACCAGGTTACTTTTCCAAGCGTCATAATTGTTGAATGACAATTCATTTATAGAGTGGTATGTAAATAGCTATACTATTGTATAGAAATACTACGGTAGCAAGTTTATAATTTTCCACACTTCGTTCCGCTTTTGTTATTGTTGTTTACTCGCTTAGTTGGCCTATTTGCGCCGCGCGGGCTGATAAGACTTTACAAGAGACTTTGGCTTGTAAGTGTGGTAGTGGAAGATTTTATTTTTAGTAAGTCACTGTGTGGAAAATTCCATGGATTATACTATACGGTAGCATTTGGTGTAAAATAAAGAAGTAAATAGACGAAAAAAAAAGCTACTTCTCTTAAGAATTTTTATTTTCTATATTAAGGAAAACATTCCTAATACTAAAGTATTTTCCAATTCAGTAATTGTAAGTTATGCACAACATATTCCGGTTTTATACATTTATTTAAAAAACATTTTCAAATGTAGTCGAATTTGTACGAATTTTAAAAAATGGGTTTCTCCTTACATGTAGAAAATCAGTAATATCTTAATGATTGTCATAAATTAAAGTAACTTTTTGATATTTGGTCGAATTTATAGACAATTTAAAAGCAGATCTTCTTCAAAAAGTTCGCCTTAAAAATAGAAGGTTTTGGAATTGTATTCCTGTCTACTCTAGCTGGTAATAGTACGCCTTAAAAGATATTATCTTATTTGATAAGATTGTTTTCAGTATACCGTATAAAGTCATTTTTAAGAGTTCTCTTTAAGAAGCAACGTGTCGCAGAGAGAAAGAGAGCGTGCGAGAATAGTGGATTAAGAGGTACAGGGGTAGGCTGTAGAAAACAAAAAACAAGTATGGATATGGGATTTCTTTTTTCAAAATACCATCAATTATAGGAAATGCAACATCACGAGGGTATTACTCCAATTATAGATTACAGGTAGAGAGAGAGTGGGCGCAAGGGAGAGGAAGAGAGCATGGAGAGTAAGCCATTTATAGAGGCTGTAGGGATTAAGAGGCAGAGAGGGTAGGTTGCAGAACTGAAAAGTAAAGGATGGGTATGATTTTTCTTATTTCAAAATACCTGCAATTTAAGGCAATGCAACATCCTGAGAGAGAGAGAGGGATACAGAACAGATAGAGAGCCAGCGAGGCGATTAAGATGGAGAGAGGGTACGTTGTAGAAAACAAAACAAGAGAGAACGCTACAGTCGAGCAAGCCCGACAGTGTAATACCCTGTACCCAGGTACTCTTCCGTCACTGAGTTATATGCGCCCATAGTAGCAGTAAAAAGAGGAAGAAGAAGAGCGAACTTGTTGCTGCAGTTTGGGGAGGTTGTACTGGCGAGAATTTGTTTCGCTAATAACTTTTCTTAGAATTGACCGAATTGAAAATTTTGAACAACAGTAGACAATTATATATAAATTATGTGTGCAAAGTTTGGTTTAGGTAGCATTTGAAATGTGGACGCTATTGACGAATTCTGTAGCGGGGGAAGGGGGGGAAAATTCCAAAAAATAAAATAAACTCGTCCTTTCTCGGACCTAGGAGAATCTGGATGCCAACTTTGGTTATTCTAGCTTTTATAGTTTCTGAGATCCTCGCGTTCATCCAGACGGACGGACAGACGGACAGACGGACGGACGGACGGACATGTCTAGATCGATTTCTCTCGTCATGCTGATTCAGAATATATATACTTTATGGGGTCGGAGATGCTTCCTTCTGCATGTTACATACTTTGCACAAACCTAATATACCCTTTTTACCCTACGGGTACAGGGTATAAAAAGGAATGGGTATAAGATTTCTATTTCAAAATACCCACACTTAAGGGCATAAAACATTCTAAAGATAATTATGTACTCCAATTTCGCTTCTCAGGTAGCATTTTCGTAACAGTTTCTTACTATTCGTAGCCATTAAACATGCTTTAAATAGCTAGAATCTATCAGCTTGAGGGGTCAATGCACGTCTGTAATTCAATTTCGAAGATTTTCTCGACGACTTTCGTTTGAACAATCAATTACTCACATTTTCGAGGTGTTAGCTAACCAAACGATAATTCGTTTATCTTATCTGGCCGGTCGGCTCAAATAACAGTAGTCCAGAAATCATTTCCCCCACTATTTTTACCTGTGCGGCCTGTGCGGCCCTTTCGGCATTTTCTTCAACATCTGTTCAAAGTCTCAGCACGCAAAAGGTATTCAAAAGCTGGCTACCTACCAACAGACCTCTTACCATATGTTTAGCCTGTCAACCAACCGATGAGGGAGGGGGTGGCACCGAGATTTGTCGGCAGGGGTTGCAGCAACCAACCACTATTGTTGCCAATACGTTGTTGCAGAGCGGCAAGAAGAGAGCACAAGCGAGCAATTTCAATGTCGGACCCGGGGGCTGCTCACTTGCAGTCTCTCTCTTCGACCGGTGTGACGATGGCAGTTCATCAAATATTTGAGACCCGGACCCGGCGATGACTCAGTTTGTTTTTGTCCGCCCAGCTGTGCACAACAATCGACTAGAAACTAAACTGAACAAAGACTGCGTTGCCTTCTACATTTTTATTCGTTTTGGCCTTTACTCGAAAACTTTTCTCTTTATATAATTAGATTAATATCGAAATTTGTGGTTTCATAAATTTGATAAATTTAAATACGCCTAGTATGAGAAAACGTAACCATAGCAATAAAAATAAAAGTCTACGCAAGCAACAACAACAGCAGCAATTAAGGGAGCAACAACAATCTGCTAAAGGAATCGATCAGGATTGCTGTATTCGTAAACGTTGTAAATATGAACATATCTGGCAACATTTCCGACGCAACGTAAGCTAACTGGGTTTAATAAGAGTGTGTTCTAAAAGTTTTAAAATAAATCATTGCTTTTAATAGCAATATGGTGCTTTTAGTGCGTTTAAGAACATTTAGTACAGCCAATTGATACAAATAATTTTGTGCGGACTAACAATGTAAGCTAACTGGGTCAAAAGAAGTGCGTTCTAAAAGTTTTCAGAGAAATTTAAATTGTTTTACAATTGAAACATTGTGGTTTTGCCTCGTTTTAGGTCATTTAGTACCGCCATAATACCGTGTGTACTAACATCATTATTGTTTTGTATCGTATTCTTGTTTTTAGTACACACTTCGTTGGTTAAAGTCTTTCCACTGTTCTAGTCCATAAATAGATTAGCATTTCGAATATGGTTCTGCTGAGTTTGTATTTAGTACACAAATCGAATATTTATGTAGAAGCACTTTGCTTTTAGTTAAGATTTTTTATTTTAGTACACTCCTTTATTGCTTAGTACTACCTAAAAGTATGCATAATACCAAGAGTACACAAGCTGACTGCTTTATTTTCTATTGTTTTCATCCATGAAGAAATCAAATTTTAATTTAGTACACGTCTCTATGTTTTTTAATGAGACAAAAAATTACACATGATGATAGTTTTTGTTGTGTACACATAACTCTTTTGCATAATTTAATGAATAAAAGTAGGTCAATTTTATTTTAGTACACTTCTTGATTGTACACTTTATAATTGTTGTTTGTTTTAAGTTAGGTTCCTTTTGGCAATTTTCAATATAAAAGTAGGTAATTTTATTTAGTACACCTGTCTATTTCGATTTAAATATTATTGGTTGTTTTGGTACTATTTTCTTGATTGAAATTGTAGTTTAGTATATATATCTTGGTTGAGTACTAATTATTATTTGTAAAAAATGGCGCATATTTTTTACGTATTACATTTTTCTAATTTTTTTTTTTTTATTTTAGTACACATGATAATTTGATTAGAACAGAGTAAACATACATGAAAGTATTAATTTTAATTTTAGTACAATATTGATCTAGTATGTGGCAAACTTTTCTACATAGCACATTTGTAATTTTTAGCACATGTTTAGCCTGTATTGTTGGTCAAGTTTTTGGCAATGGTTTCTGCATACCCCACCTCTGATTTTTAGAACATGTTCAGCATTTTGTCAGTTATTGCATTTTTAGTACACATTTTTTCTAAGTACCTACCTATTGGTCGACTACTGGGCGAATTTTTCTGCATACTACATCACTAAATTTTAGAACATATTCCGCTTTATATTTAGCAGCTCTTGCATTTTGAGCACAAATGCAATATTGTTGCTCAACTTCTTTAGTATAAATGTTTTGTCAATTTAAATTTGAACACGCAAGCAATTACCCTTCGATTTCTCACTCTTCTCTCGTTCTTTTCTCTCTCTTTTGCTCTCTTATTGGACACCCACAGGCCACTCTCGAGGAAATACGCCATGCAGCGGCGCGTATATGCCGAGACTATCTAACTGGACGTTGGAAAGTTGTGACACCGGAACAACTAATTGTAAAGCGCATCAGGTGTGTATTATGGTTTAGGTGACTCCCAGCTTGTTATAATTCAGACCCTTAAACAACCATTTTTCCAGTGGAGGTCTATCCAATTTCTTGTATTACGTAAGTCTACCCGACTTTGACGATTTCGATGAGCAGCAGTTGTTGGAATCGCATGGAACGGCCAAGAATCTTACAGACGTCATAGTTGCCGCGACTTTGTCTAAAAATAGTAGCGTGGCCCAAGAACATGCAAGAAGCGTTGAAAACACGCCGAAGGGGGTCTACGATTTGGCCACAGAACTGGCACATGGCCATCAACGTGCGGGCGTAGGCGTGGGTGCGGGTATGGGTGTGGGTGTGGGGGCCGATGATGACGACGATTTGGGGCTAGGCCTAGCCGTTAAGCAGGCACACAAACGTCAGCGTTTCGACAGCGATAGCGGCGATTCAAGTTCGCTGAAACGTTTGCACGCCCCCAAACAGGAACCTCGTGAGGTAGGTTCGGGTTCAGCCATTTATTCTACTTGTATATATCTATTTAATATTCAAATGTCTTTTTGTTTGTCAACAGATCTTGCTGCGAATTTATGGGCAAACGCACGGCGAGCACGCGTTGGAAAATATGATCACAGAATCTGTAGTATTCGCACTGCTCAGTGAACGCAATTTTGGACCCAAGCTACATGGCATATTTCCCGGTGGACGCATAGAGCAGTACATACCGGTGAGTAAGCTGTCAGTCAACAGAAACTATCGGGCTAGGAATTTGTTATATCAAGGTTACTTATTTAAATCTTAGTATAAGAAGAGCCCGGAAACATTCCGGTAACTGAACTATAAGTTCCTTTGTCTGCTTCTTCAAGCACCCACAGCTAAAGCCCCCACAAGCACAACAAATCTTAATTATGTTTCGACAGATTACTATAGTTTTTAAAACCCGAAAACTCGATTAATTTTGCCGAAATTAGGGCAGAATTCGATCGCATTATAAAGATTCACGAGTCTAAAAAAAGGCGAAGTAAAGAAATTCAATCTAGATAACCCAGAGACGACGTACAGAATTTATATTTATGCATATATGTGTGTACTTATATACATAGATATATATTTTTCTCGTCTGGGAGGTACTCGAACAGCGAGCTATTCGTAGCTAAATATAGTCAAGGACGCTATTAAATTTTTACGCATTCAATAAGGAAAACAAATTTAATGGAATGGATAATAATTTTAAATAAAAATAAACAATATGTAGAAAGGTGATAAATTATTATTTATTAGAAATATTGCACTAAATGAAAGTAAATAAAAAAAAAACAGCAACAGATTATAAATAAAATGAATTGAAGCTGAATTATTTAAAAAAGGGTGTTAGTGAAAGAAATTAGCAAGAACAAAGATAACACAAATTATAGGAGAAAATAACTAAAAATAAGTAACTAATAATAAATATAAATAAATAAATAAAACAAAACCACTAATAAATGTAAATAAATGCAAAAACATCATACAATACATTGAAGAACTTTTAATTAAAAATTAAACATATTTTGTTGTTTATACATATTAAAGAAAAAAATATAAATATATGTACATATTTGATATAAATACAAGTATATATAAAATAAATATAAATTAAGAGAAGCTAAATAAAAATTAAAGAAATTGAAGCCTAAATTTTCCTTAAAAAAATCAAAAAATCTTATAGTTAAATAGATGTAAATACAGGAACTTAGCATCAGGAGCTTAAACATCAACTAGTATAATTACTATACTATATTAGTCTGCCAACTGTAGCTACTTTATATTGGACACTACTTTTTTATTCCCCAGTAATTTTATGACGCTTAGGATTTGTTTAATGTACGATGACTAACTGGAGTTTTATTGCCAAATTCATAAATTGTTGTTATCCTTTACGATACATATTACAATTAAAATGATTAAGAATGAAGTAGCTCGTTTCTATTATGTACTGTCTATTGGAGCTGTATTTGTACGATGGCAGGATTGATATCCAGGAATAACATTTAATTCAAATAACTAAAAAGCCAATTTAATATTATTATTATTTAAATTGTTAACAATATTTTGTTTTAAATATGTATTTATAAGTCTTGCCTATCTGGGTCGTTATCATTATCATCTTGAGGCTACCGTGTTTATCTAAAATAAATATTCTAACAATTGAATTAAAAGCATAAAATCTTAGATGGGTTTGATTGAAAGATTTTACAAAACCCAACACTATTCTGATGCGGCTTAAAAGTTAGTTATTTTAATTATTTTCCTTAAAACTAAAATTGATTAAATTTATAATTAATATTAAAATCTGCATCAATAGGCACGTTCCCTGGCCACCACCGAGCTGGGCGACTCGCGTATATCCATGAAGATAGCCGAGAAAATGGGCGAAATACATAGCTTGAATATACCGATGTCGAAGGAGCCGGATTGGATATGGAATTGCATGGAGCGTTGGCTCAGGAGTCTGGACCGCATTGTCAAGGGAAAGATGAAGTCGGTGCCCGATTCGAGTGTCCTGCAGAAGCAAAGGGATTTGATGCAGACCATAGACTATGTGCAGGAGATGGCCTGGTTAAGGTCGGTGATTGAGGCGGGCTCATATCCGGTGGTCTTCTGCCATAACGACCTGCAGGAGGGGAACATATTATTGCGACAGGCAGCTGCCAGCCAGGAGGCAACATCCATCAGCAGCTTGCGGTAAGCCCAAGGAGACTAACAAATAATTTAAGCCTTGAAACTAATGAACAATTATGTCGAATAGTTCCAACTTTGATGAGACCTTGGGCGATAGCTTGGATGGCAATGGGAATGCGGACTCAGAGCATAAGTAAGTAACGACACCAATGTGATGTGTAGTCTAGTGCTAACCCGTATTTTTATTGGCCGCTAACCAGTATTCCTTAGCATTATGATTAAGTCTTAAGCTAAGCTTGTCCATATATATAACTACCTACAATTTTAGATGCCTCGCTGCGTTCTGCGTGATTTGATTAATAGAGTTTTAACAGCTGGTTAAGAGGCTGGCTAAACAAAATACAGGTTATCCATGCCATATCAGAGCAATCAAAACATAATGCATACTAATCGGGCTTTATTTTGTTAACTGAACCAGGAAATCGCCGAGCGTTTCGCCCTGCCACGAGCTGGACACCACGGATGATTCTGCGCTGGATGACAGTTTCATTTTGGATCCAGAGCCGGATCTGATTATCATCGACTTTGAGTATTGCGCCTATAACTACAGGGGCTTCGATTTGGCCAATCATTTCATTGAGTGGACCTTTGACTATACCAATCCGGAATTCCCCTACTTCTATCACCGCAAGCAACAATATTCCACGCCGGAGCAGCGACGTGACTTCATTGTCACCTATTTGAGAAAGTATCACGACGATGAACACTATGAGCCCCCCGTGGAGGTGCTGGAGACAGTGGAGGCCGAGATACAGCTATTTACCATGTTCTCCCATCTTTTCTGGAGTCTCTGGTCGGTGGTGAATGTAACATCAGCCATAGAGTTTGGCTATTGGGTAGGGCTTTATATTGAATTTTAAAGATTTCCTAAGCATCTTAGTAATTGTATTATTTGATTGCAGGAATATGGAATTGCGCGCATTCTGGAGTATCAGCAGCTGAAGGCGGCCTATTTGGCCAAATGATATAATGTTACCAGTCCTGGGTCCAGGCTACGCTCTGCACTGAAATCGAATCGTAAATCGCGTACTTAAGTGACCTTAACGAACACCAAACCCAATGCACTGCACTACACGGCATCATATCTAATCTAATCTAATAATTAGTTATACTTAACGCATAAGACAGCTTGAATTTTTAAATACATGCACCAATAATTTGACTTGGAAGGCTGTATGCACCCCATACATAAGTGTTAGGGCTAAGGATAGCGCAAGCATGTGCAGGTCTATTGTAGCGCCTATATAGGGTATATAGTAGAACATTTTTGTAGCTAATTTATAATAATGCTGAGAACGGAAATTCAAGACGTATTGTAGCTGTGATTTTAAGCGTGAGAGAAAAAAGTCAACTAAACTTAAAATTATATTTAAACCGAATTCGAATCTAACATTTCACTTTTCAACTAGCCCGAAACTTGCTCTAGAACTGACTTTCTGCCCTTTTCTGCTCACCTAACAAAGTTCACACACACACACACACGGACATACCGACAAATTCGAATTTATTACTTGTTCGAATCGAACTATAGTACTTTATTCACAATATTGGCATTACAATACTTATATATTTCCACCAAAAACTGTTAACACAACTGGCAACAACAACAATCGAAAACAATAAATTGTAAAAATATCTTTGTATGCATATACTTTAATTTACAAGTACGATATATAAATATAAATTATACACATTTAGACTAATACTAATGCAATAAATATTTGTGTCTATTTAAATAATGCTGCAGTGTTTTACTTTTCATTGTCAACCTTTTAATTTTTAAATAATGTGAAGAAGTAACTCAGAAGAGGGAGAAGACATCTGATGTGCAGACACCTAACGTGTTTAAATATGACGTTTGGACATCTGACTTGTGAACATGTGTGGAATTTAGACGTAGAGACACTGACGTGAACTTCTGATGTGAACTTCTGACGTGAACTTCTGATGTGAACTTCTGATGTGAACTTCCGACGTGAATTTCTGACGTTTTAAATATCTGTGGTGTGGATTCTGACGTGGCGACTTTTGAATACGTTAATAATGAGGAGAAGTGACTGAAATAACTGAACGTTATATAAGTCTCTTATTTTAATAAGATTTATGCTTTTTTTTGTCGAATTATTAAGTTGGCCGACCTCGCTAAAGAAACCGAGGAATAGAGATCAGGCGCAATCAAAGGACAAGCTGAATGAGATGTGCATACACATTTGTTTATCTGATGGAACGAGGAAACATATGAAGGAGCTGTTATTAGTGAAATTCTGGCTAGAGCAGAAAAAGTTCAGTGCAAGCTCGGCGACGTCATCTTGGATGTCTTGCATGAAATCACCACAAATGGTTGAACCTTTCTTTCTTGAGACACTCCAATCAATAACAACCGTTGGATACCGTTTTCCTCACTTTGGAGTTCGAATTTTCCAAACTCTTTCACTGTAAAAGGAAACTTCTGTCCAAATTTCAGCTTACCGTTTGGGCTGTTCGTTGATTGCCAATCAATTAGTCAGTCAGACTGGAGAAACTGCTTTATATATATAGGTAACTCTAAAGCATGAAGAAAAGCTTTTGATTCAGTCAATCACTACAAGTTGGGCTCAAACCAAATAACAAATATGTATCTTCTGGCGCATCCTGGCTCTTTATTGTTACACAAAAACCAAAGTCAGTTTAGCCACTTTGTCGCCAATGAAACATTAACATCCAACAATGCTTTCAAAAGATCCGCCTCTTATTCTCACTTTAGCGTTCCTTTTAATGCTTGATTAAATTTGAATGACAACAAACATATAGCGCATGTATTCGTAATTATAATGAAAAATGTATAAAAAGTATAATTTATTAAAAGCTAACAATTTTCGATTGGGCTTAGTTTTCCAATATTCCACATATTAATTACAATTAATTACTTTCATGAAATCGTTTCCTCACTATTGTATGATGAAAATTTATTATTTTCATAAATTAACTTAATTCGTGTACAATTATGCCTTGAGCAAATCGATTTCCACCATTTTGATGGAGGTCGGAAACGGAAACAGTCCATGATTGAAAATAAAAACAGAGTATTTATAATTCAAATGGGAACAGTGGCGCCAATTTCGTGAAGTGACGCTTTTAGTCAATACAGCAACCATGTTGTTTGCTTTGACAGCCAGATGGCGCCACAAGCACCTTAATTGTTGCCAGACTCTTTAAATCGAATCGTTGTTTCGAAAAAGAATGACAATAATCTAATAAATAATGAATAATTGCTTTAATATTATTAACTTGGCAAGAAATTGCTTATTTAATAGTATTTCTTACGTTTTTAAAAGGATTTAATCAAACCTCTTTACGAAAACTTATAGCATTTTCTTCAAAGTATTAATCATTGGCTGAATAATAATTTTCTTATAGACACTGAAATGTTTTTTTTTTTTTTAACTTAGGAGTTGCTATTCAGATTACTCAAATAACGAACAGTCGATTAGTAAATAAAAATTAATTTATTTTCAATTAATTTGTCGTATTATTGTTTTTATTCAGAAATATTTGTTTTGCAATTTTTGATAAAGTTTTTCATTGAAATACCTCTTTGAAAGTAAGTTTAGACTCGATTTTATTTATTTTACGTTGTTTTTAATTTATGTAAAAAACAGTGTTCTTTTTTTATTGGAACAAAAATTTGTTTTTATTTAAATTACTGATTTTAAATATATAAAGTTTCTGTTCACTTTACATGTGGAATTAGTCATAGTATTAGATTGTACTTAATGTTTCCTTGTGTTTAAGTATAATGTTGGCTGTCGTGTCTTCAAAAATATATTTTAACTTCGAAGCCCAAAGCGTAAGTTCCATATACATTTTTCTTGATATTCAAACATTTTAATGAAAAGTTGCAGGAAGTTGTAGGAACAATTAATAAATATGTTTGGATTCATCTCCATGGCACTTATATCAGATTGGAGGCAGAAATATGAAGTTATTTTCTGACAGAATTTTAATTGCAATGGGAAACACATTAAGTCATTTGTAATATAATTCTATATACTTTGTTTACACATACTGGTGCCGTAGTTTAAAGTTATAGTTTGCTGAAATATGAACAAATGATCAATAGAAAGCACACCTTAGTTCCATTATTAGGGGACCATTACAATATCAGAAAATAGTTTAAAATAAGTCTCATTGCCATTTGAGCTTCTACAGGAATTCACAATTTATAAATATTTATTTACAGAAATATGAATGGAATTTAGTGACCATAAAGCAACAGATTCTGAGTAAATCAAGAAGGAAAGCGTTAGTGTGCTAATTTCCTAAATAAAGACACCGCCCAATTACGTAAATCCTTTGACATTAATTCAAAACACAATGAGCTGCGACCACCGACGACTACCAATCTAATGGCCAGAGGGCCATAACAATGGGAAGCTACTAAGGCGCATAAAGGGCTCGATGCATCTTTAATTAATGCAATAGAACAAGCGAGACGACGCAACTGTCAGCTGCACAGCTTCTAAAAGGGGGAGAGAACAGGAAGCCAACGGCAGAGCATTCGAACAGCTTGACAGTCAGTCAGTCAGTCAGTCAGTCAGTTGGTAAGTCCTGCCCCATCCCCTGCCATGGCAACCCACACTGTCCTTGTTGTCGTATCTCGTCTTGACTTGCGGTTGTGCAATGCACTTGAAGTGCAACCAATTTTCGGGCCACCCTCTAACCACCCACGGCTTGGCCTTTATTATGTAATGTACGCCTCAGTGCAGAGCAATTCAAAGCAATTGTGTGCTGGTGGTCGGGGCGGGTCGAGTTGGGGGCTCTGGTGACTGGGACAGGGACAACTATTGTTTAAATACAACATTGTTGACACTGGGAATACAAAATAGAAAATGCTTTCGATGCGATGCGATGTCATGCGAGCTGCACCGCACTGGACTGGACTGGACTGGGCTGGTGGTATATGGCATGTGGTTGTGGATCGAGGTTTAATGAGCACACCTGTCCCATTTTCAATTGTTATGCTGTGTCTGCACACTCAGCTGTCCTGTTCGTACTGTTCGTCCTGTTCGTCCTGTTCTTCGTGACCAAAACCAAATCAGCAGCCTTGCATGGCAACTATCCAAATTAACTGGCAGTACACTCTAGCTGATTGGGCAGACAACGTTGTTGTATGACGTGCAGACGATATGTGAGGGATAATAATCAATTTGTTCAAGCGGCGTATATTTTCTCTTTTTCTGTGCACTTTCCACCTGGTTCAGCAGCCTGTACGAACATCGATAGCTTCTACTCAGAATGATTTATGAAGTGCTTTTAGAACAAAGCTGAAAAGGGCCCTATTAGATGTATTCACGTCAGATCCCTATACGTCCGAGGACTAAAGCAGAGATATCTACACATCTACAAATGACTGCAAGTCAGATCAACTTTTCCGGGTGCACTTGCGTTAAATATCTCGAAATTAAATATGATTAGTTGATTATTTAAACACCTTTATCAACTGCTATAGCTAAAGACTTCACCAGCGTTGCTAGGAGTGTGTGTTTGCCGGCAATAAGAAGTATTTAATTATGATTGTAAAAAGGCTGATAAAATACTAATTTACTAACTCTTCTTTTGAAACGAAACTAACTGAGGGCTAAGGCTCATTCGATTATAATGAAGATGCATTGAATGTTAATTATAGCGAGTGGAGTCGCATACAAATTACGACGACCTCGCAGCACTATTTAATAGAAAATTTAATGATTCGCCTAGAAGAAGAAAATTATAATTCGAAATGTGAAATGTTTATATAGATTTCTATATTTGAAAACTCTGGATTCATGTTTGTTCCTTTAATTGTAAACAGTACTCTTGTTTTCATTCCCTTCGCTAAAAAATAAGAGACCTCTGTTTTTGGTGAATAAGTTTGTAACACGCATGAAGGGTTATGGTAGGTACATACTCGTACTTTTATATATATTATGAAAATTTAAAAAATAAAAAACATTTAAATGAATTGTCGAAAAGTTTTAATGGTCGTCCCTTAACACCATGTGTCCAGACTCTTTATAAATATTATATTTGAATTCGTCAGTAAAGATAAGGTTCTTCAAAAATATATTATCAGCATGATTGTCTGTCCGCCTATCTCTTTCAGACACAATCCCTTTCGCAGAGTGAAGAGAACAATTGAAAACTGTTGGAAATTGGAAAAGAAATTGCGAGCAAATTTCTTTTTCGATCTAATAATTTATTGAATGAAGAACAGATCAGAATGAAATCGTTTTTCTCTTATTTTCTCACTCAAAACCCGATTTTTGTTTCAAAAAACTTGTTAAACGAAATCACAACATTCTCAATAATGTAAGAAATGCTTACTAAGGAAAGAAAATGAAGTTCGGAAACAATACGAAATATACTTCAGGGAATACAGTTTTATTGTAAGACACAGTCTATAACCTTTCTTCGTTTCTTTTTCATTTGTCCGGGTACCCAATGATTCCTGATTCTATTATATACATATTTGTTAGATTTTAATATTTTCTTTTGTTTGTTGTTACAGCTGTGGGAAATTGTTTGATTTGTTTTGCTGGAAATCTTTAAATTCGCATACTATTTAAATCATTAGTAGGTTTTTAAAGTTAAAAAACACTAACTATGTTGTGTAGTGCAAATCGTG